TTAAGATATAGTTAACGCCGGAAGCGTAAGATATATTCCGATTATTAAAGAATTACTTTATAACTACGCCGATTCTTAGGTATTTTAATTCTAAGAAGTATATTTAGGTCGAAACTAACGCGTTAGAATTTATAATTACTAGAATTATTAGTTAATCGTATAAAGATATAAAAGATAAGGTATAATAGTATCTAATTACTTTCTTTTTCTATAAAATAGCGGATATAGAGATGTATTATAATATATATAACTAGAAACTACTTATAATTATTAAGAGTTTTAAGTAATAGTAATATTATTTAGAAGGCTCTATATATTAGATCGAATTATTATTAGATTATATAAATCTATATTACTTTATATTAACTAAGGTCCTTAATTACTAATAAGTATATTAGGCTAAGTAGATATTAATATTTAACTTTAAAATCTTATATAAAGCTAGAAGAGAGAATAAAGCTAATCCTCTATCGCGGTGTAAAGATTATAAGAAATTGTTATAGAATAACGTAGATAGTTAGTATAAGTTAGACTATACTATACTTTAGATACTATAAGACTAGTTATCTAATAGAATACTAGAAGCTAGGATACTTTCGGTAATTCTCCGCGGGAATTAGAGCGGGTATTAAGTAATCTAATTAAATATCTAAGAAACTAAGAAAACCCTTAAAGACTTAATTAAATCTATCTAGAATTCTAATATATTAGTAAAGAAAGTTATAAGTATAAAAGAAAGCGCTATAGATCCGCTATAGTTATTAAGATAGAAATAATAATTAGACGTAATCTACTTCTAAGGCTAACTCTACGTACTAGAAGATAGCTTATAAATTAATATTTTAAGGGAATAGTATAATTACGCGTTAGTAGAATACTTTAGTATTATAAGAACGGTCGATTTAATCCGAAGAATATATAACTAGCTAGGTCTTTATAAATATATAAAGGACTATATAAAAATATATAATATTTACTAGTATATAAAAGTATATAGATACTTACTATATAGTAAATTAAGGCTATTACCTATACTAAAGAAGATATAGAAGAAATTATTAATAGATTTTATTATAGATCTACCCCTAAGTAAGTATTCTAGATATATTTATAATAGTTTACTTATAGTTCTAGATAGATTTATAAAGATATTATACTATATCTCTATAAGAAAGATAATCTAAGTACTAGATCTTATAGATATACTACTCTATAATATAGTCCGGCTCTATAGTATACTAAATAGTATAGTTTTAGATAGAGGTCCGTAGATAATATCTAAATTTTAGAAGGATTTCTACTATATACTAGGAATTAAGTAGAAACTTAGTACTATATTCTATCTATAAATAGATAGATAGATAGAGTAGTAGAATTAGATAGTCGAGGCGTATTTATATATATATTATAACTATAAGTAGAATAACTAGATAAGGTTAGTCTATATCGCGGAATTCGCGTATAATAATAGCTAATATATATTAATCTACGTAAGTCCGTTTAAAGTAAACTTTAGTTAGAACTATAATATATAGTTCTTAGGGACTTAGTTTAAAGTAGAACGACCTAATATTAAAGTAATAGAAATTACTATAGAACTATTCTAAATATAAAGAAGCGTTATAAAGTTACTATAAGATACTATAGATTATAGTAAATCGTACTATAATAAGGGTAGAAAACCCATGATCTTTAATATTAGAGATAAAGTTTTACTAAATAGTAAGAATATTTATAGTATTAGACTAAAGAAGAAGCTTAACTATATAATAATAGATCTATATAAGATTACTTATATAATTAATAACTAGGCGTATAAGTTATAACTCCCTTCTATATTAAAGATATATAATATATTCTATATTATACTTCTCGAGCTATTTTATACCTTATTATTACTAGATTATTCTAAATAGATACTATATAAAGTAGTTATATAAGAAGGTATAGATATCTATAAAGTTAAGTAGATACTTAGCTAGTAATACGCCGAAGATAGTATATAGCTATATAAAATTTATTAGAAAGAATATAATTCTAATAAAGATACTTAGGAATCTATAATAAATATTAGTAAAGTAGTAATATTAGTATATAAGTAGCGATTAGTAAAGAAAGCTATAGAATTATAGAGAATTATACTAAAGTATAGCGATTTAATATTTTTTAGTATAGTTTAGTACTAAGAACGGCTATCTAAAAGAAAGAAGATAAAAGAGATATAGATCTTTAAAATATTCTAAGGAATTAAGGAACTTCCTTAGAAAGTTTAAACTTAGAACTTTAAAAAATTTAACTAAAAAAGAGAATTAGAAAAATAATTTACTAAGAGAAATAGATATTAAAAGTTAGTACTAATTAATATAGATTAGTATAGATTACTAAAGAGATTAAAGAAGTTATTATTAAAGAAAGATAAAATTAAGAAAGCTAAAAGAAAATATAAAGATCTATATAGATCTTTATAAACTTGTACTAATCTATCTAGAAGAAGTAAGATTACTTTAAAATTAAAACTAAAAAACTAAAAATACTAGATAAAAGAGATATATTAGTACTAATTAGTATAGATCTAAACTAATTAAGTCGGAGTAGAAGTAGAAGTACTAATTACTATAATAGTTATATCTAATTTCTTTTACTAGTTCTTATTTAGTATAGTATAGAGCTTTATAATATAAGTCTCTAGCCTTTCGTTCCGATACTATAAATTCTATATAGCGCGCCTTATAACTATAAACTCCTCTATAGAAACCTATAGAGTAGTAGAACCTAGGATAGAGAGAGATAGACTGGTACGGGCACGCTAAGAATTATATAAATTAGCGAAAAGATTTAATAATTAGTATAGAACTATATATCTTTAGTATAGAAACTTCTAGATTAGAGCTATCTTCTCTAATTTTATAGCTCTTTAGTATATATAAAGAAGGAATCTTAGCCTTTTTACTAGAACCTTTTCTAGAAATTTTAATATTACTAGTATATAGAAAGAAGTCTAAAGTAGTAGAGATTTTAGTACTATTATAGAGATTAATATATATTAGTAAGAATCTATAATAATTTAAGAAAAATAATAATATCTAGTAATCGCGGTAATAATAGCTATAGTAGATTCTAATAAATTCTTACGGATCTTATTAGAATCGTACTCCTAGATATAACTCTTATCTTAGATATATAGCTTATAGAAAGCCTTCTCTAAGATATTATAATTAGTAGTACTATACTTCTTATTAGTAGGGGTTACTAGAGGCCTAATAGTAATCTATACTAATATAAGTAAATCTATATAAAGTTCTTTAAACTTACTTAAATACCTATAAGTAATAATACTTCTTAGTTATATAAGTACTATATATTATAGATTTAGTACTACTATAAGTAATATATAATAGAAAGTAATAACTATAATAATATATAGCTAGATTATTAGAGCCCGGTCTAGGTTAGAGTAGATTAATAGCTTTTAATATATTAGTAATATATATAAGATAGGGATTATTTAAAGACGCCTATTTCTATACTAATTACTTTAGAGCGTTAAGATTTTAGAAAACTATATTATAATTATTACTAATTTATATAGATTATTATAAATTATACTATTACTAGCTAAGAATAGTATAAAAATTAGTAAATTATATAAATTATACTAAATTATAGTAAATCTATATAAATCTATATCTATAAGAATTAGGTAATATATCTAATAATCTAAAAAACTCTATAAAGAATTAAGAAGTTTTTTAAAGAAAGAAATATTTCTAAGAAAAGATTTTAATATAGATAGTACTTAGACTTATCTAATTATATTACGTAATACGCTAGGCCTAATTAGATAATCTTATCTATATAAGAAGTTAGAATAGATAAAATCTAGTTTATTAGAAAAATACTTATATAAATCTTAGATTAGTAAATATTAGTAAATATCTAAGATAAAGTATAGAGAATAACTAAGGTCTTATAAGACTTAGAATAGAGATATAGAGATAGATAATAATCTAGGTTACTAAGGGTAGCTTTCTAGAGGGAAGGGATAATTATTAGAACTTAGTCTTAGATAGAATCTAATCTATATATACCTTAGCTAATAGGGTTAGAAGGTAACGTAAAGGGCGGTAAATAGTTATATACTAGATAGATTAGCGTCTCTTTATATATATACTCTTAGATTTCTACTAAAAGAGTTTAGTAGTAATTTATTCTATAATAGAATATACTCTATTATTCTATCTAACTATACTACTATCTAATAACTCTATTCTTATAATTTATCTATATTCTAACGGTAATTAGACGGGATATTAAATTTAAAGTAGATCTAATTATATAACGTATAGAACGTATTAATTATATTATAGATAGTAGTCTATATCTATTCCTTATTAAGGGCCTTACTAAGGAGTATTTTAATACATATATTCTATATTAGGAACTTTATAATCTATCTCTTATCTAATTTAACTATTTCTCCGGATATAGCCGTGATTTTAATTACTATATTATAGATAATCGCGTGGCTTAGGGCTATCTATATCTAATCTAAGTAGATTATCTAATTATATAGATCCTTCTCTTAATTAGAAGATAGTATTTAAAGGTAATAATTAGCTACTTAGCGTAAGCCTTACTATCTATTAAGGCATTTTTAAAGAGTAGAGTATAGGATACTATAGATAGTAGTAACGGCTTAGATTAATATATAGAGATAATAATAGTAATAGTAAATAGCCGTTAAGAGATTATCTTCTAAATAAGGTATTATAAGAAGGTAGAGGAGGCGTAGTTATTAAGTATTTTAAGATTAAAGATTAAGTACGCGTATAGACACGTACTTAAATCACGTGGTTCATTAGTGGGTTGGCTCATTAGTGGGTACGTCAACTTAATAATTAAGTGGTTTCTAATATTTAGTCGAGATTCAGGGATTGGGAGTCGGCAAATACTCGGTCTCGGCGCTGATCCCATATCCCGTGAATTAAGCATAAATGAACAGCAGTCACCAACAAGTCAAATCATATCATACTCACAACAACAAATAGCCTCGTTAACTCATACAGTCAGTCTAGCAGCCCCCCACCCTCACCTCCCGCGCAACAGCATTACACAACTCCACCCGCACGCCCGCACCCGTCAACACATGAATCCACAACCGCTGCGCATCACTCAACCGATCATTCACACTCTTCACCTCCGCAAACAAAACCTCCCGCCGGCCCACCTGCCAGAGAAACAAGTCGGGCACGCCCCCGCCACGCGCCGCATACTCCTGCGCCAGGACCTTGCACAGCGTCGCCAGCGCGCCCGGCTCAAAGCAGGCCACCACCTCGACCAGATCGGCGAGCTCGTACGTCCAGTCCAGGCCGACGACGCACGTCTTCTTGTGCGCGTGCGCGGCCCACACGCGCCGGAGGAGCGGCTCTGCTTCGCCGTTGCCGAGCTGCGCGAGCCGGGCGTTGATCTCGGAGAGGCGGCTTGGGTAGAAGGCGTCGGTGTGGAGGTCCAGGGGGCAGGTCTGGAAGGGGGTCTGGAAGACGTTGGGCACGTAGCTGAAGATGACGTCGAAGAAGAGGTAGGCGAAGAGGGTTCGGACGATGCCGCCTTCGGAGTGGTAGCCCTTCCAGCCGGCGGCGCGGTAGTGCGACAGGCACATCTCCTCGACCGTGCATTCCGCGTTGTCGTTGAGCGGGTCGAGCCAGATGGTCCGGGTGCTGCGTCTGCTGCTGCTGCTGCTACTGCCACTACCACTAACACCGAGACTGGCAGGACTGTTTCTGCGGCTGTGCAAGGGCTGCTCGCGCTCCACGCGCACGCCTTCGATGTTTACTTCCACCGGCGCAGCTAACCGCACGTGAGCAAAGTCGTGCTGTGACCGTTTCGGGACCTTGAGTGCCTTTTCCAGCTTCGTGATCCGTTTCTGCAGGTCGTAGTGGTAGATCAGGTGGACGAGGGGGTCCTGCAGCGCATCCTCGCAGGTAGCCAGGGCGATGCGCTTCCAGTGCTTCTTCTGCAGCTCGTCTGAGCGGCCGTCGTTTGGCGTGAGCGCGCCCATGTAATGCTCCTCAAGCAGTGCCTTGCGCTGATACCATGCACCGCGTCGCGACGGGTGGAATAGTCTCTGGGTCAGGAGTTCTGTGAGCAGTTCGTGCTCGCGCTTGTGCTGCTTGAACTTCCCGAGGCCCATGACGTATGCTGCCTTGTGGACGACGCGTGTGTAGACCCAGGCGGGCGAGAGACGCCTGAGATAGGCACCCTCCCCGCTCAAATATATCGTGTCCTCCTTCTGCTGCTCTTCTAGTATCAACCTGTGCCAACGGGGGTAGACGGCCTCAAACGTGTCCAGTATGCTCTGCAGATCGTCCTGCGTTGGAGGCCCATTAGACTCCAGGATGCTGTCAATGCGGAATTGTGTTCTGATGGACGCTTCAAATTCCAAGAGCAGTGATCGAGACGGGAACACGCTCGCGGACCGTGAAACAATGTAGGGCGGAAAGTTGCGTCGCGCAATCTTTGCCAGAATGATAGTCGTCAGCGACTTCTCCGTCCACTCGGAGGAGCGATAGAAGACCAGGTGAACCCGCTCGAACAGCTTGAGCGGGACGGGCGATAGACGAATACATGGCCCAGTCTCCTGCATGATCTTCGCCGTGAAATACGTATCCCGCGATGCTTCATTCATACGGCCGATAGCATCCTCACCGGGACTCTCGACACTACCCAGCTCCTCCGAAGCCGCCGACCTTGTCGAGTCCTCCGTATTCGACCTCTTCAAGCCCGCCCAGCCGAGACTCGTCTGCCGCCCACTCGTCTTGCGCAGCTTCCTGAGGAGGTCCTTCTTATTGCTCCCCGACACCTTCGCCTCCTTGGCCAGCAGCTTCAGCTCGTCGAGCCGCAAGAGCGACGAAGCCTCTTCCAAGCTCGTAATATGCTCCTCGGAGCTATCCGCAAACGTAAACGTCGTCCCGTCTACCCCCCGGATCCGTTCCCCATTACCCACGTCCCCAGGATACACCTCCTGCGCCGTCGACGAGGCAGGCAGATCGCGGCGCACCTGGAGGACCCGCACCGCAGCCGCCAGGTCCGCGACATCACGATGATAGCCGAGCCCGCCGACGCGGTGCCACGCATCCGTCTTGCGGAGGAACAGGCGGACGTAGCTGCGCGAAACACACGGTGAGCAAGGCCGCCTACACGCTGCGGAATGGTGGAATGGGCATACAGATATTGCGCCTCGTACCCCAGCGCCCTCCACGCCGCAAAGACCGCCCGCTCCGGCTCGTCAAACAGATGGCTCTCCTCGTCCAGCACGGTGTCGAGCGCGAGGTTGAAGGCGTCGACGTAGATTGAGCTGCGGCCCTGTGCCCACTTGCTTGCCGGCCCCTCCTCCTGCTTGTTGATCGTACCACCCTCCTGCGACGCGCGAAATATCTCATACTCCTCAACCGCATCTCGCTCCGACGTACTGACTTGCGGCAGGGCGCTCTCGAGATCAGTCTGGCGTGTTGCGGGTTTTGGGACTTCGCTGTCGCTGCCTTCTGCTTGTCCTTCTCCGCAGGCTTCCGAGTCTTCCGAGTCTGGTATGGACTTGTGCGGCGACGCAGAGGGGGCGTCTTGGCGCGTGGTCTTGCTGCTGGGCGTCTGCTTCTGCTCGTATCGCGCTCTCTTAGCCGGGCGTTCGCCTAGATCCGCATCTTTGGACGCCTTTGGCTGTGGGGTGTTATTGCGTCGCAGCATCGAGTCGGGCGGTCTAGCATAGTATTGTGAGATATTCGGGCTCTGTAGTCTTGTATCTTGTAACCATTGGCATTGGCATTAGAATTGGCATCAGCATCAGCATTAGCATTCACCGTACGTCGTCGTCGTCGTCGTCGTCGAAAGCCCCGGAGAATGCTGCGAGCGATGCCCGAATGTATGACGAAACACCCGCCCAGGCAGAACGCGACGCGCGTAAAACCCGACCCAACCCGCCAAAAAAAGACCCACGCTAAAAACGCGCAGTCACGTGCTCCGACAAACAGATCCACGATCATCGGGATTGGGCTTAATTATCATTTACATATCCAGATACAGATACATAACATACAGATACCCTATTCGAAGGAAAGAAAGAAAAAAACTCGCTAGCTAATTAAATAAAGAAAATGCTACGAATGATATATATAATAATAGACGCAAGCACACCACTACCCGTTTAATATCTTCTTTAGTGTCTATCTATATACATGGTAAATAGATAGAGAGAAAGACAAATATACATTAGTAGATATAAAAGAAAGGCGGGCGGACGCCCTAATTAGCTCTCAAGACTTAGACTTAGACTTTAAAACTTTAGTTCTCAAAGACTCAACGTCTCAAAACCCCAGATCTCAAAAACTCAGACTCAAAAGACTCACGTCTCAAAAATTCTATTCTAGTAAATAAGTTTACTTAAATTAATAAAAGTCAAATCAAATCAAATCAATCGATTACGCCCATACAACGCAATTAACCTCACGTACTAACCTTAAGCCTACCTTAACCTACCCTACCTCAAGTCTACATAAGCCTACCTCAAGCCTAATTAATTACCTCAGGCAACCAAACCAAACCAAACCAAACCAAGCCCTAGATCCCAATCCCAGTCGCAATCCCCAATCCCCAGTCCCAGTCCCTGCCCCTGCGCAGCAACCCAACCCGATGCCTGCCACACACACAACTACACACTCAACATGAAACACAGCAAAACTGTATTGTTGATTATAGCCAGCCAGGATGGCGAGACCAGGTTGAGGGGGACAGGTTTGTTCAAGAAAGTTTCTTTCTTTTTTTTTTGTTTTACAAAAAAAAAAAAGGAGGGTGGCGTCGTCGTCGTCGTCTGTCGCACATTTTTTCCTCTTCGCCTACATATTTATTACACGTTGGGTGGAAAAAGGGGCACACAGGTACAGGTACAGGTCCAGAGCAGAGAAAGCTGCACTGAAATCTTCGCCATTTGTAGTAAGATTGTCAAGAAGAGGAGAGGGGGGGGGGGGGCAAAAGTTTAAATAAAGAAACTCCAACGCCAGAACTTCCAAATACGCGATATGCATGCACACACACACAGCTCACAACAAAGTCGTTCCATCATTTCATCAATGCTTTCCACTCTTTTTCCCTCGCCTCTCGCTCCGAATCTGGCTTTGAACAAAACTTCAAAGATCTTGAAACAGCAAGTTCCCCTTTGGGATATATTCTGCATCTGTTCCCCCAACTCGTCCCCCATACTTTTAGACCCAAAAAATCTAGTCTCGTATTAGATATCATCTGTAGTAATATTGGAAAGTATACGATGTCTTCACCAAGCGGCTCGGATAGCAGAGGAGGTCAAAACCGGACGAGGAATTCGGGTCAGTGCTGTGCTGGCGGTTGGTAATTGATAGGGCGTCTGTGTGGAGGTGGTGAGCATGACACGAATAAAAGGTCGGATGGGCTCTCCCTTTTCACTCACTTGAACAAGAGAATATGAGGTTCCGGCTCGTGCACTTCGTAATGCTCCCATCCTAGACTCTGCGCAAGAGAGAAAAAAAAATCGAATAAGCCCCAGGCCGTGTTTTTTTTGCAAAAAAGCTTTTCTTCTCCTCCGGGTCATGTGTGCCTTACTTGCGTGATGCCGAGCCCCCGCCATTCCTCCTCCCACAGCAGCTTGAGGGTGCCGCGAGCGCCGTCAAAGTATTCCTTCGGTATAGCCTTCAACATCGTCTTGGGCAGTTGCACGTGGCGGTACTCGTACTCGCTGTCCGAGTATCTGCGCGGAAGAACTTGTCGTGAGCAACACACAATAATCCGACACCAACAGGTAGGTACACGTTTATAAACCAACGTACCGAGCAGAGTAGTGGATTGCCTCGACAAACTCGTCCAGCTTGTCCTTTTCGGCGTCCGACAGGGGGCGGGGTTTCTTATTCCGGCGAGAGTAGTCGAGATCCATGGTCTTTTGCAGGGCCTGGATTCGTACAGACGGACTTTTGCGAGATGATACTGATAATTAGAGGTCACGACAGTCGCGACGGCGGCGGTGGCGGCAGGGAGCGGTACGGTCGCAGGTCGCTAGTTACTTGGGCTGGGAAAGACGCGAAAGAAAAGAAGATGAGGGAGGGAGGGAGGGAGAGAGAGAGAGAGAAAAGACCCTTGATACTGCCAGCGGTTAGGCAGAACTTTGGCGGGGAGGGGGGCGCGCGCCTTTTGGGAGGAGGTGAAGAGGCTTGGGGCCAATCGTGACGGGCCAAGGAAGGAGTAGTAGGCGAGAGTGAATGTGTAGAGTCAAGGAGGGGGATGGAGGGTGAGTGAGTGAGGGAATGAGTGAGTGAGTGAGTGAGAGGTATGTGGAGTGTATATGTGTGTGTTTGGAAGTGTTTGTTGTTTAGAGAAAAGCACACAACCCGGGCAAGAACGAGCGTGGGGCAGCTCTGTAATAAGATGCACTAGCCAGCTCAGGCCTGGTTGGAGGCACACTCGGTCCACGTGCCACACACACCCCGCCGCCGCCGCCGCTGAGTGTGAACTCCGGCGGCGGCGCGCATAGACATGTTGAAAGGCAGAAACATACAGGTAGCAGGCTTGAGGGAAACGGGGGTGCGCGCTCTCGCATCCGCATGTATTTATTGGACGTGGATGTCGGTACAGAGTAATGTACAGTCCATTTTTTTCTGCATACATCATGTCTCGCATGTGGATTGTATTGGACTTGGATGTCGGTACAAGTAACGTACATTCCATTTCTGCACATGGCATGTCGCGCATGTGGATTGTTGTATTGGACTTGATTGTCGGTATAGATAATCTAGAATCCACTTCTCTGCCTGCACACACACATCATGTCTGGCATGTGAATGTGTCGGATTAGACTTCTCGACTGCTGCCAAAAAAATACATGTTCAAAAATTCCAATTCTTCCTGCGCATAGATGAGGACATGTCGCGTCGACCGTAGTATAGACGCCCTTAGTTTGTCAACCAAGTCCCAGATCCCGTTCCGTCGTGTCCAAGATGCCACATGATTCCAAAAAGAGAGAAATAGCAAGTGAGATGTTCGGCCAGAGCCCTTTTTTCCTTTTAACCTATAAAACTCCGCCCGGCCGAGACGTAAAAAGCATAAGACATGTTAATGAGAGTGTCGAAGAAGAGGTGGTAGAATGTGCACAGACAAGAAGAGCGATCTGCACGACCTTTGTAACAACGAAAAAAAGGGAGAGAGAGAGGGAGCGATTATATCCAACCGGTCTGGAGAGCAACAATCTGCTTGTGGAAGAGGCCGGCGAACAAGGGCTGGATTTCGCACAGATAGTCGGCCGCATCAAACTTGGCCAGCTTGTTGTTTAGCATAAAAGTGAGATCCTCGTTGTTGACAGCCTCATTGACGGCACCACCAAGCTCCTCAGCCACCTCCTTGAGTTCCTCGAGCTCCTTGCCAAAGGGATGCATGGGGTCATCGGCAGCGTTGAAGATGTCGACGGAGGCGCGCTGCTCGCGGGAGTCTCTTGTCGGACGCGGCGACGATGCAGAATTGCGAAGTGAACGTTGACGGGCCAGGAATTCATGTGAGGCTCTGCTGTGCGACAAGGCGCGGGTGGGGACTGCAGGTTTCGGATCGTCTGCAACCGACAGCTTCTTCTGTGCAAGGCTTGCGGTGGAGGCGGACCTTTGCGGCGAAGAGTGTTGTACTCCTGAGGATATTTCCGAGGGTATGGTAGGCGTCGGAAGCATTGCGGTCTTGTTGTTGGCGGCAGAGAAATAGCCCGACAGATGGTTCCCTTTCGGGGGATTTGGCGATACGGGCGAAGAGCCCAGCGAAGAGGCATCAGTGTCCTGTGTGCTTGAAGCGGACGAGCGCGAGTCGGAGTCTTGGGATGTGCGAGAGGAGGAGGTCGAGGTTGTCGAGGTAGTCAGGGTTGCGGATCGCTGACGGGAGCCTTCAATGTCAGGAGCATTGTAGGAGAGCATGTTTGTGGTGGAGATGAGGGCTACAGGCATGGATATCTGGCTGCGTTGGATTGGACCCTTGCGGGTGCTCTGAGAGCGAGCAGGAGGAGCAGAGGAGTCTGGGGGAGAGTCCAGCTTGCGCCTGGTGGTGAAGGCACGCGCGATGGACATTTTGCTAGCCATTTCAGCAATGCAAGCGAGTAGAGTGATGCGCCGGATGAGAAGAAGCAGGGCTGACGGATTGATAATGAGCAGCTGGGCAGAAATGTGCTCGTGATTCCAGAGGCTGTTGGCGGCCAGTGGAATGTGGAGGTGATGGTGGAAATGCCGGATTGGGCCGGGGCAGGTGATGTCGCGATATGCGAGGCAAGGCAGGGCAGTGCAGTGCAGTGCAGGTGGACAGTAACAGTAGCAGGTACTGCGTCAGGGTAGTAGAGAGTGACAATGACCAGCGTTAATGAGAGGACGAGTGATGGTGGTGGTGGTGGTGGTATTGGTGTTGAGCGCAGCTCGGAGCGTGATAGGCGCTTAATGGAGCAGGTAATGGGCAGAATAGATGATTCGCGATATTTTTAGAAGACGAAAAAGGAGTGAATGAATGGGGCAAGTAAAGAAGATGGCAGCGTCTGAAGCGCGCAAAGAATGTGGTGGTGGTGGATGAAGGAGTGTTGGAGAGAGTTTGAAGGACGAGGACAAGAGGAGAGAGAGAGAGATACGACGACGACGACGGCAAAGGGCAAACGTCCAAGCGCTCTAGAGGACGGAAGAGGGCGAGCGAGGGGCACAGCGAACGAATTGACGAGTTGACGAAATTGCGGGTAGAGAGGCAGTTGGGCAGGTTTGACGTGGGACCAGTCAGTGGCAGTAGAGCGGATTAGGGTAGGCCAGTCTTTAGTCGACACGAGTAGGGCAGAGCTTGACAGGCAAAGCTAATGGATTAAGCTTTTCAATCTTGGTTGGCTGCTGGCTGCATCCGACGGGCTGACTCGTGCTGGGTAGTCTGCAGCACGGGATGCGCAGGAACAGGAACAGAGCCAGGAACAGGCATAGCGCCCGCTTGACGACTTGTGTCTCTCTCTCTTTCGACGCGCCCTGTCGAAACCTGTGGAAGCCAATCAGACAAGACACCTCAGGCATCGATCTGTTGCATTCCATCCACCTCAGGCACCCACCCAGATAAGAACTCCATCTCATACTCCACCCTCACTCTTTGCATTCCACTCTCAACACTCCAGCTAATTATCCACAGTCCACAGCCCACACTCTAATACCGTCCACATCGTCCACTTTTCCCCCTCTCGTCTTTGGTTACGCGCCCGTCCACTACGTATCTATCGCGCGCGCTAAACCAACAGAACCATGTTGCACACTCTTGCTCGCCATTGGTCCGTCCGCCTTGTGTGTGCCTGACGCGTTTCGAATCGATTGCTATCCATCGGTCCGTTGCCTGCACTAATTACTGCTGACTGACTGACTGACTGGCTGACTGCTGCTACAGTAAGTACTACAGTACACTCAGTCTCCACATGCACTAGAACATCGCTATCGCTATCCGGCCGGTTTCGCCTGATGTGGGTGGGCAAAACAAGGGGTTCTTCCTTCCTTCTTTCCGTCCCTCCTTCCTTCCTTCCCTGTCGCTGAAACCAGTGAGGAAACAACGACTGCTTCGTCCGCTTAATCATCCACTTCCATCCTTTCTACTCTACTCAGCTGCTCCACCAAAAGAGAGAGTTGGTGGCCTGAGCTACCACCATCTAATTGCTGCTTCAATCACTTTTCTGCTTGTGAAGCTGAGGTCCATCAGACCATCTCATCTCTTGCCTCTCCCTATTACGGCACAGTCCTGTACACTCACTTGTACACACCTTCCTCTGATGCAAATTAATTAAATTCTCGTCCCGCCCGTTCACTTGTGGGGCTGCAAACACCGTGCCGCAGGAACTCTTTTTACTCTCTGTACACGAGCCCATAGACCGCAACAAGGACCTTGCTCCGTCAGACGTCTCTAACCCCCTAGCCGTTTCGTACCTTATGATTATGATACCACTTGCATCCACACCCTGACAACGGACGGACAATTTACTTAGTCTAGACGCTGAGAATGCTGTGTCGTTGTAATAGTCGTGCCATGCCGCAAAGAATCAGCCACTGCTAATTGTCCGCACCCAGAAACATCCTGCGCCTCCTGCTCAAGACTGACTGACTGACTGCCTGACTGCCTGACTCGACATGTCTGCCAATCTCCTTTGCCATGACCAACTTGCATAAAGGAGAGAGAGAGAGTCTGTTCTTTCTGCCTGGAACAGGAGGTGCACTCCTAAAATGCCCTATTCGCTACCCCGCGCCGCAAACTTGACTACACCGTTTTAGAACACAACCCAGCTACCAAGCTTCAACCTGTAACTTTCTACGAGACAACACGCCTTCACCACACATCGCCGCACTCTGCCTACCTGTCATGTCAACAAATCTCCCGGCCGGCCTCAGGGCTGCCGACATCTCTCGCTTTGCCCTGCGCGCATCACAATTACAAAAGTTCAAGCCCGCAATAGCATACTGGTGTCAGTTTCGTTCCTGTCAGCAATCAGTCCCACACGGCACGCTCTAATCCCTCAACAGGTCAATACTACATCGTCCAGCAGATCCTCACAAAGGGTCTCCACAAACTAGACTCGGAATGTGAAGCATACACCATAGACTTGATGAGCAAGCTGGAGCAGAGTAAAGACGCGCTTCAGGATAACGATGCCGTCACCGACGACGTAGCCGCCCAGGCTTACGTAGAACAGTTCGCACAAGAGACGTTCCAAAGGGCAGACAACTCTATACGCTCGAACAAGGCCTCTGCGTAAGTCTGAATGCCGCCAGTAAATACACACTCGACTGACAGCAAGTCCAGTCAGACTGCCGATACGTTTCGCGCCGCCGCTACCTTCCTAGATATGCTCACCATATGGACGAATCCCCTCGACGCAGAAACGGCAGCAAAGTCAAAGTTTGCCAAATTCCACGCCTTGCGCATCGCGAAAGCTTTAAAGGCAGGAGAAGACCCGAACCTGTCCAACCCTCCACCAGAAGACACTACCGCGTCAGAGGCCGCAACCGGTTCGGCGCCTGTCTTGGATCCAAACGACCCAGAGGTGCAGCGGATACAGCATGGCACGTCGAGTACATACCAACCCCCAAATGTCGCCTCGGCGCCTTCTTCTCCTGCCTTTTCAGCACGCATGTCGCCTCCCATCCCACCCATCCATCCGCAAAACTCGTACAACATGCCAGACGCTGCAGCCACCCCGAATCCCCACGACGTCTCTCCTCTGTCCCCAGACTCCCGCAAAAACTCCGCATCGGCCGCGTCTACAACCTCTGCAGGCGGCGGCTACTTTCCCACAGTCCCTACCTTTACAAGCGACTCGTCTGCCCCGAGCCTGCCCACCGCTCCACCGCCAGAAGGCAACGAAACTATGAATTTGCCCTCCTCCTCTCACACAGCCACAGCGCCCCCGGCCATGACTCCCGATCCCTCATCCTTTTACACCCAGACTCCTCCTCCGCAGACCTTCTCGCCTCCGCCCGGCTGGCGCCCCCCACAGCCTCAACTCCACACCACCACCAGCAATCACAACCCACCACAACCACAACCACAGCCACAACCACCACAACAACAATCACAATCACGATACCATCCCACCACCACCACCACCCCCTTCAAACCCGACGAAGACGCCATGCTCAGCGCCCAGAAACACGCTAAATGGGCCATTTCCGCCCTCAACTTTGAAGACTCGGTCACGGCTATCAAGGAGTTGCGCAACGCCTTGGCCGATCTGGAGGGCTGGCCTGCGCAGTGATACAGGGAGGGAATGGGCAGTGATACAGGGAGGGAATGGGCAGTGATACAGGGAGGGAATGCGGTTTCTAGGGTACTACTACTACTTGTTATATGTATGTATCGTATATGTACGTTTGGCCGAGGTTTGGTGGAGGTGCCGAGGGGGTTTTTGGCATGTATATTGATACCCCTGGATGGTACTAGAGAGTGAAAGAGAGAGAGACGTATATTAATGCGTACTTTGATATACCATCATCCACTGCAGTGCTGTCACACAGTGGTGCTTACCTACGTACATACAACCGTCATCCCATTACCATTCCACCCCCACCACCACCACTCCCCACTCCCACCAAGTCACCTGCATCCTACCAATCCTCATCCTCACCCTCCTCTCAACATCTCGCATATATATACCACTCCACCATTCCATTTCCATCTCCACGTCCATGTCCATTTCCATTTCCATTTCCATTTCCATATCCACTTCCACCGTCCATCCCCCTACTCGTCACCCCCCTCCCCACCCCCAACACCACCATACCCCGCAGCCCACCTCTCCTGCCTCACCCGCGCCCGCCCCGTAATATCCTGCCACGTAGCATCAAACCGCCTCCCCGTCGAACTCAACAAGCCCTCCTCCTCCTCCTCCTCGAGATCCGCATCCAACTGCTCCGTATCCAGCCTGGGCACGCGGAACAGCGTCGTGACAAAGACGACCAGATAGACTGCCAAAAAAGCGAATTGGGCCCAAAAGGCCACGATGCCGAAGAAGGGGAAGTTTGCGGTGATGCGGTTGAGAAAGGTGCTGATGAGGGTGGGGGTGCAGGTTTGTTTTGCGGCGGGGTTGGCGGCGAGTTCGGTGCAGGGTTTTATGGAGGCGGGGTGGCTGGTGCAGTCTGCTGGGGATTTGGAGTCGGGGGACTGGGCGGCGGCGCGGTCGCAGAAGGTTTGGGGCCCGTAGGTTGCGTATTGCGGGGCGACTAGCATGGCGATGGAGTAGTTGATTGCCAGCACGATGAGGGTGAGCATGACTGTGGCCATGAGGAGGGCTTGCGGGGAGGTGTGGCCTTTGCGGATGCTGAAGAGCTTGATCCAGAGAAAGCGGATGCCGACCGAGGCGATGCCGACGACCGAGGCGGCGAAGAAGAAGAGCACGAGGAGGAGGAAGAGGATGTAGTCGATGGGAAAGACGCGCGCCGCCTTGACAAACACCCAGTTGATCGGCTGGAAGATGTTGATGTGGCCGAGGATGTAGCCGCACTTTTCCTTGCAGATCGAGTTCTTGGCCTTGTCGATGCCGGTGATGAGCATGCTGACGAAGATGAGCAGGGCGAGCAGCATCAGGAGGAAGCCGAAGAGCAGCTTGAACGGCCGGAAGACGGCTTCGACCTTGATCCACGCTCGCACGATCCAGCTGCGGCCCTCGCCTTGGGTCTCCGCCGCAAGTCGTTCTCTGCGGATCAGCGTTCGTTCTTCTCGCACGAGGCCCTCGAGCTCACGCCTGTCTCTTGACTCGAGGCCGCCCTCACGGCCTTCGTTGCGGCCCTCCAGCTGCCTCTGGCGCTCACGATTCTGCTCCAGCTGCGAAGCAGTGTTCGCTGCCAAGTTTGGAGCAGAGATTGCGGGTGCTGACTTGATGAGCGCGACTGGGAGGAGTGCGAGTCCTGCTGCTGTGTAGAGTACATAGATGACCGTACCAATTGTGATGAGTAGCCCGAGCGCAAACGTCAGAGCCCTTTCACCTCCTGCAGACCGCTTAGCATCAAAGTCAAAGCTTATAAAAAGGGAAACGGGACTTACGGTTCTCGGTCAAAAGCTTCTTAAAGTAGTCGAGATCATGGCTATCCTTTGCAACGGGCACGAAGAATCCAACAAGAAACAGGATTACGACCAGGAAGATGAACGCAATAGTGTACTTGAACGCACCCCAGAATTGCTTTCCAAATGATTGCGTCCCCATTGTGCGCGCTTCGTCGTCGGTCTCTTCATGCCAGAAGTACGTAAACGGCACAACCAGGAGGCACAGAACGGCGTCCAGAGAAAACAGAGTGTAGTATACAATCTTGAGGGTGTATAGAATACTGTCGACAGCCTCAGGCGTCGCCCAGTCCTTCTTTCGCCCCTCCTTCGAAATCGTGGTTGCAGATACAAGCGCAACATCCACAGGCAGCAGCAGGATCGTTGCCAGGAGCGCGCTCATGGTGATGATGCATACTGTCGTGACCGAAGCAGCCCTGTCCCGCGGGGTCTGGTAGACGTATACGAACACCGAAGCAATAATGAGGAGAATCGCTATCGCGACTGCATATGCAACCCATATGAGGCTGGTCTGAATGAGCGCCATGTTGGCGTCAAGCTGCTGTGCGGACGTGGTCAGTCTGGAGTCCGCTGGGTGTATAGCTGAAAGTATAGATTGTGGACGGGCGCTTACAGTATTGATGTACGATCAGACGATATGGAGAGCTAGCTGGTGACAGAAGGAAGCTGACGATGGGGGAACTGCCAGGCTGGAGTGAGTTGGAAGTGGGGAGCGCAGGAGGTTTGCTTTCAAGGAAGTGAACCGGCTTGTCCGTACGATGATCGTAGCTTGGCCTGCGATGACGATCGCCCCAAGGACGCTGTGGCTGGGATTGGGCAAGCTCCAGCCACACTAACCGCAGGCTGAGCCGCGTGCACGGACCAAGCGCATTATGCAGTAGTTTTAGCTGCTCTCTATACGCATTCGGTCTCGCGACAGCTCTCCAAGAGAAGAGCTAACCTTCGGAGTCTTCGAATCACTCACCTTACGCCCACCGGTGTGCCGCGCTCTCAGACCTACTATGTTCGACTGTCCTCATATGAGAGCCGCTCGACCCAATGCAGTGCTATACTGAGCTTACGCCGCCGACGGCTGTCACGCATGCGCTCACACTCCCCTTCCTTGACGCCCAAGCGAACAATCTCATCGTTGGCAAAGGGTCTTTGCTACAGATATTCGAGACTACGACCGTGAACCAGTCGCCTGGGCCTTATCAAAAAGACAGCAACAATGCTCCAGGCGTAGATGGCGCAAACGGGCCCGGACCTACCACGAAGCTCGCACTTGTAGCCGAGTTTCCTTTGTCTGGTACAATAACCTCACTTGCAAGAATCAAAATACTTGACTCGAAGTCGGGGGGCGAAGCACTACTGGCCTCGTTCAAAGATGCGAAGCTCAGTCTCGTAGAGTGGGACCCAGAGACCCATGGCTTGTCTACAATTTCCATTCATTATTATGAGGCGCAAGACTTGCAGACCTGTCCGTGGGCACCGGACCTGGGAGACTGCTACAACTTCTTGACAGCTGACCCTAACAGCCGGTGTGCCGCGCTCAAATTCGGCGTGCACAATTTGGCTATTCTACCTTTTCGCCAAGTCGGAGACGATCTTATTGAAGACGATTATGACCCAGACAATGAGGATGCAGTGGATGCGCCCGCAGCTAAATCAAGAACGGCAAACGGTGATGCCCAGGACAATGCCTCTCAGACACCATACAAGTCGTCTTTCGTCTTGCCCCTCACGGCTCTCGACCCTGTCTACACACAGCCTGTTCATCTGGCGTTCTTGCACGAATACCGCGAGCCCACTTTTGGTGTCATTGCTTCCTCAAAGACTTCCGCGGCTTCTCTGCTTGCCGAAAGAAAGGATATTCTCGATTACACGGTTTTCACCCTGGATCTGGAACAACGAGCGTCTACCAAACTGTTGACGGTCCAGGGCCTGCCATACGACGTGTCTCGAGTTGCTGCCCTGCCGCTTCCGATCGGAGGTGCTCTCCTTCTCGGTGGTAATGAAGTCATCCATGTGGATCAAGCTGGCAAGACGCATGCAGTTGCGGTCAATGAATTCGCCAAGAAGAGCTCATCATTCCCAATGGCCGATCGTTCTGAACTAGCTCTGCGGCTGGAAGATTGTACACTCGAGCAGATATCAGCCGAAACTGGTGAAATTCTCCTTGTGCTAAACACTGGCGAGTTCGTCACCATCGGATTTCAGCTTGACGGTCGTTCGGTGTCGAGTATGACCGTGGAAAAGGTACCTGCTGAACGAGGTGGCAGTATCATGGTGAGCAGACCGTCCTGTGCGACTAGCATTGGCCACGGAAAGGTATTCATAGGTAGCGAGGAGGGCGACTCGATTCTAGTTGGCTGGAGTCGCGAAGCCAAAGCTAAAATCCCGCAATCAACTAGGAAGAAGTCTCATGCTGAGCTGCTTGCTGCAGACCCAGATCTTTCTCTTGACGATGATGATCTAGAAGAGGCCGAGGATGATGATGACCTCTATAATGATGAAGGTGGCGAAGCTAAGCAGACTACCACTTCTGCTGCTGATTCAGGCCCATCTGAGGACATCGTTTTCAGAGTACATGATTCGTTGACTGGACTTGGTCTCCTGAGTGATGTCACTTTGAGCAGTACAGCTGTCAGTGCCGACGATGCCCTTGAATTAGTGGTAGCGACAGGGCGCCGAAAAGGGGGAGCCGTATCCATACTCAAAAAAGAGATAGATGCCGTTGTGACTACGCAACACGTAATGACTGATGCACAAGCAATATGGTCCATCTCGGCCAAGAAACAGCCATCCATCGAGGCGTCAGATGCTTCTATGAATGGCTCTGACCCAGAGTACGACGACTTGTTGTTCGTATCAAAAAGTGGTGGCGAGGACGGCGGTAGCACCGTCGTGTATAGCATAAGCGGCTCGGAGATAGCAGAGATGGCAGAAGGCGACTTTGAACGAGATAGTGGTATGACGGTTGATGTCGGTACGTTGTGCAACCGTACGAAGATCGTCCAGCTCTTGAAGAGCGAGATTCGAAGCTATACCGGTGAGTCTCCCTTCTCCTTCTCCAGCCTTAAAAGACCCCGGTGTAGCGTGATGCAACGCGTATCTGAGCAGGACTCCTGTAGTTGCCAAAGGAGTGTGCATTTTGGCTGTATTTTCTGGTGTCATTGTAGACCTCAATACAATAAAACGTTTCCATCCACTCTATCGTTCCGATGCATACGTTTCCAGTCTTGTGTACCGATTACCCAGATGTCTTTGTGTCTTTGCTGACTGCTATGACGAACAGAACTTGGATTGGCGCAGATATTACCCATGGAGGACGAAGAAACAGGTGCCGAGATCCAGATAGTCAGCTCCAGTTTTGCAGACCCCTATCTACTGATTCTACGAGATGATGCAAGCGCGGTTGTCTTCAAGGCTGAGCTGGGCGGCGATATCGAAGAAGTGGAACAAGGCGACGACTTTCGATCCTCTAAATGGCTTTCTGGCTGCATATACCAATCACAAAGCACAAATGACGAGGCTTTGGTGTTCCTCATAAACGCTGAAGGAGCTCTGAAGATTTACACCTTACCGGATCTCGAAAAGCCTAGTTATGTCGCCGAGGGATTCAGTTTTCTTCCCAAAGTAGTCAGCTCCGGGCATGCGCCTCGACGTACCGCAAACAAGGCGACGATTACTGAGCTTCTCGTGGCCGATTTGGGTGATCCCGTGAGCAAGACACCTCATTTGATAGTAAGTGCTCGCGGTTAGACAGTATTTCATCAGTGCTGATAGCAATAAGGTTCGGACCTCTCTAGATGACCTTGTCATATATAGCCCATTCCATTTTCCTTCAGGAGACGGCACAGAGCCTTTCACGACAAACCTCAGATGGCTCAAGGCATCGCAGCCGCAACTTCCGAGGTACTCAGAAGAGGCCGCGGCAGAGTCACTAAAGTCTGCAAATGCTACCACGTTGAAAGTGTTGCGGAGTGTTGGGGGTTACAGTACAGTCTTCCAAGGGGGCGCCTCGCCCTCGTTCATCTTGAAAGAAGCCTCAGACTCGCCCAAGGTCATCCCATTACGAGGGAAGCCGATCAATGCAATCACCAAGCATCATACATCAACGTGTGAACAAGGGTTTGCTAGCATCGACATCGACGTATGTGTACCAATGAATGAAGACAATGTTTTGTCGGCAAGCTAAAGATCTTAGGGTGTTCTCCGATTCTCTCAACTGCCGGTTGGATTCCAGTATTCGACGCTTGGTTGGGCACACAAAAAACTTCCCATCGGCCAAGACGTCAGTAAAGTGTGCTATTATCCACCAAAAGGAGTGTATGCTCTCGCAACAAGCATTATTGAACCGTTCTCGCTTCCAGAGGACTCATACCACCATGAGTGGGCAAGAGAAGGTAGGTGTACTGGGCACAACACCGAAGGAAAATGCTAATCCCCGACTCAGACATCACGTTCCGGCCCGAGACAGAACGGGGCCAGATCAAACTTCTGCATCCCGCCAATTGGTCCATCATCGACACGTACGTAGCCTTTCACTCAAGCGTCGCACAAGATACTAACCTGCAACAGCTACGAGCTCGAAGAAAATGAGGTCATCATGTGCATGGACGTCCTGAATCTCGAAGTTTCGGAAACCACGCATGAGCGGCGCGAGCTTCTTGCCGTCGGCACTGCGTATGTGCGCGGCGAGGACCTAGCTACCAAGGGCTGCGTGTACATCTTCGAGATCATCACCGTCGTGCCCGAGCCCGATCGTCCGGAGACGAACCGAAAGCTGCGCCTGATAGTCCAGGAGGAAGTCAAGGGTGCGGTGACGGCACTGTCAGAGATTGGCGCACAAGGGTTTATTCTTGTGGCGCAGGGCCAGAAGTGCATGGTGCGAGGCTTGAAAGAAGACGGGACACTGCTACCAGTGGCGTTCATGGACATGCAGTGCTATGTCACGGTGGCGAAGGCATTGAAGGGCACGGGGATGGTGCTGATGGGCGATATTGCCAAGGGGCTGTGGTTCACGGGATATACGGTACGTACGGCGTACGTGAAGACGCACTCGGATACTCATAATCTCACAGGAAGAACCATACAAGATGATTTTATTCGGCAAGACACGCAGCAAGATGGAGGTCATGACGGCCGAATTCCTGCCTCATGACGGCAACCTGTACATTGTCATCGCAGACGCAGACTGCACGTTGCACGTCATGCAATACGACCCAGAACGTACGTTTGACCAACAGATACACTGAGAGCATCTAACATGCTGATACAAACCCACAGATCCCCAAACAGAGTCCGGCGCCCGTCTCCTGAACAAGAGCACCTTCCACCTCGGCCACTTCCCAACAACCATGACACTCCTCCCCAGCACGCTCGTGGCCACACAAACAGCACCCGACAGAGACAATGTCGACATGGACGACAACAACGAGCCAAGATCGGCGCCCCAGCAGATCCTCCTCAGCACGCAGTCGGGTTCCCTGGGCCTCATCACCCCGGTCGACGAGGCGATGTACAGGCGTCTTGGGGCCTTGCAGGCATTCCTGACTAGTGTCCTTGACCATGCGTGTGGGCTGAACCCGAGGGCGCACAGGGCGATTGAGAGCGAGGGCTATGGCAGTAGAGGCATCCTGGACGGCAGCATCTTGAGGCGGTGGAACGAGGTTAGTAGCCAGAGGAAAGCGGAGGGGCTGGCGAAGATGGGGGTAGAGGCGTGGGTTGTGCGGAGTGATCTGGAGTTTGTGGGTGGAGGTGGGCTGGGGTACTTGTGAGTGTTTGCATCTGTAGTCAGTAGATCTTGGAATGAATTGATTACGGGTAGTGTCGAGACACTGTGTTGTGTGTGTTGTTATCTCTCGGAACTCTCCAGGGCGGGGCTAGAGACGGGCTTAACAGTTGTGTGTACTCAGCTATACCTACCTACCGCACCAGTACAAAATTATCTGTCTCTTTACATACACCATCCTGAGCACAATACAACGACGCCGCGCTCAATCTAGAGCAACTAGCCGATGTTAGACACACTCGACGGCGGTGGCGAGACGCACAATGCCGCGCCAGCAGTAGTAGAACCGACGACACACGACGAAGCAGACAAAATCTTCGACGCTACCGCTATTACTGAACCTGAGCAAGGTCAAGGTCATGAGCTCGAAGCAACAGAACTGCGCTCCCTCGACGCTGGCATAGTGAGGCAACGAGGCGTTAGTACTAATACTGAAGCAAGCGAGCCAACACGTGCATCTCCACCAACCGCAAACAGAAAAAGAGCGTGGCAGTGGCACGATGGCATAACGGCATTCTGGAGAAGACAGGTCAGCGTCGTCGTCGGGGCAGATGCGAGACGCGACCATCTCGGTACGTACGAACGTCCGGGCGATCCAAGCACGCACGCGAATGTCACTCCTAGCATACCATGATACCACCCACCATAGCACCATACACCACATACCAGCACTAGCACACACAATCTTAGCATCCGCAGGGACACAGGGCTGACGCAGCGAGGGCACATCCAAGCAGCACTGGAACGAACATTCCTGGCATATGTACGCACCAGCGTCGCGCTGTCCATGACATCCGTGATCACGGCGCAGATGTTCCGACTGCAGCACTCGATCAAGCCGGACGCAGAGTTTGGCTTCTACAAGGTGGGCAAGGCGCTGGCGGCGACGTTCCAGGCGGCGGCGCTGGTGGTCGTGCTTGTGGGCGCGTATCGGTTCTGGCGTCAGCAGAATGCGCTGGTCCGGGGCAAGGTGTATGCGCGCGGCTGGGAGCTGATGGTGGTGTTTGGCATGCTCGTTCTGGTAAGTTTTTTTTTTCTTTCTTTCTTCTCTTCCTGATCGCGATCGGAGACCTGGGGGGGACAGAATGAGATTTGTTGATGTGAGCTGATGGTTAATGTGTTGAATGGGTGGATTTAGCTTGGACTGGCGTTGTTTGCGATCACGGTCGGAGTGGGTATCCGGAGAGAGGCGAGGCGAGCTGGGTGAAACGGGCGAAGTGAGTTCATGGCAACGAGACTGGGAAGATGCTGGGGTCGGAGGATAAAGACAAGGAGTGGTTCTGGTATAAAGTCTAAAAGGACGCTTGTTTATTGAAATGAGGACTCCGAAACGTTGAATTTGAGGGCACGGAGAAAAGCCCGCCCTGTGCCATGTCCGTAGGAAGGTATTTCGGAGACAGTCTGTGTGTGAAATTCGGGTTTTATAGGTAATATCGATATATATAAAGTATAGAATTGCCATCCGTCGTGTGGGATCTGGGACTTGGGTGTGTTTTACTTTGTTGGTGTTCTTGTCGTTGCCTGAGGTTTAGTCTTACAGCCTGAGGTGTCTTTGCATTCTTTCCCAATCTGCCGGCAGCAAACGACGCAAGAGGCAACGAAACGGTTTTTTCCATTTTCGGCAGGATCCACCGACAGCCCACACAGGTCGCAGCTGCCCCCAATACGTTCATTCGTAAGGGAGGGGCTACCTTAGCGGCTTCCAGGGCTTGTCATTCATTAGAGGCTCTTTTCGCACCTCCGAACGTTACACATACATACTCCAACTACTCACGTCACTGCTCTGCTGCATTCCAGCCCACAGTCCGACAATCAGCACATATCCAATCACGGTTTTCCCTCTACTACACTGACTGCTGCTGATCATCTCCTCCGTCAATTTATCCCGATATCGCCCCTCCCCGCCGCCATGGGACTCTCCAAGTCCACGCGCATGCAGATACTGCTGGCCATCGATGTGGCTTTCTTCCTTCTCGAGATTATCGTTGGTTATGCCGTCCATTCGCTAGCTCTGGTCGCCGATTCCTTCCACATGCTGAACGATATACTTACACTCGTCGTGGGTTTGTGGGCCGTCAAGGCCGCCCAGAAAGATAGATCAAGCTCTTTTACATATGGATGGAAGCGAGCAGAAACACTGGGTGCGCTCGTGAATGGCGTCTTCCTCGTCGCGTTGTGTATGAGTATCGTCCTGGACGCGATACAGCGCTTCGTGGAGCCGCAAGAGGTGCAGAAGCCAATGCTGGTCATGATCGTTGGCTGTTTCGGACTGGCCAGCAACGTCGTTGGCCTCTTCCTCTTTCACGATCACGGACATTCGCATGGAGATGCGGGCCACAGCCATGATAGCCATGGGATTGCCGAGGAAGGCCACAGGCATGCGCATGCGCATTCACACGACGCCGAGACCGATGCTGTTGCAGACGAAAGCGGACGAATTGTGGACGTCCTTCCAAGTACACGCGTGGCAGGATATGGGACCGCCAGCCAACCGAAAGATATCTCGTGGGATATCAAGGACACGCCGTCCAAATCGAATCCATCCGCATATCTACATGGAAGAACCAAGTCCGGCTCGATCCATCCTGGTTCCCTCCGTCACGACTTTCTTGTGGAGGCAGAGCAGATTCTGCACCCGGGCTCAGGTCAAGCTGACTCTGACGCTGCCTCGTCCGAGGCTGATTCCGAAGATGCCGAGGACAACGAACAGTCTGGTCTGTTGAACAAGGCAAAGTCACACGCCCACTCACACAGTCATGTCAAGAAGTCTGGAGCCGATCACAAGAAGCACCACCACTCTCAACCAAAGAAAAAGGGCAAAGGAGGCCACGGCCATTCTCATGGGGATCTCAACATGCGCGGCGTCTTTCTTCACGTACTCGGCGATGCTCTCGGCAATGTCGGAGTAATTGCGTCTGCCCTCATCATCTGGCTCACTCGATACAAGTGGCGATTCTACGCTGATCCGGCCATATCTCTCGTTATTACCCTAATTATTCTGCATACAGCCATCCCTCTTTGCAAAGCCGCATCTCGCATCCTTCTCCAAGCTACTCCCGAGTCTGTCGATGTGGAGAAACTCCAGGAAGACATTGAGACCCTCGAAGGTGTTCTCAGCGCACACGACATCCATGTCTGGCAACTCAGCGACACAACGCTGATTGCCTCTCTCCATGTCCAGGTCGCTTTCAACTTCCGCGGACAAGGCAGCCAACGCTACATGCAGCTTGCGCGAGAGATACGTGAATGCCTACACGGCTTCGGCATCCACTCGTCGACGATCCAACCCGAGTTCTATAACGACGGCGGGCCCGGCTCAGTCGATCCGATCGAGGACAACATCAGCGAAGCAAGCGACGGCATGAACAACAGCAGCAGGCAGGTTAGCAAGCAAAATAGCCTAACGGAAAGCATGCGCGATTCGTGTCTGCTCGACTGCTGCGACAACAAGAACGTCTGCTGTCCACCTGAGAACAAGCAGAATTCCGGCAGCAAGGACCGGTGATTTTCAAGTCTTTCTTTCTCATCTATGACCTTTTCACTCTCGCATAACCTTTCTGTAGCACGGCGGGCGGGAAGGCTACAGAAAGCGGCGTTTGGGTCTTTCTATCTTATGCAGGGGAGTAGCGTAGCATTTTCGGCCTCGAGTATCGAAGATACGATACCGGACGGCCTTTTCTTTTACGAGATAGAGTGCTTGGAGTTGGCACTCTTTCTTATGCGGGGAGCGTGGTGGTAGTGGCTTTCTCGTTTCGTTTCTTTTTGTGTGTGCATCGCTCTCTCTCTCACCACGCCAACGGGGCTTTTCTCCTATTCTTTTTTGTTTGTTTGTAGACTAATTGGATGTTGTTTTGCGGGGGTTTTTGGGCAGACATGAGGTTGGTGGATAGAGAGCTAGTCAGTCTGGAAGGTGTACGATGAGATAGATGGGTGTGTGTATGCTAGCATTCGGTTCGTTGATGAAATGAATGAATGAAGTGAATTAACCAAGTTTTTGAAGTACCGTGGTTGAGAATTTTTCGTATGTTATATTATCAGTATATTTTGTGATTGTAATGAGGGGGTATCATATGAAATGGAAAAGGATAGGCCAGCGTCTACTGTCTGTCTATATGTCCTGCCGAGCTGGTCTATGTGTATGACTGACTGACTGACTGACTGACATGTCGCGCTGTACCGCCTCCCTACACTACGCACTGCCATGCGACACAATCTCATCCGCCTTCAACAGCAGTGCCATCGTGCGCTCATACGTCCACATCGTGACCGCACTCGCCGGCGCCGCCTTCAGCAGACTGACGCTCAACCCACGATACAAGCCCCTGACGCCCTCCCTCACCACAACCGCACGCACCGTCCCCAGCACACCCCGATACTCAGGCAGCATATCACCATGCACATACCGACCCCTCGTCGGCCCTTGCACCTGCAGCCTCTTCCGCACCGTATCCAGCGGGAACACAGCCGTCTTGCTCGCCACACTCGCCACCACGCCCGCCGCCGCATCCCCGCTGCCCCCCGGCAACTCCAGCCCGCCCAGCACGCCCTTTAGCGCCTCGTACCCGGCGAAGAAAAGCCCCATGTACGGCACCACCTGGCCTACGCCCGCCGCCCACCCGCGGAAAAACCCGCCCTTGCCTTCCTGCGCGTGGATCTCGCGCACTGCCGCTGCGATCCCGGCGTAGACGCGCGTTGTGCCTTGTGCTGCGAAGCGCGTGCGCAGCAGGTCGAGCGGGTATGTTGCTGTGGTTGCGACGCTGCCGGCTACGCCGCCGGCGATGAAGCTGGCGGCTGTGTCTGGGAGGGTGAGGCGTGTGGGCAGGGCGGCGAGGGCGGAGTGGGTGTGTTTGTAGACTGTGAATTGGACGGCGCCGTAGCTTATGTAGAGGGCTTCGGCGGGCATGTTGCCTTTCCAGAGGGCGGTGATGCCCTCGTGTTTGAGCAGGTGTGTGAGGGTGGAGCGTAGGGTTGTGCTGCTGCTTCTGCTGCTACTTGTGGTGGAGGGCGCGTGGGGTTGGAGTTGGAGGCGGATTTTCAGGACGTCGAGGGGCGCGATGGCGAAGCGGGAGACGAGGCCTGCTGTGGCGCCTGCCAGGAGGACTTGTGTGCGTGTGCCCTGGGAGAGAGTGTTAGGTTTGGGAGGGTGGAGGGTGGAGAGAATAGGTACCTCATCTTTGAGTTGGGTTACGGCTTGCGACATGCATCAAGGAGCTGGTGTGGAAAGGCTGAGAATGAGGAATGCGGTCGCGTGTGCGAGGAGGACTGGGGAGGAGTGGAAGGCGTAGGAGTTGTATGACTATTTGGAAGAAGAATGAACGCTCTGTGCGGTGCTGATGTTGTTTCTGGAAACTATTGATAGTGGTGGTTGGGAACCATTGATATGAAGTGTATTATACTTTTTAATAATTAATTAATTAATGCCCGAAGTCAGCCCTGACGTCGGACGTTAACTCCGAGTTCTGGTCGCTGTCCTGCCTTAGCGCGTCCCCTCTCCCTTCACTAAAGTCTTCAGGACTCCACACTGCGCAATTGGGATCTTTCCCCCTCTTCACTCTCCTGATGCATCATTCGGTCAAGGGACGGCTCAGCTTGCCCAGATGGAGCAATTTCTGGGTCCCGAGGCGGCGGCGCTGGGCCTCGCTTGGTCTGGTCTGGCTTGAGTTTCTATTCGCACGTGCATAGACAATACTTGCACCTGCATTATCGCCCAAGAGCGTACAAAGTGAGGGGTTCGGTTGATACAAACTCGGGAGTAGTGGTATTTTGACAAGACCTTACTATCATCTTGCAATAGTTGTAGAATAGCCAGTCCTCTGCAGCGCCTTTGGCCATGCTGTCCTTGCGTGCGACATCAAGGGGCGCATGCCGAGTGTTAGCTCGGCTAAGCAGTAGACATGGAAGAGCAAGGCTTCTGAACACGAGGTGGTGTTTGGCTGGTCACGAAGGAAGACGGCTATATTCTGGTCAACAGAACACCAGTCCCGTCGTGACATATAGGGAATTCTACCAATCCAAGGGTCAAGGTGCCGCACCCTCTGGTCAAACGATGAGCAAAGAGAGCTTCACCCTGAACGACCGCATCCATCTGCGGGACAGCTGTATATGTCCAAAGTGTATCCACCCGTCGACGAGGCAGAAGGAATTCCAGACCTGTGACATACCACAAGACATTCAGATCCGAGACCTACACGTGTCTCCTCGGGGCATAACGATCAAGTGGGCTCCAGAGGTTCCCGGGTATAGCGAAGACCACGAAACGGAGCTTTCGCAAGCTTTTCTTCAAGAGGTCGCTGGGGTGAAGGCGCAATTGGATGATGGCGCATATGTCGACCGGCAAACGACATGGGACAGGGAGACCATCACCAAGAATAATCTGTGGTTGGACTACAACGACTACATTGAGGAAGACGAGATCTTATACGAGGCCATCAAGCATGTCCACAAATATGGTCTCCTATTCCTACGCAGCGTGCCAGACGATGAGACTGCAGTAGAGCGGATTGTTGGACGAATGGGCCGGCTGCACGACACATTTTACGGGCGGACGTGGGACGTCAAGTCCATTCCAAACTCCAAGAATGTTGCCTACACACAGCAGTTTCTAGGCCTGCATATGGATTTACTGTAAGTGCTTGGAGACGATGCTGTCCTGTCATTTCTGATACCTCAATTCCAGATACACGACCAACCCACCCCATCTACAGTTCCTCCATTCTCTACGTGCGCGTGCGCCAGGGGGCAATTCTCTGTTCAGTGACTCCTATCGTGCGGCCGAAACCATGTATCTGCACCACCGCAAGCTGTTCCACGTCCTGTGCAACTTCCCCGTGCAGTACCACTATCACAACGACTCGCAGCACTATTACTACACACGATACACTTTCGAACGACGCCCTTTCCCACTGCTCCCACCATCGCTAGACCCAGCCTCAGGAGAAGAAGGAGGTACTACGGCCAACATATCCAAAGTCAACTGGTCCCCGCCATTCCAAGCACCATTCTCCATGGCGAGCGACTACGCACCTGCCCAGCCACAGGGCTCCCGACCCACACTGGCCGAGTATCTGGAGGCAGCGAAGAAGTTCAACGAGCTGATTACGGCAGAGGAGAATCTGTTCGAGTACAGGCTACAGGAAGGCGACTGTGTCGTCTTCGACAACAGGCGCACGCTGCACGCACGGCGAGAGTTTGATGCCAGTAAAGGGGAGCGCTGGCTGAAAGGCGCATATCTATCCGATGATGCCTTCTACAGTCGATATAGGGTCCTGGAGGAGATGTTTGACGGTCAGTGGGTCGAGGACGGGCGGGTGCGGCACCCGGTTGAAACATTGTAGTGATATAAGACATACGCCTTGGCATGTGGCATTTCGATATATCACCTTCACAGCGGAATAGTTTGAATATCATGATGTCCATCACTAGCTCCGCTCAGCTCAACTCACTCTGACTGAATCCTCCCATGCTCACCTCAGCACACGCTAAATCCACCTAGCTCTGCAGAGCATCCTATCAGCTGTGGCACAACATCTATATAACAACCCTCCCATCCTCCTTCCTCAAAGCCTCATCCCATCATCAACACCTCCCCCTCCCATCCTCTCATCTCCCCCCTTACAACCAACCCTCCTCTCCCTCCCACCTCTTCCAAATATGCCCATCCCATTCTTCTCCCCACCCACACCAACAACCCCCTCCCCGCTCCCCTCCCGCTACACAATCCGCCCCATCCCCACCACCCACCATTCCTGGGCCGCCGCCATCGTCGCCCACTCAAACGTCTTCCACTCCCCCCTCTTCGCCAACGTCTACCCACTCGCCCAGCCCGCCCGCTACACCGCCACTCTACGCGCCCTAGACTACCTCATCGCCCACCAGCTCGCCCACGGCACCTCGCTAGGCGTGTACGATACCGAGTATCAGTACCGAACCGATGAGGCGCGACGGGTAGAGGGTTTGTTCTACGATGATGCTGGTGCTGAGGCCACTGTTGAAGGCAAAGGTGAAAGCGGTGCCGGCGAGGGTGCAGCAGAGCACAAAGACGCCAGCACAACCGCCCTGCACACAATGGACTTTCCCCTCGTCAGCGTCGCCATGGCCTACGACGCTTCTCGGCCGCTGGACCCTGCGAAACTAGCCCCGCTCATGGAAGCACTGCCTTGTTTCGCGCCTATCGTGCATGAGCTGGACGCGCGCACGCCCGCTGCGTTGGCGCCGTGGACGTTTGTCCCTTCGGAGCCGGAGGCGGAAGGAGAGAAGAAAGAAGACGAGCGAGAGAATGAGGGTGCGGAAACATTGGTAACGTCGGGCCGGGTGCTGATGCGACAGGCGACGTCGACACGGCGCGATTATGAGGGCTTGGGACTGATGAAGGGGCTTGCGCGGTATATGATGCTGGAGGCGGCGCGGTGTGGGTATGAGGAGATTCGGATTGATGCGTTTAATGGGGCGGTGAGGCGGGTGTGGATGGATGCGCCGGCGCCGGCGAGGAGTGTGTTGGTTGCTGGGTTTAATACGCGCGATGTGGAGTGTGAGGGGGACGGGGAGGGAGGGGTGTTTAATGGGGTTGTGTATGATATCTGTCGGATGCAGGTGGTTTTGTGAGGGAGAGAGGGAGAGGGAAAAGGGGGGATTAAGGGGTTTTTTGCACAGGATGGGTATGAGGTTGGTGTAGGGAGATTCTTGGTATATGGTAAAGAGATGGCTATTCAATCGTCGTCGCTCTCGTCTTCTTCAGAGTCAGCGCCGTCATCATTATCATCATCCTCATCTCCGTCTTCATCTTCACCTTCCTCGTCCTCCCCTTCTTGTACGCCGTCTGACCCGCCGTCGACATCCCCATCTTCCGCCTCGACCTCTTCCTCCTCCTCATCCACTCCCCATTCCCCAAGCACGTCCCATCGATCGCCCTTTGCCGCTTTGCTGACGTACTTGACGAATCGCAACACGCCCCTGTCGCGCAGCACAAGACTCATGGTATTCCACCCGGCCCAACTACTGAACAGAATCCCATCATCCTCGTCCGCGCCACTACTGCGATAGACTGCTGGATCAGCCTTCCGCCGATTACCAGCCCCTGTGTGACTCGAACTTTTCGGCCCGCCGTTTGGTATCTCGACTCCATCGTCAGATCCAGCGTCGTCTGGGTCGTCCTCGGCTGCCATGTAGAGCTCGTAGCCACCGATAGACTCTTTCATCTCATCATTTGCCTTCTTCTCCGCGCCGTTAGGCTTGGATGAGCTACCGTTTTCCTTGTTGCGAGGTGGTATCTCATCCTCATCCTCATCCTCCTCGTCGTCCTCGTCTTCACCAGCCCACCCTGTGGAAGGTGTAATGCCAAGACATACCTCCAACTGCGGATCTTCTTCGTCATACGACGTTGCAAGAGAGTAGTCTTTACCTCGGCGGAAACGACGCGCCAGGATATTTGCTTTGTTCAGGGGCAGACCAGTCGCCATAGAGAGCCATTTCTTGAACTCAGGCGACGGGAAGAATGTGTCGATGAGCTCGTCGTATGCTGTCGGCTCACTGGTGTTTGGCTTACTCGGTCTCCTGTACTGGAAGCGCTTCTTGTATGGTGGTCGAGCGACTCCAGCCGCTGCAGCGTCTGTAGAACTCGCAGGCAAATCCTGGTCTGTCCCATCGATAGCTTCTATTTGATCGCGTATCGCTACAGCAAACTTGGGTGATAAGACAGCCACGAGACGGAGAGAGGCGTCTTCCTCAAACTTGTCCTTGAGCTGGTCTACAACGTCTGGAACGAGGTAATTTGGATTCATGAATCTGAGGAGGAATGTCAATTCGTCCTCGGTCCAGTCATCATCGGCACCGGTGCTATCACTTTTTTTCTCCGACTCTTTCCATGCCGGTTGCGGCAAGTCAAACTTGTCCGACTTCCCCTGGAGTTGTTGAAGCGAACTGCGTTCAGCAAGCTTCTCTTCTAGCCCCTCTTCATAGCCTTCTTCCCCTTGCTGTGGTATGTGAAACCATCCGCTAATGGCCATGCGCACCCGGCCTCCGTCATCTTCATTTAAGCCCTCTGGTTTATGGTATACCTCTTCCACATCATGGAAACTCTCGCCAGGCTGAACTGTGAAGAACGACAATTGATTGAACGCAGGTGGTATCGACACAGTGAAGTCCGCTGTGGGAACTTTCATTTCCGTGCCGTCTTCGCTCCGGCATAATTCGGTGGGGTATAGACGCAACGCACCACCCCATTCTGGCTTCCACGGCCGGTCGGGGTCCAACAAGTACAGGATATAGCTGACGCGACGACTTCCAATGACATCGTCGTGGCATAGGAGGTGACATCCTGGTGTGTATATGTTGACAGCCATGTCCGTCTTCACGCCGCTCAATGGCCCAGAGCCTGTAACCGAAGCTATGTATTTGCGGAAGGCTGACGAGTACATCGCATCGCGGAGGGTCAGAAGTGACGGCAACAGCTTCAGTGAGGAGTCATCGAGACCGTCGAGGTTCGCCAGGTCTCCCGACTGGTGGATTCTGTATATGTCTGTCTCCTTGGGTGTGAAGGAGATGTTGTTGCGAATCTCTTGTCGAACGTCGCGGAGCAGGTCAGTGCTGATAAGGTCTGATATGACGCCATGTTTGTATCTGAATGCAGTTTGTCAGTCTACAGGGGTATGCGACCTGATAACGCCTACGTACGGTTGCGAATTGACATAGGCGGATTGATATATGTTCAAGGTATCGGCTTCGAACAATCCAGTGCGGAAGTGCTTATGAGCTTCAGAATCTGATATGGCTCGCTTCTTCGACGGCGCGGCGCCATTGACGGCATGGTCAATCTCAGTTTTACGCTTCATGTTATTGATGAGGATTGGAAGATACAAAAATATATGAAGCTGGACACAAATTACGCGTGGATATTCATTCTGCCAGACGAATTTGTGGTGTCTGTGCTAGCCCCGGTCAAAGAAATAATAGTGGGTCATTTGCCGACACCAAACCAAAATAGATTTTAGCGCCAGCCTTATTTCTGTGCATGATAGTTTCTCAGCCGCAATGCCACATCTACGCATAATGTAGGAAGCCTCAGGCCAATACGGATTTCGCAGTCTGACAGCCTTCTTTCATACGTCTTTCTTTGTTTCTTTCGCCTGTCTGCTCCGACCCCTCTTCTGCTATAATGAAGAGCCCAAGACTTCGATAGTACTTCAAACGCTCCGGCACTTACGACTCCCTCGGGCGATCATGTACACGACGCGTCATGCGTCTTCAGGCTTCCACTAATACCGCCACTGCATATGCGTCTCGAACCATCTTATATGCTTAATCGTCGTCCACCTCAGCGTTGAGAATTACTGTCGCGCTCTAAGGAGACAAGTACAGTCACATGCACGAGGAGTTTGCTCACCTCAGGTATTTTCTCGGGCCCAGCACTGATCTGTCAGCCGGAGACGTATCTGGCATCTTCGCGCATCCACAACACGTTGCACGTGCCAGCCTTAACAAAAGCTCTATTCACAGTTCTGGGTATCTCTGTTTGGCTCGTAGCGCGGAGTTGAACACCCGGGCCGTGACGTTGACTAGCCTCATATCAAAAAGGACGAGATCCGCTGTCGTCCCTCCCCCCAACTAGTTTCCAGTAGCGGACCCTGAAATAACAAATTAACACATCGACACGACCCCAGGACACTATCAGGCTCGTTATGAGGGAGATAGACGCCCATTTTGATGCCTATGAGCATCTACAAGGATTCCCACGCGAAGATGAGGCCCTACACCTTCTCCGCAGGGCGGCCTCTCTCGTCAAGCCTATCATGCGTAAGCGCGGCTGGAAGATAGGTACACTGGCCGAATTCTATCCCGACGACCCACATCTTCAAGGCCTGAATATCAACAAGACGCAGCGAATATTCCTCAGACTTCGCTCAGGGCATAGGAGAGATGCCTTTCTGGTCTTGGAAGTCATTGTGGATACGCTGCTTCACGAGTAAGTCTGCTTCTTAGTCCAAAGCATCTCACACACGTAGATGCTCAAGATTATTCCAGGCTGTCTCATATCGTGTGGGGTCCTCACGATCACAATTTCCAGAGACTGTGGGATGAACTCAGAGACGAGCATCAGGCTCTCCTCCTGAAGGGATATACAGGAGAGTATTTCCTCTCAGAGGGCAAAGTACTCGGTGGGAAGCGAGTACCTCTGGACGAGCTGCGCCGACGCGCGAGAGAGGCGGCCGTCAAACGCATCAACCGCTCCAAAGGCTCCGGGCACTCCGGACAGCGCCTTGGCGGCAGCACGGGTGTGCGTGGAAACGACATGCGACAAGTGATTGCGGATGCGGCGCTTCGCAGAAACAAGATGACGAATGGCTGCGGTGCTGGCAGCGCAGAGGTGCAGAAACAAGCCACCGAGCAGTCACGCACAGCTGGGTTCCGAACGAAAGCAGAGGAGGACGATGCAAATGACCTAGCTATCTCGAACGCTTTGATCGAGCTGATGGAAATGGAGGAGGAAGAGAAGCTTCACCGACTTATGGCGCCAGGTACAGAAGGGGGTCTGGGCTGGACGAAGGAGGGGGGACTATCATTTGGGGATTCTTCGACATCATACCCCCCTCCACCGCAGGCGGTGCTGTCAAGACAGGACTCTGTACGAGTACGAGATGACAGACCCCTGAGTCGACTGGTAGTCGGCGACAACAATCGTCAAGGCCCCCGGCCCAGCTCATCTCGTCAATCCTCGTTCCAGTCTACACATTTCACGCCATCAAACTACAGTTCACCTAATGTAGGCACAAGCACACCGATCGCCAGCTGGGCATGCGAAGTATGCACGCTCGTAAACCCCAGCAACTTTCTGTGCTGCGATGCCTGTGGCGTGGAGAGACCCGTCAACATATCAGACCAGATACACAGGCAAGCGGCCATGCCATCAGCCTCCGATTATGAATCCCTAGTGCGGCAGGCCGCTAGCAGTAAACCCCTGGGCTGGAACTGTGATCGATGTGGCTCGTTTATGGATACTCAATGGTGGACATGTTCTGCATGCGGGCTTATGAAGGCTCAATCATAGGGTGTAGATGGCGTTGATATACCCCAGGGGGAACAGAGTACTGTCATGAAATGGTGGGAACCAGAACCATGTATTGGCATCCTTGGTACGAATACGATAAATGATAGTGCCTATGCTCCAGATCTACGCCTCTTGCTTGAACCCTTCGATTCAGACCTTGCTTCACATCACATTGTGGACCCAGGAGCTCGAATCCTCACACTAGATACTATTGATAGCATCCTCCAGCACCACGCCCACGTATGTCCCTGCTTTGCCTTCCCAATCACCTCCATCATGTCAATCCCACTCCGTGATTCTCCACCACATGAATCAGTAACATCGCACACCACAGCCCCAGGGCGTTCAGACCTGCATACATCTCCCAGTAGCAGCGAATTACATGCCCAACGCCCCACACATCCAGGGAGCCATCACAGATGGTGGAAACCTAATCTCGCATGACGCTGAGCCATGCAGACGGCATCTCGCTGCATCTCGCGCCGTATCACGCACGTGCATACATACATACATACATACATACATACACACTGACCACCTCGTTGCGGCCCGAATGGATCGGACCAGATGAGATCTCGAGGCTCTATCTAGATCGTAACGCCACATTGGCACGAGCGAGCGGGATCAGGGTTCCAGGACGGCTTATGTCTCCGCGGAGGAGGATGCAGGAACGGCATCGGTCGCCTTTCCCCGCGAGCAATGCGTCGTGTCGCTTGACCCGAAGAGGTAAATTCACAGCATGTGCATGACAGTGTGGCGCGGTGATAGTCGATGAACGATGTTGAAAAGAGAGATCTCAGGGCCCTCCTCGGCCGTGGGAAAGAAAGGAGAGGGGGGGGATCATTCGCACTTGATCCCACATGCATCCCACGCTCACTCGTTTAGATCAGATGCTCGATTACGTATGGCCGTCTGTCATTTACAGAGCAGTAGTTCTATGATCTTGAGTGACGCACGGATGCTGCACGAAATGGATAGCGGCGATCCATAGATCGGAGATAGCAGCGATCTCCACGTTGGCGGGAAGGTCTTTGGGCGCCTACACTCCCGATTCACCATTCTTGACTAGACGAATCATGAAAAAATTCTGCCCAACCCCAGGTCACCTAAAATCCTAGAAATTTCAGCCCTGTGTTACCGACGGTCGGGGTTTCATGTGCCAGTACCTGGGGACTGGCTCGGATACATGCTTGTCCGGCAGTGGAGCGGGTAGGGCCGTTCAAGATCGTCGTTGCAAGGTCCGGGCTGCTCCTGGATGGACCCTTGAAGTATCGTCTTGGGCGATCTTGATGATGTCTATCACGAACTCTGTCTAGCCTCACTAGCAATTCGGAATCCTGCGCACTGCGCTTTTCAGGTATAATATAAGAGCATATGAGCTTGGTTTGGTGGCGTCCATCGCCTCTGCCGTCTGTGTGGCTGACTTGGGCGTTGTCTGATTTACGTTTGGGGGTATAGCTATTGGGCTGAAGCCGTTGACTAGCTGAGATCGATGGCAACTCCAAATAGGCTATATTTTCAGGGTCTAAGATCGGAGCCCGCCAAGATCAGAGTTAGATACTCATCCAACCGTTGAGGGTATCATAAACGCTTCCCATTCGTGGGAAAACTGCATGCTAGAAATACAAGTCTACTTTTGGGGGTTTGCGATGATGTGCGGACTATTCAACCGATTAAAGCCACTTGCTGACAGTGGTTGTCAGCAGGTGACCATGGAAGCCAATATCAGGATTCCGTGGGCGGCTGCAATCACTCGTTGTTGAACGAGGGGTGTGGAGACGAGCACAGGAGTGCAGAGATGGTCAGGCCAGCTTTTTCACTCTCCATCCAAGCTTGCCAAGCATCGCAATACCACATGTTCCACCCAAGTGGTCAACATGCCTTTGCCGCAAGAGGCTCAATACCCGCCTCCTCGATTTCCTCTTCCTCCCCTCCCCTTCCTCCCGCCTCGCCAGCGACCTCTGAATTTTCCGCCTCCACGCTCTGTACTCCCTGGGTTCTTCTCCTCTCTTTCTCGTTCTCGCTCTTCCTCTTTTTCTCGCTCCAGCTCTCTTTCCATTCGTTCTCTCTCTATCTCTTCCTTGGACTTCTCGATACGTACTTCGGGTTTTTTGAGATCAAGTGGAAATCTTGGGTGCGCCCCATTCTTACACGACCTCCCGTCTGGGCAGAAGCCAGCCATATAGAATGGACAAATGTTGGCTTTTTTTATGTGTTTGTTTGCGCAATACGGCCCCAACGGACAGAACCCTCGCTCGTAATGTGGACATGTCGGCCGCTTAGAGTCAGGATCGATGTGTAGATATAGACAGTCTTCTCCGTTAGAGCATGTCCCCGTTCGAGAGTAGTATGAGCATTCGGGCATGCGACGCAGATTGTATTCGTGAAGAAACTCGCATGCATCTCCTTTCTTGCAAAGACCTCGAAGCCAATGTTTACAAACAAGACTACAGCCAAAGCCACTGTTAGTTGCTGAAACGGAGTAATGTTTGCCCATGGCCGCATTTTGCCACTTACTTGTTGTAAGAAGACGACGTCTGATGCTTATCTGGGCAGTCTTTCCCTAGTGGGCAATAGCCCTGTTGCTGCGCCTTGCAGACTGGTCGGTTAGGATCGAGACCAAATCGGAATTCACGTTTGAGAAAGTCATTGAACGTAAAGTCAAACGAAGGCGTGGCAGTGTGATGAAGGATCTGTTGAGCCACAAGTCGGCCTGGGGCGACTTCAGCCGCCATGTCTACTTGCTCAGCTGGACCTACACCAGATTGGACAAACGTGTTGTATCCTCGAGACGTGATATCGTGCAAAGCGGAAGAACTAGGACAAGCGGGTCGATACGTAGGAGTGGTCTCAGATCGAGCTATCACAGGATCTAACAGGATCTGGTGGAAGGTTCACAACAGCCGTGCTGAGGTGGAGGAGGTGAGGATACGATAGGTTGGTAGTAGCTAAGGAGGATTCGCGATGACGCAAAGGAGGGCAGCGGGGAGGTAGAGTATCGCTACTATGATTTATGGGCGCATGACCAAGTGTTGCTGCTGGGAAGAGGCCGATGGTAGACGGATGTCAGTGTGATTTGCGACAGTAGTGATAGTGAATACAGCTATTGCACTTTGGACGTAAGAAGCCAATACCAGGTGGCGGTCCGAGTGTAGTACTGATTCTTCCCCGATCCAGTCTATAAAATACGTACTCCTGTCGCGTAGTCACCCTCAATTAGTCTCGGCGGCTGGACGTCCGTGCGTTCCGCTATCGGTCCCCGTCTCAGGCTTTGAAGGCTCGGTCGGGCTCGGGCTGGCACCACCCGTCTTTGCTAAATAAGGCTAAGGAGAACATGTCAACAACAAACCTTTGGGAGACAAATGACGTTGAATAACTCGTCGTCACCTTCGTCTTGACAGCTACCTTATGTCTGATCAGCTACATACTCACTTCGATTGACTATCTGCAATTTGGTGCGCGATAGCTGATCAGATTGTCTAGAGAGTATCCGTCAATCCTCTTGTACCATCTTATTCCCTTCTTGTCTGCTTTCCTCTAACTTAGGCTCGTGTTGATAATTAAAACATATAGCTCCTCATTTCGACCCCCTCCCCCCCCTCCCCCATATTCGTATTCCAACGCCATTTCTCCAGCTAGCGAAGCGTCTTCTCACTTGACCTGGTACTGGCTGTCCCGTGTCCTCACATATTACTACTTGCAGCAGCCTGGTCCTATCGTAGACCGCCAGACCTCTCTTCAGTACCGTATTGAAAGCGTTCAGTCGTGGCGCTTACTGTTGACTTTAGTTGGCATTGTAAGAAGAATGAAGCATGCATTCCGATCCAGCCCGGACCCCATCCATGTCCCTTTATGTCAGCGCCCCCCAAGTCAGTGGCGCGTGCCAGTCTTCTTTGACACTACTTCGTACCGAAGCATTCATTTCGTCGTAGGTCTTTGGGCTTCTTATGGCCCCTGGTCACCAGTGAGCTATCACTTCCGTGCGGCGCCCGTGCAGCTACCAGCATGCTTTGCGGATAGAGCTCCATATTGGGCTGCTGATTGCAATCCTGGTATGGTATGGCAGTTTGTATATGCCAGGATCCACATTGATGCCAGCCTTGCTGTGGTCTACTGCGAGTAACTCCTTGGCAGCAGTACGCCTCCTAACAACGATCCAATCCAGAGACCTTGGCTTGTCTGCCTTACATCTATGACAGATAGCAAACAACGGGGCAGACCATGCGCCGCATCAAGAGTGCCGATCAGTCGGCACCTATTCCAGTCGATCCGCTGTAATACCATCCCATCGGAATGGTTAGGTACAGTCTGGAATGGCTCGGGAGGGCGGGAGCACCTGTGGAAATCTCCTCGCGTGCATTCCCAGTTCAGCAACTTGAGGTTACCCCATTGGAAGCCCTATGGCGTACCCTGCGAGCCGTGTGGTTCGAGTGATGGGACTACAACATGGTACATCAGTCACTCACTTAGACGACGCTAGTCGTTGGCGAGAAACATGTCTAGAGCGGCTCGAAAAATCATCGTCATCTTCTGTTTCGAGTGTCACATTTACCCTTGGACGATATTCATTCAAGCAACTAGCCATCACCACCGCATCCAGAAACCTTCAGGTGCTAGTCCAATCTTGCCTGGACAACTCTATCTTTTCATATGCTCTCTGCTGACCTTACCTGTTTGCAGTTCTCCTTTGTCTGTCTCACATCTTCGACCTGACACTCACGGGTCAGAAGTATCTGATATCGTCAATCCAGACTTCTAGTATATACATCTCCTTCACGACCTAGGATTGTTACGTTCCGCAATCTTCTCTGGATAACAAACAATATCTCCTTTGGCACCTCAGTTATGTCAAGCTCTTCCGCTGCGAGCTCTTCGGAGCCTGGATTTCGTGGACAACGCTGGCCGATGCCTCCAGTTGTCGACATGTTTGTAAACGCCGTGTACTATCCCAGTTGGAAGATATACAAAGGTCAGAGGCCGTCTTTGTTGAATGTAGCCTGTATAACTCATATAATTTACGCTTTCGCTTGGTAGGTCCACTTCCAACCATAATATCCACTCAAGAACCTAATTCGCTAACGGCAAAAATCAAAGGGTGCATGCGAACGGCACTGTGAACGTGAGTCCTTGAAGCATCTTCGTCACTACTACCTCGACTGACGTATGTAGCTGAGCGATCAATGGGCTGATGCTGATATGATCGTCGATGGTCACTTAGGCTGTCTTAATGCCTGTACTGCACTGCGACATGCAACACGTCGTATGCCCAAAGTCCTCCTCTCATTAGGTGGCGGAGGCGAAGGGAGTGAACACTTCGCCGCCGCCGCCCGAACGGTCGAGACACGTAAGCGATTTGCGATTACAGTCAAAGAAATTGTACTGAAATATGACCTCGATGGAGTGGACATTAACTGGGAGTGTCCGCAAGACGAAGAAGAAGGAGAGAACTATGTTCAACTATTAGCCACACTCCGGGGTTACTTGCCTCTAGAACGCTTCGAGGTCACTGCGGCGCTCCCATCCAACGAATGGGCGCTGAAGAACATCGACCTATCACGCGCAGCATCGTACCTCAACTACGTCAACCTCATGACATACGACTTTTCAGGTCCTTGGCTGAACAAGACAGGCCATCATGCTCAACTATATACTCCTGAAGAACCTCACTCTCTTGCCGCCACTCTCTCGGTAAACTATGCTGCCTCATTGCTTGCTGTGCGCAATGTTCCGTTTCACAAGATTACGCTAGGCATACCTCTTTATGGAAGATCATTCTTGCGCACGCACGGGGTCGGCCACTCTTACAATGGTCAAGGAGGTGAACTAGGCGTTTATGACTATCGCGACCTACCTCGACCAGGCGCTCAGGAGTATGTTGACGAGAATGCCGTAGCAGCATATTGTATTGGTACGAATGGCGAGTTCGTCACCTACGACAATCAAATCACTGTCGAGAAGAAGGCAATCTATGCACGTAACAACCGGCTAGCAGGCCTTTTCTACTGGGCAGGGACGGGGGATGCACAGGGAGATAAAAGCTTGGTGCGTACCGGTTACATGAGTCTACATGGGTTTTAGAACGTCGACAAAGAAAACCAAGGCTGGCTATGGCCGTGAAACACTTGCAAGAGCAATGCAATCATGTTCAGTAACCAAGAAAGACAGAAGGTCTCGGTTCCATGTACAACAACCGTGCCTTGCCAGTCCAAACAAGAATTGCATGAATGGCTCTGATATTGGTCATTCCATGCTGATCTATCACCAGCCTACGCTATACAGCATAGCGGCTCTTCAGCCTCATTCCACAGTCCATTGCAATTGGCAAAAGGATGTAAGCGACTAAGACATGTTCAGCAAATAATCTAGACAATGTTTTACGCACGCTTGGACTGGCCAAATGGCCTTAGTTAGTGCATTCTGTCTGACAGAACTGTTAGTTGTACCGGACCAGGGGTAGAGTTCGACACGATAGATGCCAATAATATCGATCTGAACAGTTTCCCAAATGGTTGTTATACTATGAACCTTGATCAAGGCCTGATTAATGTCAAAATTAAAGATTTTTCATAAGGTAATATGGGCCACTTGGTCGTGCGGAAGATGTGAATGCGTAGTGGAGTGATGCTGGGGTAATCAAGTAATTCAAGTCGTAGACGGACCATGCAGTTGTAGATGTGGAGTCTCATCCGAACGAATCCACAAATTATAATTAAAGATATATGCATCAACCAAGGTCTAACGAGTTCTGTAGAGCGAGCATGGCAGTATATACCTTATGGATAAGGCCTTTTGCAGTACATGGACCATCCATAGGGCTGACCATCGACAGGTACACTAGCCAATCACAACCCTGGTTCTGCACGTGGGCCTGAGCTTAAGCCATGTCTCGCGATTCGCGACGTGGTGCTTTCAAAGTGCATGGAGCGTAGCACTATGAAGCATCGCACTCAATTATTCGGTCCTGCAATTCAGTCGCTTGAGGTACTTTCGCCACTATCCACCGAATCATAGTCCAGTTGCCGAATCATCCTACAGCTGTCTTCCGAGCACGAACCTCGCTCACACCTTTCCCGATTCCAACTCACTACGGAAGCGCGCGTGCTCCCTCCGCCATCTTCTGGGCCAACTCCACGATCAATGCATATATGATCGACCTAGGCTTGCTCTATGCCTGCTTCAACTTCTACATCTCTAGATGCTGGTAATTGAACCCCCTCCTCCCTAATGGACATACATGTAATCATAGGCTAATTTTCAAAGATGACTATAGCCCGATAGACCACTTGAACGCTATCTTCTCACACCCTGCAGCGCTCAGCTCTGTCTCCGACACTTCGCAAGCCTTGAGATACTATCAGGATGACATCGACGAGAATATTGCAGAGGCTGTTGCTGCCCAGACTGCCTCTGATGCCGACAGTGTTCAGAGAATACAGACAGCCAAGGCTGAGCTGGCAGATCTATTCAAGAAAATTGAAGGGGTGAAGGCGCGCGCCTTCCAGACTGAGCAGACTATCACCGAAATGACGGCTGATATAAAGAGACTGGATAGTACGAAACGAAATCTCACGCTGTCAATGACCGCGCTGAAACGACTGCAAATGTTGACAACAGCTTACGAGCAATTGCGAGGCCTGAGCAAAACAAGACAGTACAAAGAATGCGGGCAGTTGTTACAAGCAGTTATACAGTTAGTAGCACACTTCAAGAGTTATCGGTCCATTGATCAGATTGCCGCACTGAGTCGAAATGTGGCAGAGCTACAGAGCGAGCTGCTGGAGCAAGTGTGTGAAGACTTCGAAGTGACCTTTGCCAAAGGAGAAGTTGCGCAAAAAAAAGGAATGCTTGCGGAGGCGTGTCTTGTTATGGACGCCCTAGGTGATCATGCAAAAGTGAGGCTTGTCAACTGGTATTGTAACACTCAACTGCGCGAATATCGGCAAGTCTTCCGAGGCAACGACGAGGTACGGCGGCCTATTCATACGAGCGCTAATACGCTGGATCTAATCATTTGTAGGCCGGATCGTTGGACAATATTTCCCGTCGATATTCTTGGTTCAATCGCATGCTGAAGACGTATGATGTAGAGCACTCGACCATATTTCCACCCCACTGGAAGGTAAATGAGATGCTTGCCAACTCATTTTGTGAAGGCACACGTGATGACTATAAAAGCATCCTCCAACGAGAAATGCGCAGAACGGATGGCCAGACGCTTGACGTGAATCTGCTGTTGTCTTGTCTCCAGGAGACGCTAAACTTCGAGCACAGCCTTGAGAAACGCTTCTCAAATGATATTTCTCGAATGTCAATCGACACAGCGGGATCGAGAGACGAGGGTTCGCGAAGTTTCAACCAGTCTATCTCCGAAGCATTTGAGCCGTACATGAGTCTCTGGGTCGAGTCGCAAGACAAGCAACTGGCAACTCTGATACCGAGATACCGCGCTGAGCCTCTTCGGAATCCGGAGGAGGATTTCTCATCACAAGCTGTGATCCCTTCTTCCACCGAACTGTTCCACTTTTATAGACTCACACTTGCTCAATGCGCGAAGTTGTCCACTGGAAATAGGCTGCACGAGTTATCAAAGACTTTTGCAAAATATCTTGACCAATATGGCCAGCAGGTTCTATTCCACTTTTTAGGGGAGCGAACAGGTCCAAATGCGCCTCCAATCGAAGATATCATCCTCATTCTAAACACTGCAGATTACTGCTATATCACATGCAATCAATTGGAAGAGAAGATCAAGGCTCGTATCGATGAAGACCTGCGGGACAAAGTTGACCTCCAAAGCCAAGCAGATGCCTTCATAGGCATAGCAAGTGCCGCGGTACGAGCTTTGGTGCGCAAGGTTGAGCTTGACTGTGAGCCGACTTGGCGAGAGATGCGCAATTACCCCTGGGCCAAGCTGGAGCAAGTGGGAGACCAAAGCAGTTATGTTGCGGAGTTGTTGAAGCACGTAAAGAAACGCGCGTCCGAAATTCTGAAAATGATTCACAAACCGCAATATTCTAGGGCATTTTGCGACAATCTGATCGACTCAATGGCCACGTCATACGTCACCAACATCGTGCAATGTCGACCAATCTCTGAAGTTGGCGCAGAACAAATGCTACTCGATTCCTATGTGCTCAAAAAAGGCTTCACTGACATTCCCATCATCAACGAAGACCCCGGTACTACACCACCACAAACGTAAGCAACTTATTTACTCAAGCCTTGCCATTCCAGCCAACTAACGTGAATTCTAGTTTTGTCAAACGCGTCAGTCAAACCATGGCTAAGCTAGACCCTCTCCTCAAAACCCTCCAAGTCCGCCCTTTACCCCCTGAGGCTCTCGTTCAGGCCTATCTTATCCATATTGGCGACCGCTCCGATACCAACTTCCGCAAAATCCTCGACCTCAAGGGCATCCGTAAACAAGACCAAGCATCCCTCGTCGATCTCTTCCTCGCCCACCGTTCCGGGCCTTCCCACAAAGACCTCCCGGCGTCCTCCCCTCTTCTCACACCTCTCCAGATCTCCTCCAGCTCCTCAACCATATCTTCCTTGGGCGCCGGCCCTATGCTAACGACGCCGAACTTGACCGGTGGCCGCTTCGATCCAAGCACGTTTGGAAGTGCAATCATGAACGCGGCTAGGGATGGCGTGGACAGATTCGGCACGCCGACAATTGGCGGTGGCGCTTCGAGTACGGCATCGTCGAGTACGAGTCCAGCGCCCCCGGACGGTGGGCCCGGTGCGAATCTAAATGACAACTTGAGGAATATCGGGAGGTTCTTCCGCAGAGAGGGCACGTTTGGGCGGTTTGGCCGAGGCGGTGATGGCGTGGCTTGACGCTGATGATAACTCAGATGTAGTGTTGACGAATACAAAAATACCATGATTCTGTCTAAACCTGCTCTCATTTCGCCTATATGTGTGTTTTTGTTGTTTGATTACTTTGTCACTCTCGTTATCTCCTTGGCCCTTATTCCCGATATGGATTTTCTCTATGGACTTTTCGGGTCACGTCCTGTCACACCCCCTATACTCGCCTTTCCACTCCTCATTGCTCATATCCCCACTATCTCTCTTTCGGAAGCCCAACAGCACACACACCACACCACCCACCAGACAATGAATAACAAGACAGCACGACATTACCCATTTATGATCAAAAAAAAAATGCAAAAACAAACACGTAAGTCATGTAGCTACGGTGATGGGCGCAAGGACGCATCCACAACAAGGGGGTTTTCAAGGAATTTTTTTTTTCGTGGGCGACAGAACGTCATGGCTTCCAGCGAAATTGCATGACGTGTCGTGTCATGATGTGCTTTTTCCCCTGTTAACTTTGGCTGGACGTCCGTTTTTTGGTCTTTTTGTGGGTGCTCCAAGGGGTTCGCCGGGGGGGGGGGGGGCTTCTTGGCATTTGCAGGTAGTCCTGGTATTTTGTGTGTATCTAATCTTGTAACTGTGGCGAGGGATCAGTACACTTTAAATAGTTACATAGATATATGTGTGAGATTTGATTCGTTGATATTAAGATTTAGATTACTTTTGTCAAAAAGAGAAAGCCTCGCCAACGCTCAAGTATTACTGATAAAACTGGGGGTCACTTTCGTGATACATGCAATCCCACAATATCCCGCCCGTATTATGAATGAATATCATCATCATTGTCGTCACAGTCATCAACCACAACACTGTCAGCCCTCACTTCAGCCTCTTCTTCATGCCCACATTCAAGCCCAACGGCTTTCTCAAGAACCCCTCACGCGTCTCCATCTCACCCTGCCGCAGCTCAAATTCATAGCGCCGAAATACGGTGCTAACGATCAGGCAGAGCTCCATCTCCGCAACATTGCGCCCCACACACGCGCGTGGCCCGTAGCTAAACGGGATAAACGCATTCTTCTGCTTCTCCGACACGGTCTCCCAGCGCGAGGGCACGAAGTCGTCGGCGTCGGGACCCCAAATCGCCTTGCTGTGGTGGATCGTGTACGCGGGTACGCTGAGCACGGTGCCGGCGGGGAAGTGCTGGCCGACGAGCGTGATGCCCTGACCAGGGGGAACGACGCGCGGGAGGCCGAGCGAGGAGGTGCTGTGGATGCGCATGGTTTCCTTGATGACGTTGTCGACGTAGGGCAGGTCCTTGACCATGCTGAACTGCGGGACGACGTCGATGTCTGGGAGCGCGGCATCGAGTTCTTGCTGGAGTTTCTCCTGGACGCCCGGGGTGCGGAGAACGTGGTAGAGCAGGGCGCAGGAGGTGTTGGAGGTGGTGTCGCTGCCGGCGATGAGTTGGGTTAGAGCTTCGGCGGTGAGTTCTTCACGGCCGAGCTTTTGGCCGCTTTCGTCTTTGCCTTCCATGAGGCGTGCAAGGAGGTCGACGCGGTCGGAGGGCTCCTCGGCATTCAGCCGTTGATTCACGCGGGCAACAGCTATACCGGCAAGTTTCTGCACAGCTTGGACGCCTTTGGAGAAAAAGGGGTCTGGTATGTACTTCGCATAAGGTTTGATGGCGGGGAGACACCCAATTGTTCTAGAAAAGTCAGATCCGCGGTCACAGACGTGCTGCAATCAGTATCACGTACCCAGAGACTTCACCTCTTCTGTTTAAGACCTCGATGGCAGGCGCATATTTTGGCTCCGATGTGGGAGTTTCGCGCACTTCTGCTACATCTTTGCCTTCTTTGAGCATGCCAAAAGGCGCACCGAAAGCAAGATCTCCAATGATGTCAAATGCGAGATAGTTGAACCAATGCAGAGCATCCATATCGACGTAATCGCCCTTCTTTGGGCCTGCAATGCGATCCCATTGCGCAACGAGCTCTTCCAAGTTATGGTGGATGTATTGTTCAAATTGTCCGACAGACTTCTGGCTAAATGTATGCGATACGGTCTTGCGTTTGCGCGTATGCTCGGCTCGGTCGCGAGTATTGAAGAGACCACGTTTTATAGACACAAAGGCGTCATAGTATTCACTGCACGTAGTCAAATGTTAGCATCGTCGTCTGCCGTCTTATTGCCCTGTGAACATACCTTTTCAGGAAACCATTGCCATGACCATATATCTGAGGAATGGCGTCCGCGTCCGCAACACTGACATGGTCTGGCTGGATCCTGACCAAGGTACCATATTTTTCATGTGCCTTGTCTACACTAAGATATCTCTTTCCCTGTCGACACTGTAGGAGTAGCCATAGGTTGGTAAATTGAGCTGGAAATGGTCCTGGAACCTTTCGAATCTGCCAGTTGCGGATATATGGAAGCAGGTAGTAGAGCACAGGGAGGGCCAGAAGCAGCCACGGAGAGGCAAAGATCGTGAGGAACATAGTTGGTCAGGTCGAATTCGATCAGGTCTATACAGGGAAGCTTTGAATCGATCGATAGCATGCAAGTAGTGCTTCAGATAATAGCGCGACCCGACAGAGGATCAGGTCAGCTTATATGAAGCCACAAGCTATCCGTATTTCATCCTCCGAGTTTCCAGCGCAGGTAGTACGACGGCGCAGTCATGATGAATGATATTATAGACCCCAGTCGAAGCTCCAGATACCCAAACTTGTGTGGAGCCAATGAGGGAGGAGACAATACAAGCCGAATTGTGAGCCGCGACCCCGCTGCGGAAGGGGGCTCGACGGAAGCGGAGTAGCAGGGACAGGGATTAGGGTGTCAGTACATCTGGGGAAAGCTGTCTCCGACTCATCTCCGGGATGTCTCCGAACCGAACCCGAGCGTTGTCCCCTGCCCATGCATGCCTATCTACGTGATCTTACGCGCGCCTGATGCTCCAGTGCATTCGCATCATCTGCCGAATCTGTATCCGTATCTAAAGAAGATGCCGCTCTCATCAGCCTTTGCTATCGCGAAACCTACTTGTTCCCGTGGTTGCATTCCTGATCCAACTCATGTTCAGATGACGACCGTCGACAAGTATGGAGTATTGCCATTGAAACGCGTTTTAATTACTGTTCACCTGGATTCAAGAATGAATACAGGCTATATGGACCTACGAGCATTGATCTAACGCCTCTGCATCGCTCTTCCTGTTGTCAAACACCTCGCCACCACCTCTAATACCATCTGTCCAAGTGGTCCAGAAGTCATACATTTCCAAGTCCCATGCTAATTTTCCTCAGAGCTGCTGGCCATGTGTGTACGAGATCTATGGTACTCTTTTCGGAATGTACTTCGGCGGTAGGCTATCTTCGCCACTCGGCGGCAGATAAAACTCATGAACTGTTCTAGGCGTAAAGAGCGCATTCGACGAAAGCTCTGGGACAAAGAGACCCCCTTCACCATTCTCCTTCAGTCTCGCCTCTATCAGACTCCTTGTCAAGACTTTACGGGCCTTCGGGAAGCGATGGTGCTAGAATCATTCAGCTCAGTTGATTTCGGAACAGTGGACCAGCTCACAAATGCTGAAGTGTATAGGATTGCGAACATATATCCTGGACGAAACTCAACCCACACACAGCCTTGCGATGACTCCTCTCTGACCCGGGGCGAGAATACTGCAAATCCGTCCAGTGTCAACCAGACCGTGTCGACGTAGTATTCGGCTGTTGAGAAAATGCTGAATCGGCTATAGCGAAGTTGACTGTATCGGAAGTTCGCGCTGGGCTTGGTGATAGCCAATGGATCGTCTGTCTTTGATTGAGCCGCACGATCAATGGCTAGCTGCTCAACAATTTGGTTGTGAATAGCAAGCTCTGACCTGCTCCGTTTATCATAGCCAATTTCCAGAGCCTTTCGAACCTCAGTAATGCCGGCGGTGTCGTTCAGAAGTCTTGCATTACGCAGTACCATCCATAACCTCTCCATGTCCGCCATATTAGATTGATATTGCGGTAGTAACAGAGTGTTAATGATCTCTCGAACTCGCAAGTACCTTTTCGTGATCTCGGCGCACTCAGCAACAGGCTGACTGCTTTCTAAAGCCCGGCCAAATTCACATTGTAACTGTACCAATGCATCGCTCTGCACAACCTGTCGTGGGTTTACAATGTCTGAGCATAGGTGCAGATCTAGATTGCCGATTTCAATCGGATTGTTCGCATATGACTGCCGGAATTCGAAGAGGTCTCGATAAACAAACTTATATTTGCACTGAATGACATTAGTAAGCCTTGCATGACTTACTCTTCGGAGCAGAAAAAGAGGGGCGATAGCCGAATGTGCCAAAGCAATTACTTGGTCGCTACGGAGTACTACCAACCGTCTTCGTCTCTGAACGGCGGTAGACGTAACGATAGCCGTAGCAACAAGACTGAGAACTTTGGGCAGGTTGGAGAGCATCTCGGTGAATGTCTGTACTACATCCCTTAATCGGTAGGTTGCTTCGTCTTGTTTTCTATCAGCAGGCCAATCAGGGCATATGAGATCCATGTCGGTATTGACACCGTCCACCTCCACCCATATGTGGAAGTTCTTCATTTTCTGCAGCGGAATATTGGTAAATTCTCGTGTCATATTTTCCAAATTGCAATCCGTGAATCGTGGCATCCAATGTTTCCCGAATATACTAACACCGGACCGAGATATGTTGACGTCAAATTCTGTCTTTGCAAAGAAAGCCCCTATCACCACTGCAGTCAACGCCGAATTGAGCTTGAGTATTGGTCCGAGAGATCTTTTAATGCCAGATATAGAGAGAATGTCGCTTGCTTTGCAGTAGACTGCCAATAATCTATGGTCCGGCTCTTCGATCACGTATTTGAAAATCTCAAGTTGGAGCTCTATGGGTAGCTTCAGAATGTGACATACTTCGTTCTGTGCCTGCTCCACGTGTTCATGACAGTACAAGAAATCGCCTGTCTGAAGTAGGAAAGCGCGGTGGCAAGGTCGTCCACAGGTCAAGATGGCTTTGCACTTTCCTTGCGCAATTTGTCGACTCAGAGCACGATGTGTATAGCAGAATCGTATTGTGCCTTGGGCGAGCGGGCCGGCGGTGACCCAACGCTTGCATCTTTTCATCCCTCGAGTCGTGCCGCTGCAGATAACATCAGTATCCATGACGTGTTCAGGACATGTGTTGGCATGATCCTCGTCTTCCGTTTTAGGTCCAAGGGGTTTCTTGCTCCTCATGATTAAGATGCTGCTGCTGTATCTTTACGGAAGAGCTGAAGATCCTGTGAGAGCGGAGATCTTACAATATCCATCAAGTCAAGTGTCCCGACTGGGGTAGATGATACGTCGAAAATGAGCTGTTGCACCGCATAAACATTCAAGGTGAACTGTGGTGACGGACTCATAAACAAAAACAGGTGAACGGATTAGTGAACGGACGTAAAGCAAGGGGATGTATACACTTAGAAAACACTTCTGATTGATTACCGCTGGGAGAGTGAATACCGAAATTTAGACCTAATTTAGTGCAGTTACACGATCTCGCACTCGCGATCAAACCCATCCAACTGACAGAGACTTGTAATGTAATGGGTTAACATACTTGGAATAGTATATGAAGGATTATACAAACTCCGCTTTGAGATAATGAAGTGAAATAGGGGTGGGACCAGCAATACCACAAAATACTATCTATGACCATAGCTGTGAGGATATATTCGCACAAGCTCGATTCTTAGACCCATGATCAAAGTATCTTGCCCCTAGAAATCATGTTAGAGTCTTGTTGTTGTTGGGTTTCTGACTTAATTGTATCTTACTAGCCCCCACCATCACCAGCACCATATCCCCAGCCTTGGAAGTCCTCATTCCTGTGTTCTCTCCCAAATGCCACCTTACGAACTTGTGCCAGCATGTCGTCTGGCGTGCTTTTGTTTGGTACAAATACCAACGCAGCATCAACCGCAGCTTTATCCGTTCCAATGTACTCCCCTTGTGCATCGTGGGCATAGTGTTTTCGATAATGATCACGTGTCATCCGCCGAACATGCACATTAGTAACGACCTCATGTTTGTTCCTTATCCAATTTTTGAAGGACCGGACCTCTGTAGAGCTGACCATGGGAACAGATACAATATCTTTGGGGCAACCTTCCAGAAGTGAACGTAAGGATGATGCAACATCCGCATATTGAGGTCTATGTGTGTCAGATGCCAGACCTTGAAGTTCTGTATACCCACTTACGGTTGTTCCTCCGAATACTCCGGAGCAGACTCACGCGACTCTGAAGATTCTCCTTCAGTAATGCAAATCTGAGGGGCAGTAACCGCTCCTAGATTCTTCGAATCACACTTGTTCACCTCCAGCATACCGACGGGTTTTGTGTGATTATGTTCAGGATTCAGCTGCTGTTATATATACATTGAGTGATCCGCTTAAGTATGTGTGCTGAGTTCGCATAGCCCTGTAGCGGCCTGCGCAGTCGGTGGCTATGTCTCGTACTCATGTAACGATGACCGAGGAAAATATAGCGGGTTTGGCGCGCGCAATATAAATCGGAAGCCGTTCAGCGCCGACAAGCGCCACTAGGCGCACTTGTGGAGATTCAAGGCAGGCTTCCACAGTGAAATGTTGAAAGTTTCTAGCACGCAACCCGAAGAACAAAGAGGTTGTACTGAGCATAGGATGCAAGTGTCCGTGTGATCGCGAAGACGTAGGCGCCATGAGCCTCATCAGGGGCCCAATTCTGAAGATACATTGACATCATCGTTCGTAAAGCGGTACGCGCATGCAATCACTTGGGAACCCGTTGTGGAATGACACTTAATCCAAGTAGCGATACAGAGAAGAGAGTACAATCATGGTCTGTGGACAAGACTAGGACATTGTCTTCTATGCTATAAACCACAGCCTTTTAGCTGAAGACCCGCCACTCAACATTGGTGATCGAGTCTCAAGATACAGAAATAGGGTATCCGAAACCCTCGAGAATAAATCAATATATGAGCGCCATACACCAAGCTCACGCTGTCAAATATAGTAGTACAGATAAATGGGCATCATTCCCTCGTGGGAGATGTATTCTGGCCCTGGTGAAGGGCATCTGAAGCCCATTCTTTTGCCGAGTTGACTTTATCAGTCAACCAGTCAAAGAAGTCCTTGACACTATCGAAGACATGCACAGTCTGGCTCTGGTCTGACTGCTGGTCGTTGTGTGTCTCAATTGAAGTCGTTTGCGCAGTCGGCGGTAGAACTGGGATCCCTGAAGGTATCTTGTGACCTTCTATGTTCTCGTGGTTGCCGCTTCCAGGCAGTTTGTGTGACGATAGGTTCTCATCGACATGAGGAGGATCGTTAGGTCTTTCTATACCTGGTGCACCTGTCTCATTGTGCAACCCAATTGGTCTAAGTGGTAGTCGCAGCGTCCCGTTGTTAGGCAGTGGCTGAATACCGAGCGAGTCGCAAACAATGTTATAGAGCTCGATATTTTCTGTCTTTACTTAGATGATGAAGGTCGGAATAACGATATGGTTACTTACGAAATGGCTCTACGCGGCTGCCAGGCGAGTGTGGGAACGCCGGCCCCCGAGCAATGAAAATTGCCCTCATTAGTGGGTGCATGTTATCATAGCCATGCAAGCCCCTTGGACGGAAAACTTCACCGACTTCTTTGGCTTTTGCAATGTCAAATTCGTCTTTCTTCGCGATAGCCCAGCCTGATTTGGGTATCAGCCAGATCGGAGCTATGCGATTGTTCTTCGAAAAGTGATATCTCTTTGGCATATTGGTCTCCCGAAGGTATACCTCGATATTTGGGTTGTGCTCAGTCTTCGCTACGATCTCATTATACATGCGCTCGACTTGGGTTGAGTCTTTCGGCCTCAGTCCAAAGAGTGGCCAGCCATCGATGTGCTCAATCTCATTTGTATCCACGAGATCTTCCAGTTGGATCATGCGTTCGGTATCGGTGGTGGCCATGCCGTGATCCGATACTACGACAACATTGACCAAACCAGTCAGATTACGCTCCTCAAGGCCAAAGAATAGGTTTTCTAGCATCATATCCACGGACTGTATGGTCTTCCTGATTTCGGTGCTATTCGGTCCAAACTTGTGTCCGTCAGAGTCGACATTCGGAACGTAAGCGGCAATGAGCTGTGGGCGAGGCTTGTCATCCTTAGCACCTTGATCTCGCGGACCAGGGAGATCGAGTAGTCCCAAGATCCGTTGGACCTTCTTCGACAGGGCTTCGGATCCGTTATATTTGTCGACATAAGCAGGCTCAAATTTTCCGATGTGTGCTTCCGAGCCAGGCCACATATGAATGGCCGCGCGCACGCCCTGCCTCTCCGCAGTTTCCCATAATGGCTCTCCACCCCACCATTTCGGCTGCATGCTCTGGGCTGGTTTGGTATACCAGAACTCTTCCATAAGATACGGGTCCCAGAACGTGTTACCAACGATGCCATGACTTTCTGGGTGTAGCCCGGTGACCATAGTGTAGTGATTAGGAAAGGTAAGGCTTGGAAAGCTCGGGTACATATAGCGCGGAGAGATGCCATCGTGCACAAACTTGTTTAGCGTTGGAGTAAGTCCACGGTCAAGGAAGTCTGCTCGGAAGCCATCAAGTGAGATAAGAATGGTCGTAGGTGCGAAGAGGGACGAGCCGTTCGAGAAGAATGTGATTGCTGATACCTTCGGCGGGCTGGACGCAGCCCAAGCAGCGAAGAGTAAAATGAGGAACAGGACAATGATTACTAGGCCGATACATATCCATTTACAAGGTCTGTATTTGCGCCCCTAAGAATGTATGAGTGTAAATGCCAAGAGGACGTGTATTTGGTTCTTACAGCTTTCTTTCCGTGTAGGGATTGCATGCGCTGTCTATCCAATATCGAAGGGTCTCTTGACGATCCCGATGATGTTGATGAAGGAACCCCTTCTTCCATTTCATACAGAAGTTCACTGTCTTCTCCCTGCAAAGCGCGCTCCTTGCGTTGTGCTCGCCGTTTAGCTTTCCTCGTCTTTTTCATTGCTACAGGAGCATTTGGATCTTTAAACAATTTCTCAAGCCCGCCGCTTCTCCTTATACCTGACAGTAGCATTTCCCGCTCTTCCTCCTCTTCTAGTATATCTTTGTCGTCTTTCTCTGAGCTGGAGGGCGTATCGCTCTCGTAATACGTCTCATCATCATCGGACAGAGGATATGCATTGGAGGTTTGATCATTGGTGGGCATAAGGCGCTTGCCTTTCGACGGGAGAGCAGGCATAATTGAGGGACTAAAGCGACCTCATGTGCATTCGATTGACAGTCGAGGAGTGTTGTGCAATCGTGGTGATTGACTTCTAGAAGTTTGATAGTTATTGTCCCTCTACCGCAGATAGTTCGGGGTTAGGCTGACGTGGCTGTGCCAATCCGGATGATACTAACAACGCGTAACTCGGTTCTCCATTGTACACGTTTTCATGTTTATATGAACGACATCATGAATATATAGCCAGAACAGAATGCATTTTGACTATTCCCGGTATTAGTCGGGGTCAAGAAGAATGAGAGCTCTGTTTATAGAGCATAATCACGAAGTTTATCTAGGCGCGACTGTTATTGTTAAAACATTCCCTGGTCCAGTGAACCACTTGGCGCCACTATGCTTGATTTGCCCATCACTCAACACGTATAGCAGCCGATAGATGTGCACCGCAAGTCCAGCCCAACACCAGACGTCGACACATCCAAGTTCATAGACTGAGGCGTCTTCTATATCTGGTTGAGTTCGGCCCCGGCGAATACGCATGTCCGACCCATGGCCCTTAGAGACGAAGTCTATGAGCCTTTTCCAAAAGTTCAACTGCAGTTCCACATCCCATGAGAATGTCTCAAATGTCCAATATCCCCTCAGTCCAGGAAGACTCATATCAACATCCCCATTGATACAACTTGGTTGATATACTGTGAGCAAATTGGGTTGATCTCGCAGATCTTCTAGTTGCCGTGTTGCACATGGTGGCCACGGGGCTTTGTCCTGCTCTCCGGGTCCGGGTGGTTTACTCGTCGACGGCAGAGGTGAAATGACTGAAATAGGTAGCGTCTCAAATACATTCATATCAGCTCTTGATCCTGACATAGTAGTCGGATTGAGAACCAGACTAGACTTGCACATTAACGATGCTCGTTCTTCAGAGGTGTCAGCATCAACGAAGCCATATTGCGATGCACAGCTTGACACCACTTCCACATGTACTGCCGCGTTGTTCAGTGACACAATATCTAGAGGGAGTAGTGTAGATCTCTTGCATACATACCTCTGGTAGAAGTATGGATGACTGGTAGTGCCATCGCTTCAACTTCAGACTCTAGCAGTATCTTTGCATTGTGCATAGCATGCATAGATCCCCTGTCCTTGTCACGCAGATTTGCCGAGTGCAGGAACTCCGTTTGTTCATCCATCAAATCTGGCTGAATTGATTGCGAAATGTTCTCCTGGAGCATTGAATGCGGAACAGACTCGATTATCCCTAGGCCGAGGCTTAGGGGAAGCTGAGAGGTCATATCGCCGGATGAGGCGGCGCGATCGATGGGCTTACTATGATCGATGCCATAATCCTGAGATTGCGTACTCATCCTCGACGAGTCAAGGAGTTCATCTGTTGTCGCGATGGGCCCCTTATCGAGGTATGATATAGGACTTAAAGACTCTCGAGTATCTTTTGATACATGGCTGCCAGAAGACTTTTGATTGGCCTTGAAACCACTTGGCCCTGGAAACAGTTGGCTTTCGATATCTTGCATGGCATCCTGAGTATCGTCGAAGTAGATTGGGCTATTGTTTTCTTTTCGAAGTGTTGTGAGATGTTGACGAGATGAAGTCGGAGAAAGGTTAAGATCTCCAACAGGTTTCCTATGGTGCTCAATCGCTGTAATTTTCCGTGCGATCTCTTTAGAAATTGAGGTGGCTCCCAGATTTGAACGTTCATTGCGTACCTCCGCAGAAGCACTTACTTCCAATAACATGGTAGACCCAGAAGTCCCAGTATTATACACATTCCGGTGCTGTTGAGTGAAAGTGACTGTTGGCATTTCTGTATGTAAAAGTCGTATGCGTTTTCGAGGTTCAAATGTCATGTATGCTTCCGACTGCATTCGATACAAGTCGTCATCCTTCCGCCTTGCGGGTGCCGAGACATGAGCCAGAATCTCTTCCATATTGCTGGCTAAACTGTTGATAGAAGGGACAATGTTCGATCCAAGCCATATTATTGAGGGTTCAAGCGTGAAGTCCAGACACGTACATTATACAGCAGACGTGTAAACAAACCATTCTGGAGTAGAATGGCATGAACGACCAGTGTACGTGGTCAGCACCGCAGTCCTGTGCTGTAGAAGAGACAATCTCCTATTGACAGCACTGATATTTGCCCGTAATTTAATGACTGAGCACAAACAGAATGCAAGGACAATGGGCTAGTAAGGGCATAGATAAAGTTCAAGTTGCTCCAAGTATGAGCTAAACACGTGATCGGGTGAGCTTAAGTACGCCAAGATTTACACCCCACCAAGATTGAAAGTTCGATATTTGTGCGGTTCCTGCTGCAGCACTTTGAGCGCTTCATCTCACTGCAAACATGGCGCCCGCTTCTCTCGCAGATTTGATCGGCAGTGTGCCTGACAGAGATGGCTGGGGACCTCCGACAGTGGGCGAAACCATGCTCGACGGTGTTCCATTTGCTCCATACTCTAAGGCCGACAAATTAGGCCGCATGGCAGACTGGACCGATGCAAAAGATCGTGAGCGAGGAGGCCGGCAGCAATATAGCAATCGTAACTATAGAGGTAGTTATGGGAGAGCACTGAGTTCTGGGCTATACTTATGTTTCGCAGATCAGCAAGTTTATGGCGCAAACCAAGCGAGCAATCCTTTCGCAATCCAAGTTGCTGAGGAGGAAGCCACATTCTCCGTCGTCGACAACACCAGAACGTCCGCCCGGACCCGAGGTTTCGGAAGAGGGGGAGGAACAGTGTTCCGCGGCCGCGGCGGTCAGCGTGGTGGTCCAGCTCAGCGCGGCGGTCGCGGTACATTCCAGCGCGTCGGAGGCAATCGCGGTGGACAAGGAGGCTATAATGACCGTGGAGGTGCAAGGGGAGGTCGAGGAGGGAGACGTTTCGGCTGGAGGGATGATAAGCCACAGCGTAATAGAGATGCCTCCGTCAATGTTAAGCCTGATTGGGTCGTTTTGGAAGAGATTGATTTTCCCAGACTTATGAAGCTTAACTTGGAAACTGGAGAAGGCGATGACCTTGACAGCTATGGCTTTCTTTACTACTACGACAGATCGTACGACAAGGCACCGGGCGCGAAGACATCCGAGAGGAAACTGAATGTATTGGAGAGAGCAGCCTACAACGTCACCACATCTAGCGATCCTATCATACAAGAGCTGGCCGATAAGGATGAAGCCACGATCTTCACCACGGACAACATTTTGTCGATGCTAATGTGCTCTACAAAATCAGTCTATTCTTGGGACTTGGTCTTCACGCGGCAAGGAAACAAAGTCTTCATCGACAAAAGAGAGAATTCGAACATCGATATGGTCACAGTCAACGAGAACGCTGCTGATGCACCATTGGAGCTCTCGGAAGGTAACAAGGATACCATGAACAACCCTGGCGCATTGATGCTGGAAGCCACGCACATCAACAACGTTTTTCCTCTCCAGGTCGTCACAGAGTCCCAGACCTCCAAGGTCGACATGGCGAACGAGCACCCATTCTATAATGAGGATGTTGAAACGGACCCGCCCGCGTCAAAGGCTTACAAATACCGCCGCTTTGATTTGTCCTTAGAGAAGGATGAGGAGCCGTTACATATCATCGTGCGCACAGAACTCGATGCTGTTATGAAGAACACCATAAATGGCGAGGACCAGCACATGACTATCAAGGCTTTGAATGAGTTCGACAGCAAAGCTCAAGGCAGCGGCGGAGCCCTCGATTGGCGCAGCAAACTTGCCAGCCAAAGAGGTGCTGTCCTTGCCACTGAAATGAAGAACAATGCCTGCAAGTTGGCTCGCTGGACTACCCAGGCCATCTTGGCCAAGGCTGACACCATGAAGCTTGGGTGAGCTATAGGTCGTACGCGACTATATAAACTTTCGCTAACATCCAACCAGGTTTGTCTCGCGTGCGAACCCGCGGAACAACAATGACCATGTCGTCCTGGGCGTACTGACCAATAAGCCCCGTGATTTTGCCAACCAGATGGCCCTGAACCTAGCCAATGGCTGGGGTATCGTCCGGACTATCTGCGACATGTGTCTGAAGATGGAGGAAGGGAAGTATGTTCTTGTTAAAGACCCTAATAAGAACATTCTGCGCTTGTATTCTGTTCCAGAGAACACCTTCGAAGACGACGGCGAAGAGGCTCCTATCCCTGAGGAAGAGGTTGAAGAGTAAAAGACTATCCCAAGCAGTCATAGTAGAGCCAGGGCAAAGAGTGTGTTGTTACGGAGCATAGTCATAGATCCAATTTTTCAAGTCACATACGATGGCCCTCAATGGTATGCTGTAATCCCGTTCTCTTCACGAGCAGCTCGTATAATAAATTTCCCGAATTTAATGACATGTCTCCTAAACTGTTCTGCTGTCTGACAAGACAGCACGACTTACTATTGGCTACACTTTATGTAAGCTACCTATGCTGACACATTCTAGAAGTGGGGTCCACGGTAATGAGAACCTGGAACACTTGATACTGGGCTACTGTTGATGTGGCTCACGTACTTGAAGAGACCTCTTCACAGGAAGAAATAATGCTGCCACATGACTACTGACCATGACCGCACAAGCAAGCCGCACAGACTGGCTTCAGCGATATGCTACGAATTACCATTGCTGGCGAACCATTGCTGGCACCAAGCAAACATTTTTCAAGCGACCTCATGGCTTGACCGAGGGTTGGTTCAGTTGGGATGGTGACGACTATCAGGGCCGCGCCGATCTTACTTTTGTGTTCAACCTTGAGGTTTCACACGATATCGGATACGGGCAGTTAATTCGTAGGGCGATATTGGCATGGGCGAATTTACGGCTTCAACATGTTATGCTCATGGCGAAGATTACCGAGGAAGGCCCCGATAAACAGAGGTGGTTTGTGATACAGAAGCCTGAGGGCTTCGAGGAAGCGCTAAGAGATGCTGAGATGACTATTGGGTGTTTAAAAGAGCGAGACTCACCTCTGGATCTGACTGATTTCCTATTGCATGCAAGCAATACCGGGAGATTACTGAACTCCAAAGTAAGCTTATCGAAACTCTTCGTAGCTTCACCGGAGCGACTATCACAAGACAAATGTAATATGAAGTTCGCATTTGCCATGGGTCACGAGATTACAGACGGTATGTCTGCATATAATTGGCTTTCACACTTTATCCGGCTTTTGAATACTTCTGAACAAATACTCCTGGAGAATGTAGACAAATTTCGAACCCAGGAGCAAATCAAGTCTCGACTTCCACCAGCCCAAGAGGATCTATACCTTGAGATACCCGGTAACAAAGCACGTCAGCTCTGGTTCTGGGCCATATTGCGTGTCCTGCGTCACGTACGGAAGCCACTACCAGCATGTTTCGTCAACCCCTTGCGAAAGGAAACAAGGTCGTCTCAAGACTTTGAGCCAAAATATCAAGATATCCTGGACTATTCTAGGGATCGCAAACCGCCTAACAATAGCGGCTATGTTCTAGTGGTCCTCTCGAAGTTGGCGACAGACCATATAAAGGCCATTACACGTGAATCAGGGGGGACCATCGGTGCGGCATGTTTCGCCCTTGTCGCACTTTCCATGATGGAACTAGAAGAAGAACGCCACCCAGACGTCCGTCCAGCAGATCGGAAGCCAATGATCATGTCATTTCCCATGAATCCGAAGCCATATTTTGGTTATACAAAACAGTCCGAGTCGTGTATGCTCAGTTTCGGAGACAACTTCCTCCTGCCATTCCTACCAAGTGACCTGGAAAGAACAGGTCGATTTAGGTTACTATTGAAGCAGTGCCAGATCAAGCTCAGCTTGTATCAAAAGCGTATACGGAGCCCTTCGGGAAAGCTGAGCCTAGCGGCCTACAGTCCATCAAGGCTGCTCGCGAGTGGATATCTGGCACAGCTGGATACGGGTTTTGGTATCAAAAGACCAAATGGCCAGCGAAGATCGCCATACAATCCCCAAGGTGCTCTCGGCTCAAGTCGAGATGCGTCATTGGCCACAAATGGTGTGAGTAATGTTGGTTCAACAAGACAATTCTTCGAAGACGTAGCGCATCAACCAGCGAAAGAGGCAAGTAACGATTTGAACGCAAGGCTGACTTTCACACGCGGCGGAGTCAGAGCCAGAGATGGTGAATTTCTAGTAGGTAGCTCGACGGACGTGACAGGCCTTTTATCCTTCGGAGTTTCATATGATGCAAGTTGGATTAGTGATGGGTGTGTAGCAGAGTGGAAGAAAAAAATGGAATCGCTCCTGCTTCCCGAGGTTACATCGCGCTTGTAATGTCATAAAAGCCTAGGCGTAGAATTGATTATCGGTAGATATTTCAAGTGGCACTTCGCAGCTGTAAGTAGTCACTTGTTGCATCTATGAGGCTAATACAAGATGCGGAGGCTCTATACGAGTAGTACGAGTGACAACAAAAGAAAGGCTCCTATTTGCACATCTTATTTAACAGTTATGGCATCCACCATTGTCTATCCTCACCGCTTTACGCTGCCTTTTGAGAAACGATTCCTAGTACAATTAGCTTTACTCGATATGTCGCAGTCATGGTCAACGACTTACTTTCAACATCGGCAACACTCTGGTCAAGGATCTGCTTGAGAGTCTTGGGGTTCTCAAGCTCCTTCTCGATCTTTGCAATGATGCTCTCGGCGAGTTCCTTTTGTTGACGGGCCTTGACTTGACCCTCATAGCGCACCCATGAGTCCAAAACAGTCTTTGCCTCGGTGGCGACAGCCGTCCTTTGTTCGAGCTCGTAAGCTTGAGCCTCAAGCTTCGCGGTTTCCTACGGGCCATTAGCCTCGGAACAATCACTGCTCATGTTGACATACCTTGGAAACCTCGAAGAGATTCTTAGTAATGTCGATGACTCCTCCGAGGTCCTGAACGCTGGAAATGCGTTGCTTAACGGCGGACGTGTGGTCTTCCCGAGCGGTGTTCAAGATGTTCTTGATCTTATCGCTTTGTTCTTGCGCCCATTGTCCATACGCGGGCCCACCGTAGTGTCCAACAGCCCAGAGAATGGTGAGAAGACTGAAAGCAATGATAGTCTCCTCATTGACAACGTAGAGCTCGTTGCTGATGGCTGCGATCGACAATGCGGTACCGGAGGAGAGAATGGCGGCCTTTGAAATCAAGCTGTTACCTGGTAGTGCATCTACGATAGACTGCGCCTTTTTCTTAGGTTCCTCAGCTGGCACGTTGCTGTTGAAACGAGATGAGGTCGAGAACTGTGCAAGGGCAGGTAGGGTTCGCATAGGGTAGACAGGTCGGGCCCGGGCGACACCTGATATGGGTAAGCGACATCAATTGCACGTCTGTAGCATTAAATAGCTTCAACTGACCTGCCGCAGTCCTTGCGAGACGAGAAGCCATAGTTTGGTGATGATTCGGGGATGCGGTGGTTCAAGCTCTTCATTATGGCGCAGGGCGGGAGTTGAGGAAATCAGAAAATGCCAAGCCTTACATAACCAATCTGCTTCGCTACTAAGGTAGGTTAATAACATTCTTTTCGAGCGATCTGCATACGTTTTTCCTCTTAACATTTCGACATCTCAAAATCAAATGCCGTATATAGATCCCGCGCCCACAGCGGGCAAGAAGCGTCGCAGACATCATGACAAGTTCGAAGACGAAGACTCACATCGTTCTCGCCGATCAAAACCTACTTCGGCGCGAAGCATCCAGCATAGCAATGAAGCTCAGATAGAGCACTTGGAATCCCAGATCAGCGAATCTCGACAATATTACAATAACATTGCGACGTTGTTAAGCCTTGCGAAAGATACTTCGGCTTTGGATCGATCAAGAGAAGCTGCTACAATAGCTCTATGCCGAGTGTTCTGCCGCCTCTTTGTGGAGAAGACACTTCTGAAGAGCAATGGAACATCTGAGAACGAATGTGTTATCATAGAGTGGCTGGAGGCCCGACTCCGTGAATACACCAATATACTATTTGAGCAAATTTCAGCGCAAGACGCTGTTAGGAGACTGACCGGGCTGACCTTGTTGATGCAGTTGGTTAAGCAAGAGTCAGTACAGGCTAGCGGCAGTAGTGAGGCCTGGCGCAAGGGAATTTTCAGCCCGATGTTGCTGGCAATCTTACACGTTGAGGACGAGGGCTTCGTGAAGACTGAATTCGTGCAGAAGTACGTGCAGCTATACGATGATATTCGATATCACACACTCACGGTCATCATGTGAGTCGCTCCGCAACCTTTCCCAGTAAATTGAAAGACTAATTTCGATGAAGATCTCATTTTTCGGATACAGCTACTACATCCACCACGACAAGCAATGCGATTTTGATACTTTCTGATATGGGCTTGTCCCTTGATTCTGAACCCGCTACCGATAGATATTACGGAGAGGTCCCGATGAAACGAAGTAAAGGTCTGATGACCTTGAACGGACACAGGAAACATGCGCAAGACGCTTGGCTGAGTGTGTTTCGTAGCAATTTAAGCCAACAACAGCGCAAGAGAATCCTGAGTATCATGGCCCGGCGCATCGTGCCGCTTCTTCTAATGCCCGAAGTTCTCATGGACTTTTTAACCGACTGCTATAATGAGGGAGGCTCACTTTCGCTCCTCGCTCTTTCTGGTCTTTATCACCTGATGACGGAGAAGAACCTGGACTACCCATCATTTTACGAGAAATTATACTCGCTGTTAGACAGCGAATTACTACATTCGAAACATCGATCAAAATTTTTCAGACTTCTAGAGGAGTTTCTGGCCTCGACACACTTACCTGCTGTAATGGTTGCAAGCTTCATCAAGAGGCTTGCTCGGTTGTCCCTTTTTGCCCCCCCTGCTGGAATTGTGGTCGTGATACCTTGGATCTACAACATGCTCAAAAGGCATCCTGCGTGTACCTTCATGATACACCGTGTTGTCCGCGATCCACAGACCAAGGTCGTGCTAGAGGCAGAGGGCATGGACGATCCCTTCGATATGGAGGAATCGAATCCTATGGAGACTGGCGCCATCGAAAGCTCTTTGTGGGAAATCGAGACGCTGCAGTCAGTCTACCATCCCAATGTAGCGACCCTAGCCAATGTAATTTCGGAACAATTTACAAAACGGTCTTACAATCTGGAAGATTTTCTGGATCACACGTACAGTGGAGTCAGTAGTTCCGTCGAATCGATGACTGATTAGCTGACGACTTTAGATGATCGATGCTGAGCTGAAAAAGAATCTCAAGCGTGCCCCGGAGGTGGAATACCATATTCCAAAGCGAATATTCACAGCCGAAGATTCTGAACTGAGTCCTTTGGGAGAATTGATGACTAAAGTTCTCCAGTCCTAAGTAGATAGCAAAATATGTGACAAATTTTAGGCATCCATACGCGGGCTTCCGTGAAACCTACAAGGCGTGCTGGTATGCGGTCTCTACAGCTACGTCAGCTTTCAACTACACCTTCAGTCAAGTCTGCCCTTATTCGCCGGAACTAGGTATGAGTGTTATCTAGTAAGATGGCGTCAGCATATACGGCCACAGGCCGTGGCGAGCGTGAACCTAGACGGCAGGCGGCTGGAAATTATAACCACGGTGTACCATTTGCACCGTTATGGCTTATGCAGCGGCAAGAACGGAAACTTGACTACCGCAGCCTGCAGAAAGAACATGAGTGTCGTTGAGGGAGGCGCATTCCACTGCAGTGGCTCGTTTAATCAAGTCTTCAGCTCCACACTAAGCATTCCCCGCTAGTAGTCACTCCTATAGTACGATGTGAACCCCCTTTAAACACTTTTGGTAATTCTACCTATAGTACATTTTACCTTTTCTAGCACGCTGATAACATGTGTATTTCATTATTAGCATCTACGGGTAATCCTACCTCATTAAAACTATTCAAGCCGTAAAACCAGAGGTCCCTATTGGTATCGATAGTAAAGGAGTAGTAATATAAGCTATAGCCAAAGGTAGTAGCCTTCTTACGTCCGATGACGACCCTTTCGGGTGTTATTCCTTCTGTGTTCCTATAACGTATCACACGTCGACCCGGCCGACTTTACTCCCTTGACCCTGAGCAAATATCTTGCCATTGTTATCTAAAGCAATGACATGGTCAGCACTACAAGCAATCTGTGTGATGCCCGTAAGTGTTAGGATTCAGATTAGCGTGATCTACTGACTGACTAACCCATGACTAGCAATGAATCCTGTCTTGCATTCGTTGTCTCGAAAGGTTCTGCATTCATAGACTTGCTGATTGTTAGTTATTGCGAAAGCTGTACTATCCCGAGCTGCCACTTGAGTGAAAACAACATTGTCTGAGAAGAATTCTGAGAAGATTGCCGTGGGTGTAGACTCGAGAAGGTTGATTGGCGCATTTTTGCTATTAGATTCAAATGCGGCATCGGTGAGACTGCCTTCCCACTCAGTATTGCGCCCTGATACTCCCGTATCTTAAACACCCCAAGAGTAGATCTTACTGTCGTGTGCAAGAGCAAGCGCATGCATGCCCTCAACGGCGATCTGAGCAAAGCCTACAAATTGCGCGTAGTAGGCATCGAGCTTCGGTCGTTTGGTCGTTCGGCCGCCTTGACGTTTACTGATTCCTTTACAGATTTCTCAGTGCGTCTGGCCGCTGGGGCTCCCTGGGTATTTGGCTTCGATGCCAAGGCCTCGGTCTCTTGTTGTTTCTGCTTACGACTCATAGATGCAGATGCTGTACATTTTCTCACTTTAGCTACGGCGCAGTCAGCGTAAGCTGCGACGCAGAACACGATAGACAGCCGTATGAAGTAGATTTGGGAGAGCCTGGTACCTGTAGTGGTTTCCTTTATGCCATTAACAATAGTCTCACTTGGCTTTGTTCGGAGCTTCTCTCTTTGTAGAAGAGCTCATAGAGGACATCGTGGCGACTGCTCTTGTGTTGGGTGCCGTTGCTTTCGCAGTGCAAGACTTTTCGGAGGCATCGGTGCGCAGAACACACAGCTGGGTAGCGATGAATCTGGTGGACTTGATGATGATGTGGAGCAGAGCAATGTTGAGGTCGCGTGTGTAAGTAAGATCTTGGGGACGCGACGAGAAATAAACCTGGACCTGGGACGCGCGAAATAAATAATCTTCTGTATATCTACAGAGGTTTTGTGTTATGAGACAGACTTAAATTTCTCGGCAACGTCCCCCGCCACCGGCGCACGCAGCTTTTCCTATCCCGATGATTTGTTAAATTTTATTTTCGGGTACTAGTTAGAAAGCCTTCTTAAGTTCTACTCAAAAGTCTCTGTCGGAGTATGATGGCTCGTCAAAGACCACAATTCCTGTAGAGAGTGTACCAGCGACTCAGCCGGAGATGCACTAGCGCCAATCCATGCTAGTTAGGTACCTACCTACCTACGCCTACGTTCCCTTTAACGCAAGTTGCGCCACTTCGTCTCTTTCACCACTTTCTCCTTCTTCTACACATTCGGTTCGCCGTTTCCACTCATCAATACCATACTGAACTTCGTATTCGACTAGAATATTCCTGCTGATTGTATAGCTTCGCTACACTCGATATGTCTGAGGACCAAGAGCTACAGGCTAAGATAGCCGCGTTAAGTGGCAAGTACTTCAGGTATTCACGTCCAGCTCAGTTACTCATATGAATAGGGCGCATCAGCCAACATAAAGAACACGCGAAGTCTTCTCATCCCGTACCAAAAGCCTTCTACAAACGTATGTGCGCAAAGCATAATGTCTCCCATACTCAACTGACACAAGTTCAGACGCTGAATATCATGGCCACGCTCGCGGAGGATCCAGCTGGGCTTACAAACGTGGGACTCCGTATGGTGTACCTCGAGGTCGTGGAGGAAGAGGAGGGTCTGCCGCTCACCGCAATCGAACACTGATCATGAAATCAACAGGCGGAGGTGCCGCAAATGCTACAGCCACCGCCCCGGCCAACCACCTGGTCCCTGGCGAGGAAAACTCTAAATGGATCTCAAAAGTTGACCGACACATGCAACTGATCAATACAGCCGTGTACGATCAAGTGAGTCAACAGCGTACACAGGCTATCGCCGAGACTGCTGTGCAAAAGAGGCTACAACGCGATCAACTCGAGAAAGCCAAACTTCAAGCACACTTCTATAAGTCCCACACGCAGCCGCACGATGGCTTCTCATCAACAGATGATCAACTCGATATGAACACTCGAAAACACGAGATTATGATTCAAGGAATTAAGTTTCGCGTCCTGGATGGCGGAAGCAAGCTTGCGCGATGCCCCGGTGGGTATGCTCAAAGCATATATGATCCAGCTGATTTCGCTGCAGATAATACGAGTCTAGGCCTCGGCACACCGAAACAAGCTCAAGTGGGAGGCGTGAAGTTTTTTCGTAGCAAGACAGGCAATCTGTACCGTGCTGGACTAGTAAAGGCGACCAGGTCAGCAATTCTCCTTTCTTATATCGGATGCTGCTCACCACCGAACAGGAAACAAACCGGCACGAAAAGCCCGGAGCTTTGTCCGAACTTCACTTCAACTGGTAGCCCTCATCTCTCTTACCATGGATGCTTTGATTCACCTCTTATTAAAGCCTGTGGTTTGTTTACTCTGTTCAATCATACTGACATTTCCTTAGGCCAATGCTCAAAAGGACCTGCTTGCCGATTTACGCACAATGCCAGCAAAGTAGCCATGTGCAAGGATTTCTTGGCTAAGGGAAACTGCCCTCTCGGCGATGCTTGTGATCTGTCTCACGAACCCAACGCCCATCGTGTTCCTGCATGTGTTCATTTCTTGCGTGGGAACTGCACGAATGAGCATTGCCGGTATGCCCACGTTCGCGTTAACCCTGTTGCCCCGGTTTGCAGCGACTTCGCGAAGATCGGGTACTGCGAGAAAGGTGTCGATTGCGCAGAACGCCACGTTCATGAGTGCCCTGACTATGCTAACAAAGGCTTATGCCGCAACAAAAAGTGTCGCCTTCCACACGTTGATCGTGCTGTTCAACTTCGCAAGGCCGCAACAGAGACTTCTGTGACAGCCGACATGGAGACTTCTCCAGACCTGTCCAGCGACGGAGAAGAGTACGACAGCGAGGACTTCGACTCAGATGAAGCTAGTGAGTTCTTCACCCATACTCATGCAAGCGACGTTGTGGGTGGTCTCTCGCAGCAGCGAGATTTCATCAAGCTCTGATGTGACACGTAAGTTGTGTGCTTCCGGATTTGTTTATACCCTCCGTTCTTCGTGGCGTTTTGATACCCGGACTTGTAGAATTGGTTGGTATCTACGGTACGGCGTCAGTATTGGGACACACTATTGGGACAACCGGCGTTCAATGGTCTTTTTCGTCTCTTGTTTATAGCCACATTAGAAACAAAGAAAGAAAGAACAAACATATTGATATACTTGCGAAGATGTGATTAGTTTAAATTGTGCTTAAGTCAATGACAATTCTCGTTGCGAGGAATACCTAAATTATCCATTTTGTTCAGGTCCGCCAGGGACATATTATTTATGCAGGGCTGATCTCCCGCTCACAAGCGTTAACCTTCCAACTGACTTAACCAAGTCCGACGAGGCTGAGGCTGAGGCGCGCAACGACGGGCACCGGCTTACAGCAGCTGAACCAAAACGACTTACATTCCTGTCCTAGAGTCTCAAATGACTGTTGCCTCGAATGTCGCCAACCCGAGACGCTATCGAACAATTCTTCGAGTAAACTGATCAGCTTAAGCTCCAGTTCCACAACCCTGGGCACCGATCAGGCGCCAACCCCTATCGAACATACACGACAACCGCTACCGTTCCAAGGCGCGTAGACTCCATAGAAATATGCCTCTACGAGATTTGCTCAAACGGAAAGAGAAGGTACAGGAAAGTGCAGATGGACCAGATCAGAGAGAGAAAGATCGCCCATCACAAGATATACCTGAGTTTACTATCATGCGGACTACCACGTCCACAATGGAAATCATCCAGCCTCCCTCCTTTGCCGCCGCCGAGAAGGGCTTGCAACCTAATGATGCACCACGCTCGCCATCAGACTCAGGTTTTAGCTCGACTGCTAGCGAACAGAAACGGCCAAGCATGTTTCGGAAACACTCTGATAATTCACCTGAAAAGAAGGAGAAAGAGCATAGACTAAGCAGTATGCTGCATATAAGTGGCAGATCTCGGTCAGCAAGCTCGACGAACTTGCCCACCGACTTGCCAGATATCAGTAGCGAGAAGTACGCCGTCAAGGACGAAGATGTTGAGGAGACATGGGAGAAGAGAGCGACTATGCTGGCCAAAGGAAGTCAGATGGGAAGAACAGCGAGTCCGAATCTACAAGAAGCTGCTGTCAAAGGTTCAAGACAGAGAAGCGTCAGCGTGAGCGATGCCGGGGGTGACGTATGCTATTTGTATTTGCGTACTAGGTATCTTCTACGTGCTCACGGCTGGACAGGTGAATATTCAGGAAGCAATTAGATTGCATGAGAATGGCAGTATGTATGCCAACCATACGAATGGCTACAAACGCCTAACCGTAGTCACCAGATCTTGAACGGTCAACCATTATGTTCGGCAAACTGGCCGATCCTAAAGGAGCTAACAATGCTCTCAGCCAAGTTCTATATGGACTTGCATTACGGTTAGTAACTTTACATATTTCGGACATGGGCCCTCGACCCTCACTTGTCCTCTATCAGTCAGCATCTGATGTCTCGATTCAGGCACGGCTGGGGCTGCACCGCAAATCCTGAGCTCGCAATCACATACCTTTCAACAGCCGCAGCGAATAGTGCTGAGATCGAGTCACTTGCGCTATCTGCCGGTATGAAAAAGGGCGGCGCCGCGAAGGGCGAACTCGTGTTAGCGATCTTCGAGCTGGCCCAATGCTATCGCCAAGGTTGGGGCGTGAAGAAGGATCCCGTGGCTGCAAAGACGTATTACGAGACAGCAGCCAATCTAGGCGACACCGATGCAATGAATGAGGTGGCTGCCTGCTATCTGGATGGTATTGGATGCAAAAAGGACAAGGTGAGCTTGATGACTTCTAATCCCCCGCATACGAGCCCATCACGGCCACCCTTAACGGGCTCTGCGTTGACAACCAGATGCATGTGGTTCCTGGCAGTAGTGGCGCTCATAATGCATGAACCATCGCTCGTACAGCCTCGCTTTTCGGGCGTCGATACCTTCATACTTCCGTACAGATGTTGTACTTGACAGGCTGATATGCAGCAGTTCCGAGCCGCACAATATCTTCGCCTCGCAGAGGAAAAGGGAAGTAAGACGATTGGTAACTCTTGGTAAGTGAATATTATCTCCTGACCATCCATCTCGTCTTCTGGCTGGCCTCACCGGACTCGACTCGCCTGCTCGGACTCGCATCGTTGTGACAAGACGTATGGCCACGCGACGCTGCTACTGTGGAACGAAACACGACTTGGGAATAGTGAGTGACGGAGGCACCAGGACAAGGTGCCCGTGGCCAGTGAAGTCGGATTGTCTTCGTCACATTGTCACTGGGTTCTACACCCTTGCATGCAGTCGCAGTCTGTGTTGCTACAATATACAACATCTGGAGAAGGACGTTTCAGTACCAAGCCCCCAGAGTGGTTGATAGGTAGGGAAGGGGGGTGCATTATTTACTCAGGAAGCGCCGGAGTGGCCACTGATTGGTACCAAGAGTACTGCGACTGGACCCAGGAACACCGACCCCACAGCGAAGGAGTCAGCACACCACTACCACCACCACCACTCGACTTCTTACGTGCTGTGTGGTTACACGTGGCACTGCATGTGTGGAATCCGTCAACATCCTCGCCCACATTCATCCTCCTTCTCACCCCATCTCCTTGAAGAATTCACTCCGAAATGCGGCGTCTGGTGGCCGGAGCACGATATCTGACAAAGCCCATAACACATGAGAGTCGAATGGAAACTATGCAAAGTCAGGATATTCCTACGGTCCGCTCCCTCCGCTTTTGGCAGCCCGTTGCGGACCGGCACGATGGCTCTATCCACGTTCTGGACAATCCGCTCTTCGTCCCACACAGTGGTGGGCATCTAGCCATCTGGCCGGCTCATACCGCCTCCGTTCTCAGGTCATTCCACAACATGCTCAAGAATTTATCGCTAACCCGAGTCTTATGCTGTAGGATCTGGAAAGACAAATACAATCCGAAGGCATAGTATATGTATGCAAGGTGGACGCCGAGGCTTGCGGGGGCTGGAGGGTGGGTGGGAGGTTGTTGCGATCTAGATGTGATCTGCCCAAACTTATCAGATATCTATCGATACAAAAGGAAAGTCCCGTGATAACCCGTCCAATAGGCCGACAGCAATGCAGCAGGAATATTGATATTTGTCTACACCACAGACGGACAGACAGACAGACAGGTACCGTGCCATATAGTCCACAGCCTACACCAATCACCACATCGGGCTTATGTGTATCAGATCACATTTACCCCACGCGTGCACGCCCGCACACACATGACCTATCTGTATGTATGTAGCTACTCTTCTATTCTCCCACAAAAAAAAAACCGAAAACGACCCAGTGATCTCTATCTATCTCTCTTTGTGGGAAGTTCTTTTTCAATAGCTTGCTTTTCTTAGTCATCTACCTCTTACCTACCTACCAGTTAGTACCTACCAATACCTTACTTTACCTACGCCAGCCAGCCAGCCAGCCAGCTACTGCAGCATGTCCTATTCCGTTTTAGCTGCAGACACCTAACACACACTGTTTTGCCACGGTCGATCTCCCTCCGCTGCCGCTGCTGCTGCTGCTGCTCCTGCTGCTCCTGCTGCTTCCCGCTCCTGCAGCCGCTGCTGTGGATAGCGAGCGCAGGTGCGATGCAGGTTTGTGGGTAAGTCTACGGGGAGGTCTACGGGTAGGTAGGTAGGTGGGTGGGTAGGTGGGTATGTACGTAGGCAGCGGCTGTGCTGAAGCTTGGCTATAGGATGGATGAGTGAGTGACTGAGTGATTGAGTGATGAAGGGAACTCGTATGCGTATGTGTAGGTAGGTCGAGGATCACTCTTATGTACATATGAATATATATATATATATATTGAGACGAGTACTACACACGCGCGCAAATGATAGATACAGCATATACAAAGGTCTTTGTTTTTAGTTAGTGCTGCTTCTGTATGTATGGATTCAAGATACTCACCCAGTAATATCAGATATCATGAGGAGATTTGAAGAGGGTGTGTGTGTGTGTGTGTGTGTGTGTGACTGTGGTAACAAGCAAGTGAGAATAAGGTAGTGGCAAGTCTCACCATTATGTCACAGGCACAACAAAACACACAGGGCATATACACGACAAGTTGGCAAAACAGACAGTGGCAGAGCAATTTGTTGTTATTTTCATTCGGAAAAAAGTGTGTAGTATTGCCTTTTTTTACCCCACCGCATCACTCTCGCAAGCGATCGATCCAATGAGGATTGGGGGAAGGGGGGTTGGGAGCGAGGCAAGGGGATAGAATGTTGAAAAGACGCATCCGACTACATACACGATCGCCCGCTCCATACGTTCTTGCACATCGTCAAAAGAGTAATCATCCGATTAAACTGGTGTAGAGCTAAACCCAACCCAAGGAGCAGCCGACAAAGGAAGAGGCTTGTCCTCGGGGAACAGTGGACGCAGATAAACCAGAAAGTCCAAAGGGACAAGAAACTCAAGAAGAAGAAATTGTAGTGTTTCCCCCCATTTGAAGGGGAAGTGTGTGGGAGTGGTCTGTTGCCAGCCATGTTCGCAATCATTCTAATTCCATTCCCATTCCCAATTCCTGATATAAAGTGCTCGCTTGCTAAATGGAGATGACAAAGGACAAATAAAATCAGATAGAGGACATCCGCAAGAAGCGGGATGCCCGCGCTCTTTCGAGCCAAGAAGTGAAGGAAAATAAAAAGGGTTGCCAAGTGCTCGCTTCGTGTCCAAACATTGTGTCTCGTAATCGTCAGGTCATATGTTCGTGATCGTAGCTCTTTGCTTCGTGTAATGTGCTGTCTCCGCATCCACCATATCCTGCTAGGTCGTGCAAGTACAAGATGTCGTGTGTATGTAGAGACAAATGAGACGCGAAGCAGAATGCTGTTTGCAATGCCGCTTGCTTAAAAAGGGACCATCATGAATCGCTACGTGTCGTCGGGTTTGGTTCGTTACGCGGTCGCCGCGCTGTGAGTATATAAAGCGTGTGAACAGGGGGAGAGGGGGGTAGTTTGGGGACTGAAAGACAAGAAATCAAAACTCGCTCGCTACGCTTTGCAGGACAAGGACAAAAATCAAATAAAAAAACCAAATATGTCAGCAGATTTCCTTAGGATGTACTCGCAAGATTCCAATCTGATGAAAATGCAAGACAAAAGAAACAGGTATCCCAGCCAGGACGGTATACGCCGTCTCAGTGATGCAAAACCATACCAGATAATCGAGGATGCAATGTTGAGTATACCACGCAGAAGAAAGTAGCCAGCCCGGCAGATGCAGTAATGAGTAGGTGCGTTTCCGCAATCGGACTCAGCGACGCCTTTTGTCGAAGAATGTAAGATGCCGCCCCAACCAGATGCAGTCGAAGAAATGATGCGCAAGTGCGAAGCCCCTCATGGAATCAATGACGAACCTGAAGATATTCATAGAAAGGCCTGACAGGTAGAGAGATGGACTTATTCGCACTTGACAGTATCTGGACCGCCCGGTGATGTGGTGGCTATACGCTCGCTTTCCTCGACCATGCGCTTGAAGTCGCGGACGACCTCAGCCGGTATTCTGTCCCAGAGTAGACTGCGAGTATACACTTCAGCAGCGCCCTCGCCTTTGTTTTGTTGACGCATGGCGGCTAGTGACTCTGCAAGGTTCCGTCGATACGAAGGTTGCGAGCTGGGCGATAGACCTTCAGAGGAGTCATCACTTGGTACACTGAACACCCTCCGGGAGAAGTCGGTCGAGGTCAAGCTGTTGTATTGTGATGCTGTCATTCCAAAAGCTGCTTCAGCTTCTTGATCTTTCGTAGGCGCCGAAAGCTGGTTGAAGTGCTGATCGAGAGACGTTTTGAAGTCGTTCGGCTGTGGCCAGGCGACACCAGAAGGAGCAGATTCACCAAGAGACTGAACACGGTTGGCGATGAAATTCTCAGTGGACGGAGACTTCGCAACACCGGCATCTTTGAATATCGTGTCGAGAACCGTAGCAGAGGCAGCGCGGACCTCTTCAGGCATGCGTGGCATTGGTGGGCTCGAATTACCGGACGACTTGCTGGCGACAAAAGCACCACACAGGAGAAGCATGAGGAGAAGACCAGAAGCGACAGGCTTTTCTTGTTCCGAGACAAGATCCTTGGACCGATGAGAAACGACGAGAGAGGTTTCGGGTTGCGGCTGTGTAACATGTTGACCGGGCTGCTGTTCGGCGTATTCGTCGACGAAGATGTAGTTGTCCCAATCGCTCGCACCCATGTTGAGGTTGTCCATGTCCGGAAAGTCAGAAAAGCTGGTGGTACTAGGGGCAACAGACATGGCGCCACTGGTGGCAGCCTCGAGTTTCTCGGTCAGGATGGAGTTCTTCTTGCGCAGTTCTCCAGTCTCGAGAGTGTGGGTACGGATCATGTCTTCCTTCTCCATGTTCAAGGACTCGATGATGTGCTGGCCCTCGCTACATTGGTGGCGCCACATCTCTTTCTCTTGCGACACTTGCTGGCATGCTAAGCTCAGACGTTGGACTTCGTCCTCCATCTGAGTCAGTCTCTCGGACCACATCTTCTTCTCCTCTTCGAGGTCTTCAGTGTGCTTCTTCTTGCGCTGGCGTGAATCAAGACTGTAGATAAGTTAGCAAACGGATCAAAAAAACCAAAAGATCGCGGTGGACCGAAGGACCAAAAATAACAGGAGGGGAGTCGTACGCGGCCTGTCTATTCCGGAGTAGTCGCTTCTGCTGCTTGAGTTCCTTGAGCTCGTCGGCATCTTCGCAGCTGGCGATTAGATTGTCGATGTTGAGAAGATTGCGATCCTGTGGGATGTCGAAGCGGGCGTTCTTCTTTCGAATGCCGTCACCACGTCGAAACGGTGAATATGAACGGGGAGGAGTATTCGGCCGCATGCGTTTCGGACCAGCACGGTGTTCCATCTGGTTCATCTCCATCCATTCCTTGTTGGAGTGGGGTGACATGGGAGTTGGTAGGCTGTCCATCGGCGTGGGCGGAAACACCGAGCTAGGACGAACGTTGTTGCCGGACATGCCATGGAAAGAAGAGGTGTCAGATGCATTCGACATGAATTGCACAGGCCCGGGATTGAAGTTGTCAAACGGGTGTGACGCTGTTGGTGTTCTCGTGCCGGAGGAGGAATCTGACATGGGCCACGACTGTTGGTGCTGCATGTTCATGGAGTGACGATATGGGTTGTTGGAAGCCTCCAGGAACGGATTGTTGGTGGAGAGTGTCCGGTCAACCATTGCCGTCTGGGAGTAGTCATCCAAACCAAAACTATCCGGAGAGAATGTGGGCGATAGTGTGGTTGCAGAGCCCGGTACGGGCGTTGAAGACTCCAGGCCTTCGTACAGAGCATCGTCGAAGAACAGAGAGGGCTTGCGGTCCATGGCAATGGTTGAAGGCGGACGCCTAAAGTCCATTTGATCGGAAAAAGCCATGTGAGAGGATGTGCTGGACGTTACGCTGAAATACGGAAAAAGAAGAATTGCTGGCGTGGGAAAAGTCTTTCTTGTAGCGAGATAGCAGCGTTGGAGCGGGAGTAGCGGTGTACGATTGCTCGTTTAGGCAATCAGTAACAGCGTGCAACGGCCAAGACAGCACAGCGAACAGGCAGAGCAGACGCAGTGAAGGGCGAAAACGTCAAGCAGAGACGTGGAGGGAGGAATTGCACTGCGGTGTCGGCAGCGTAGGAGACAGAGAAGGGTGGTGATGGTGTTGTGAAGGTGAACAAGATAGTAGAGAAGAGAGAATGCGAAGAGTGTATGTGAGAAGGCGGGGAAGACGGGGACCAGGACGAGGGCGCTGGACGGTAGACGGTAGCGAGGTGTGTGTGTGAGAGTGAGTAGCGAGTAGCGAGTAGCGATTAATAGCGAGTTTTTGAGTAGACGTAGTAGTAGTAATGAGTAGTAGTCGTAGTAGTAGTGGTGGTGAGTGATTGTGTGGCTGCGTGGGTGTGTGTGGGTGGTGGTGGTTGCGGTGCGGGAGGGGGGGGAACGATAGCGGAAGGGTGGGCCGTGTGGTGGCAGCTGGCTCGGCTAGTCACTCTAGTCGCTCTAGTCGCCCTAGTCGCCCTAGTCGCGCCTCTACTTTGATCAGATGGGGAGGACGACCGGCCGGGGACTGCAGCAGTCTGTCTCCTTCGGGATGCTGTGTATGAGCCTTCAATGGCAGAAAGCTCGTCGACTGCGTGTGTAGGTGCTTGGAAGTGCTCTCTGTATGGTGTGTGTAGGTGGCGTGTCGGTGCTGCTGCAGGTCTCAAGGATATAAGAACGCTGCAGTGCAGGTGTTGGTGCTGGTGCTAGCAATCTGCCAGGTCTCAGGTATCGTAATATATGCACGGCTTGATGAAAGGTGGTATAGCCAAAGTTGATGGATGCGCGTGCAACAAGAAGTCGTCGATCAAGATCAAGATGATGTTCGTACGCGTGTCTTGTGGAGAGGATATGGTAACTAGTTGAAGGGAATAGCTTGTCACTGAAGGACAAAGGAACCATATGTAGTAGTAGCTCGTTCTTCCTTTCGCATCACAGCAGAAGAGAAGACTCATCCCAGTACAAGCTGGGACATGCTGGGCAACGCTGGGTCGGGGATTTTGACTGTTTTGCCAGGGGGGGGAGGGGGGTGGCTGAAGGGGGGTTAGGGAGCACTATGGAAGTTTTTGCCCTAGAAAGTCGTCCTGGGCAGCCAGTCTATGGCCATCTCCAGCCCTCTCGCGCCCCCAGTAGCGATGCGTATTTCTCCTCGACAGCCATAATCCTCTTCTGCACTCCACCAAACAGAGGCCGTGGGATGTACGCGAAACAAGCCGATGTACGCTGATAGGCCGCCTCGAATTGCAGACATCAGTCGGGTAGTTGTGCATTCAAATCAACAAATGGCGGGCTTCGGTGCTAGTGACTGGCCAGGAAACCTCGTCGCCGCATTTTGCACTGCAGCCAACTGCTGGCCGATTGATTCCATTCAGCGAATCCCTCTATCGCACTGTTTGTGGTGCTTAAGCCTCTCCAACTCTCTCTAGCCTCTCGTCTGTAGCGAGCAGGGCGATTGTCAGCCAGCCCGACGAGCTGGTTTGTAGCTCATCATGAGGCTACAAGCGCTGGGTGAATGCACTGATAATGATTGCAGAGGTCGGTCACAAGGGAGCGGGTCCAGGCGAGGCGCTGTTAGAGGCCTGGAGCAAGCAGATGGAGACAAACATGATGAGAGAGCAATGTCCTTGTACTGAGAGCTGTATCAAAAAATCAGACGTACCGTACCAGTGAGTGATTGTTCTAGAGTAATTAATAACATGGTCATTCAGTTCGGATTAACGCGTATCCACCTTTCGTGACCTTGGTTGCTCTGGAACGGATAGATGGCGGTACCGTACCCGTACCGTCCCACGACCACCGATCTTCATCACCTCATGACAAACACGCGGGAGGGTCGTACTCCTCTCCACGTACTGTACTATGCATAGCCTACGGAAACGCAAGGGGAGTGAGATGCAATACAGTGCGATACCGGAAGACGTAAGAGTAGGATTAGAGGATTACGAATATCCGTGCCGTCGTTGTCGATAGTCAACCAGAAATGCCAAAATGCCAGACCAGAGTGCTATAAGCGGCCCATGGGGCGGCCCGCTACACGACGCCTATCATCCATCTCGGACCCATTCATTCCCCCTCCTAACACTCCTAACACTCCTCCGCCCCCCCTCCTTCGCATCAATCATGCCTCTTGCGTCTTAATCAAGTCTGAAGTCTTCACTTGGTGATTCCTGGCGAGAGAGCCCTACAGAGCTAAGTGACAGTCTAACGCAATCCTGTCAGCTCGTCCTGGTCTGGCCTGGCCGCTGCCGCTCTCTGCAGTGGTGCTTTTTGCTCCCATCAGATCGCACCGATGAGCACTCTTTATTGCTGCATACACGGCACACACTTACACACACGCGCGTCGTATTGTCTACTATCAGATATGAGCCTATGTCATCTGCTCGGCTGACACCTCTTCATCCAGGCGGCAGATCAATACTCGAGGCAGCCACTAAGCACTTATGTTCCAGCTTGCGTGCATGTCTCATGCTCTCCGCATCACACGACTTGCTTCTTTCTCTTCGAATTCTTCTTCTGGGTCTGTTGCTTGGTGTAGTGCCAGAAGCGACATCAGCCTCGCTTTGTCCCCCGTCCATATGCCACCCATCACTCACTCTTCTGAGTATCGAGGTCGGTATCGAAAGCTCACTTCGATCGTGTGTGAGTCACTTACTCTATTAGATTACTGCCAACTTGCCAGCTTCCAAGAATAGACCGTTGTGCATCGAGTCATGTCACCGACTTTCCAACATCAATCCACACTCCCAGAAACTGCCTAGTTGTTTGACTTTGTTCCGCACCAGCCACCCTTGTCAACGCCACCGCTACAGATCAACGAGGAGGAAAAGTAAGAACATGGGCACTCGGCCCAGGAAGAATGAATCGCCTTGCTTGCAACGGCGTGATACCGAAACGGCGGCGCTCACACCAGTCTTCCACAGTGTCGAGGGCGGGACTGCTCTGTGGCTGGTGATGTCCTGAGAGATAGACATGCACGTCGCCTTCTCCAGGTTCGCATCTGCTGCTGTGCTGCGCCGCCATGTTGCATCGCAGCCCGTGTGTCAACCACCATTTCTCCGACTGGTAAGGTTTCGCGCTGGTTGTTCTCTCATTTATTCATAGCCCTCTCCCTCCTCCTCCCTCACCTCGGCCTCTTGCGCGCCATGTGTTTTTTCTCTCTCTCGCATGGCAGGGTTTCACCTGGCACGCAATGGAGATCCAAACCACCTACAAGGCCATTCCCAGCCTCCGATCAGACTGAGATACTCCAGACTTGAGATCGGGTACCGTGCGCGCGGTTCATCTTCTTGGACTTTTGGTACGGCCGGTATGAATAGAATATCTGCTGTGAGAGCGTCGTGAGGCGTTGGGAGTCGTGAACAGCCCTTCCACCACATGACGCTGAAGCACTATCGAGAGGCGCGGGAAATCCGCGCTCGTTCTATGATATACGTGACTCCTCCGCCACAGCGTTCTGAATAATACCTGGTATCCACGCGTCTCCAGGGTTGACCCATGCAAACACTCTAGACCCTTGTGTCCTTGGGCCATCACCACATTGGACACTGCAAGAAATTGTAATACTCGCAGTGCTGCTGCATGCAAAGCACGACGATGATGATACAAGAAGAGGAGGAGACTCGGGTCCCACGACGTCTCCGTCCTCGCCACATCCTTGCTCACCCTCTCGATGCCGGTACACTCGTTCACGCATTTTCCATCACCGTTCGCTGATTGTCGGCTTGCGATCGATACGTCTACTTCCTTGTCCTCCCAACCCGTCCTGTGTGAGACCACTAGAGGTACGAAGCGAAGGTAAATAGTCGTCAGGGTGGTCTGAACGAGGTGGCACGGGCAGATTTCCAGACGAAGCGCCGTGTGCGCGTGCAGATTTCATGGCGGACATCGATGCGTTGCCGGGGATAGATAGCAACGAGAGTGAAGCGTTTTTCCACCCGGGGCGCAAAAAGCCACAAGCGAAGTGGGAGTCATATAGGCGTGGTCGTGGTCGTGGTTGTGTCTATCTGCCGGGCGCACAGAAGACACGTTCTGTGCGACGACGACGACGACGAAGCGCAAATGTCTGACGCACGAGGCGAGGTCTTGGGTTTTGGATCCTATGACGATCCGGAACTTTGCAGCCGTGGTGTGCAGGTATGCGGGTGGGCACTGGGATGTTGGCGTTGCCTGGTTTCCAATCCTACCATATAGTAACATTCTGTACGTATCGACTCGATATACCAAACTTTCCTCCGTCCATTCATCACAGTCTTCAAACATCCCCAGCTCTCAAGGCATAAAGCCCAGCACCTCGTCTTCATCCCATGACCATTCCTATTCCCATTCCCAGTCCCAATCTCACTTCCCTCCCCTCCCCTCCTCTCACCAGCCCTACGCTCACCCCAATCACGCTTCTTTCAAAACACCTCATCCAGGCCCACAAGGCGCACTCTACCCCATACAATCGCCAAAGGATAGATAGGACCCATTACCCAGAAAAAGACCCCCCACCCATGTCATAAGTGCTGCCCAAAAAGCAAGGCGACCCTTTCTCCACACTACCGCGCACTCGGCGGGAAGCAGGGATCTGGTCTCCGCATGTACCCGTTGCCTTATTTGCCTTGTTTCTCGTATGTACCTACTGCTGCACTCTTCGGGGCCCGGGGGGTCGGTCGGACTAGATGTGTACTGTGTGTGCATCTAGACAATGCATTCTGGAATGAAATACGGGGTTGTGAGTGAGTTGGCTTTGGAGAGTGGGAGGGGGAGGGGATGGTTGTAGTCGTGGTAGTGGTGAGTTATTTGTTTTGTTTTGTCTTGACTGTTGGCAGGTGCAAGTATATGCATTAGAATCGCAAAGGAGGTTTGAAGGATTAATGTTGTGAGTGTCACGGATTGTGTGACGTATGTTCCTGAGGCTCAATTTTGGCCAAGACGAGACGATGGGTCGCTTGATCGAGTCCTGAAACTTTGATGGGAGAATGGAGGTGATTGGCATGGTTTAGACTGGTAACAGGTAGTTGCTATAGTATTGCTTATACTGTCGAGACCCTCCCAAGTGGCCCAAGTGGGAAATTGGTTGCGAAAAGAATGATATCATGTGCTCCGTGCTGCCTCTATTACGCCAGAAGACGCGCACTCTACTCCGTAGATCGATGAGGACTTCTACTCCGAACTCTTTCATTGGACCTTGGTAGTTGAAGGCCACTGTTCACCTTGGTGATCAACTCTCCGTCCTCGCCTCCATCGTCACTGCTCTGCGAGTCTGTAAGACTAGCCATCTCGAGAACGTCCTCTTCATCCCTCTCCCGCCTGGTTCCATGCCCGTTGGGCGAGGCCTCCTCCGTCTTCGGCTCATGCTGGTGCAGCTCCATATTTCTGAACATAAAGTACAGCCCAAAGTCGTACGCGAGGCGGAAGAGCCCTGCAGCCACAAAAGCAACCCAGAATCGATCTCCACCGGCTAGCAAACCCGTGACTGTAGGTCCGGCCGTCGCGGCTAATGTGCGTAGCGTGCTTGTAATTCCCATGACTGCTGTGCGTTCGGAGGGCTTGACAACAGCTGAGATGAAGGCGACGCGAGGCGCTTGATCCATGTTGTTGAGGCCGGCTCGAACGAAGAGGAGAAGCGCTGCCATCCATAGGTACGGGGCCGCTGGGAAGAGGACCACGGCAGCGGACGAAGGCACGTGTGTGAAGACCATGGTGTTGATCAACCCGAGCTTGCGTGCCAGCGGTCCTGCGAATACGGCGCCGATGGCAGCCAGGAAGTAGCCAACGGACGTGATATCGCCCAACGTCGACTTGGCCGGGTGGAACTTTGTGTCTGTGTAGTAATTTGTGATTGACCAGGGCACCATTCCGTCTGCGAGCGAGTCGACGGACAGTAAGAACCAGAGCTTATACATCGTGGACCGCGTTGGAGCGGAGATCTGGGACAGAGAGCCGACAAACCATGACTTGGCTTTTGCCGGCCAGGATTGAACAGGTGGAGGCACGAGGTCGATTGCTGGTGTGTTGTGTGTGCTTGATGCCCCGTTGCTGGGGTGGTGGTCTTCTTGCGGTATTTGTGCATATGAGTCGGACGGATGCGCCTCGCAGGCATCGGTCAAGCACAAGACCATGACGACGTTGACAATACCCATGGCTGCGTATATCCAGAACAGCATATGATATGCACTGACCGGCTCCCATCCTTCTCGATTCTGTAGTGAATTGACTATCCTGCCAGATGCTTCGCTGCCAATACTCGATCCAATGGCGGAAATGGTGACATACCATGCCAGCACGTCAGATCTGGTCGAAGGAGTAGTCAATTGAGACAGCATTGATCTGAGATGGGTTAGTGGAACCTGTACCCAGAATTCAGTGTCCATGTTGTCTCACTCTTCCACCGCACGAAACGGACCGTAATCACCCCCTGTGATACTGATGACTCCCACGATAGCTGCAAGAAGCAGGATCCAAAAGTTCTCGAAGATAGCAAAAATTGCACCGCTGAGTATCATCAACACCGAGCCTGCCAGAAGAACTCTCCTCCTCCCAACCCGATCAGCTATGAGCGTAAGAAACGTGCCAAGAAATACATCTCCAACAAGGGTCAATGTCATGAACGCGCCAATTTGGTGGTCGGAAAAGTCGAGAGCCGAGAAGAAGATGGCTGGATTATGTATGAGCAACAAGACTTCACCCTACACACAACATCAAGAACAGACCTAATATCAGTGAATTTGTCCCATATGCAAACATTCGACATGATCTGGCTAAGATGATGAGGTAGGCATCACGGCCTGTTTCGTGAATAGATCCGAGTCCGAACTCATGGTAGAACCATTTCAGAGATGATAGACCTGTAGACATGCCCTAGCGAGGTAAGACAGATTAATACCCTAAGAGAATGAAATCGCAAGATCTAAGAGTTCAATAGCCAAGAGATGTAGATGTTGTCTCATCTCAAGCTGCACTCGGGCGAATTAGTCGCGTGCGGGGATCCATCAGGCCGCCCATCCCGGTACCCATTCAGAACGGAGCGGTATCGGCTATCTGAAAATGAATAGTATTCTGGCCACTATGACAGATGTTTCCATGGTCAAGAGCGGAGACTGTAGAGCAGTTATAGTGAGTATGTTCAGTATAAAGAAGCCAGAGCGACATGAGGATGACTGCGACGGACTTCACTCCGTGATGTGGCTGGCTGCAGGTCCTAGAATGCCATGCACTTGCGTTATACGAGCGGGGAAGACAAAAGTAAGAAGTACCGTGACAACGACTTCACATCCGAACAGAACAGGAGACAGATAACCTAGTCTCATCGTGCCAGTCACAATGTAAAACATCAAAGCGATATACAGTGGAACGGACGCCGACGAAACCGGCTCCGGCTTGTGCCTGATGCTGGCTGGCAGCATCACCGAAGTCCGGCCTGCAGCCCCCTCCGGTGGAAGATATGAACCGCCGAGATACTCCGGCCAACTACTAACAACATCATTCAGTCTTGTTTAGACTTGTACTTGCTCCTGTGACTCCATCGTGACACTTCAGCGTAGATTCCAGGGAACCAGGCTGACCACGGCCCGCGACATCGACAATCTATTCCTCCGCGCCAGCGCGAACACCGAAACGCTCGCTCATAGGGAAAATGGTTGTGTCGTCCGAGGCACTCGCCCTTCCTCGCCTGCTCTTTCTGCACGGCGGCGGCGTAAACGCCTTCATCTACGAAACGCAGTGCCGCACACTCCTTCCTCTCCTCCGGCAGCACTTCCGATGCGTCTTCGTCGACGCACCCTTCCTCTGCCCCCCGCACCCAGACATCGTCACAGTCTATGGCGAACACGGCCCGTTCCGTCGCTGGCTCCGGTGGAAAGAGGAGCACGCGCCGGTTCATGTAGAGAGTGCCCTGGAAGAGATCACATATAGTCTACGGTGTGCCATCGAAGACGACAATCGGCAAGGTGCAACCGGAGAGTGGGTTGGACTTGTAGGCTTTAGCCAGGGCGCAAAGATGGCGGCGAGTATGCTCTTGGAGCAGCAAACGCGGGAGGCGCAGTTATCGGCTGGTAAAGGCGTGGGGACGTGCGGTGTGGAGGGTGTGAGGTGGAGGTTCGGGGTCCTTATGGCTGGAAGGGCGCCCCCGGTTGTGCTGGATCCGGCAAGACAAACAGGCAAATCACTACACACCGTTGACGCCGTTACTGATGGAGCTATAAAAGCAAATGAGGGGGTCGATAAAGAGGCGAGGATTAAGCTACCAACTTTCCATATACATGGGCTGCAGGATCCTGGCCTGTACTTGCATCGGATGCTATACAAGGAGTACTGCGAAGAGAGTAGCAGGAAGCTCATGGAATGGGAGGGAGCACACAGAATTCCGCTCAAGACTGCTGATGTCACAGAAGCTGCCCAAGGCATCTTGGACATCGCCCGAGCGACAGGGGCTTTGAGCCAGCCATAGACGGGACCGAGTTTGCATAGAATATAGACATACATAGAGCGGTTGGTACTCAACAACTATTTCTAGCAAAGGTTGCGTCTCCGAGAAGTCCAGCCTCCAAGTGCCTATTCGACGATCTCGCACTCCTCTCTAATCTCTGCCGGTAGCGCATAAATCTCCTCCCTCAGCAGCTCAGGCCTATTCAAAAATACCAACGCCCTCAACAGTGCTTCAATACTATCCCACGAGACAGCCACCGCCCCTGGCCCGCTCACGATGAGAAAATACCTCCACTGGAACGGAAGACCATACCTCTCCGCCCGGCGACACCACAGCGCCCAAACTCCATGCTCAGTCGTACTCCCTGGAGGCTTCCCCCACGATGCCCGATTGCCACCCATACAGAGCCCCGCCACGACATCATAAACCTGCCCCAGCGGCCGCGGTGTCACGTTCACCTTCGCCAAAAGCAGCGGTCGCGCCATAATATGCTGGTGATTCTGCAAGCACCCAGGCCCGTCCCACACCACCCAGCGCTCCGCAAAACTCGCGCCGAATGGCGATCCCGCAACGAACACGGCATGCACGCGGATCAAAGCAAGAAAGTCAGCCGGCAGGATCGGGAGCGGCACACCAAACTTCTGCACGTCTGTAGCCGTGTGGTGGTCGCTCAGCTGCTGACTGGCCAACTTTATATACAGCTCCGTGGCGCCGTGGCTGTCCATCTTGCCGTTATTGGAGGGGGTTGCCGGGTGTGGCAGTACGCCGCCGAAGGCAAAGAGCGATGTGGTGGTGTACCAGTGCGGCTCGACGAACGGGAGGACGTAGCGGCGCGAGACGGAGTTGATGAGGATAGACGGGTTGCCAATGCTTGTGCCTAGGTGCGTATAGAGATCGGGCGTTCCAATAGGGGTGTTTGCGCCATGGAGAGTCGCGCGGATCAGGGAGAACATCTGGCAGCCGAGATGGCGTGCGGCTCGATCTAGCATGGCTGTGCGGAATGATTTGATGGAGTTGGTAAGATCTGGTGGTGATGAGGGGGCTTGCGTGTGTTGCCGGACATGTCTGTTCGTATATTCGGAGTAGGCATTGACCTGGGCGTGTGATGGCTGAGTGAGCGGTTGTGCCCTTGGAGCAAATGAATATGGCCAGAATCTAGACATGATGGCTGGGCTCTGGACTCACGACTCCTTTCGATGACCTGGGAAGGATTTCGTAATCAGGCCTGGGGAGGCGACATACAAGCTCATGACGTGGTTCGTTCTATAGGAATACGTATGCCAGGTCAAACACTGTGGGTTGGTGAATTGTGCGGTGAACAAAACATTACATTGTTGATAGACCCTGCGGCGGGCGTGAAAGGAAGCATGAACAAGCACAGGGGTAGTGGTGGTCATCTGAGGGAACGCATTTTCCCGAGTCGAGTAGCAACTGCCAGAGATCAAAAAAAGCGTCATGGTACAGCACATCAAATGCCTCCTTCCTGTGCGGTACATGTTGCACTTTGTCGGGTTCGACAGGAGCACTGGGCCATCTACAGCTTTAGTAGTGGAGAACCTTGGCGATACTCTGCAAACAGAACTCCTTCGGTCTAGAAACTTGCACGTAACCGTCGGGTTGCCTGGGCACGGCACAGTTCATCGAGAACATCACAGTGGCCGTTCCACGTATTTCCTCATCCTATCATGTCCCGAAGACGTAAGGGGCTATTCCCCAATACAGCCATCTTATGTAAAGATCACCTAGATTTTCACATGATTGCTGACACCAGTGATTATAATAGAATTGTATCGAGACAGCAATCGACAGCAGGATATTTGCACCGCATTAAATAACGGCTGAGGACGAAACAGTTAACAGTGTTGTCTTATGGGTCCAGGGTGGAAGTACATAGGTAGACGCTCGAGCTTTCACAAGAGCTAGTCAAGACATATCAAAAACATATATCAGAACTACAATTGGAGATACCGAGACCTGTTCCAAAGACTGTCTTATAGTACTTAACACTCCCCTTAACCGCGCCTTACAGGCTAACTTTGCACAGTACACTTTCAGCTAGATAGCATTGCTACATGCAGATAACCATTACCTATAACTATTTTTCAACTATTGATTAACGACCGGACATGTAGCCGAGAGACATTTGCATATATCAGTAGAGTAAAATACTAAAGCATGGTTGGACAATGCAAACATGGTAAATTCGGTAAGAAAACATATATTCAACCCATGATCATTATAATCGATGTAATAGTCAGTCATACATGGAGAGAACAACACGACGGGTGTATGATGAAGTGATTAGTGGGCATTAGAACGTTCCAAAAATGTAAAACATTCAGCAGTGGGTATTCGCTAGTGGTCACCCACCTAACTACTAATCCACCCCTAACCAGCTTAAATAGGCGGGAGCGAACGGGACCGCTTGCTTTCTGGTTGGTATGGCCGAATGTGTTCGAATCACGTATATTTGAAACTATATCCTTCTTTAATCATGGTTATGCTGATTCGTGATGTGATGTTCGAGGTACTAATCAAGGCATACACAGGAAGCTTAGTGAAGGAAGCCCAATGAGCGACCAATGAATAATGCTTCGTTATTTGTGTTGATTTAATCTGATTAGAGCAATTATTCGATTAATCGATCCTAACAGATACTTCTGCTAAGTTATTGGCACCACCATCTATTGATTGACAATACGAAAGCCGACTCACGCCCACCTACAATAAGGTAGAAGTCACAATCACCACCAAACAATACGTCAAATTTGTCAATCCGGACTGTGGAGCATGAGGTCCCCACTACTCTCTTCCTTCGCGTTGCTTGCCACGACTACCTTCGGCATGGCCTTTACTGTTATCTCGCTCTATTACTATTGGTGCTACGACTGACTGAAGCAGGGATGAAGTTGTAGATTTACAGATTCTTATATCACTACGCTGTTATTAGTATAGGGGTGAGAATCCGTTCTGCGTTAATGTACAAATAATGACATGTGCTAGGTCATATAAGTCTTTCCCCAGGGCGCTTATAAAGGTCCCAAATGTCCGACGCAATCGACCGGGCATTAACAGTCACATGTTGACGTGGCAATTGGTTGATAATATAATGTCGTCCATGGATTTAAGAAGAAACAGTAGTGGCGGTTTGTCGTAGCAGTGACGAAGGAGAATATTCCTCTCTACCGTACAATACCCCGAGATCCCTTATAGACTCGGGTGCCCGTTACGTTCATAGAACCATCAGAATTCAAATTTCGCTTGAGGATCAAAACGATCATGACGTCTTAACTTTGAATAGCACCTGCATAATGTTAACATGGGTGGCCACATAGCGTTATCAGACAAGCGTAAAGGGATTCCCATGTCAGCATTGTCAGTATCGATTGGCGAGGACGAGGAGACTATTGGCAATATACAGCATTACTGCATGATGGCCTGTCAGATTTCGGGTGTCACTGTATTAGAAAGGTAATCCGAGCAAGGAAGGCTAGGTGACAGGTGGCGAAGGCTAGAGAACGAGAAAGACAATAAGAGAGACAGGCAGAGAGCGAGACGAGATGATTTCCAGCGAATGTTCCAGTTCGAGTCTGGATGGATGGTGGAGTGATGGCGTGGCGGAGTGGGGAAGCGGTGGTGCGACTGCGTCCTTACCTCATGGTGCATAGGTATCTTTGGCACGGCCAAGCCATTCCGTCAATCGTTCATAGGCTGTTGGTTGCGAGCGAGAAGGTACAAAGTACAGACCAAGGCAGTCACTGTCACATCGGTTTGAGGCGTAGCGCTGTGACACGGACCATACCTACTGCCACTATGACGTCCCAAAAGCTTGTATAATTCTAATATAAGTCCTACACAGTTGTCTACCATGTGAGAGACGTCCCCGCAAGGAAGGTGGAGGTTAGGGGGTTTTGAATTTTTTTGATGGACGCCGCCTGCGCGACTAATGCCAGGGGCCAGGGCTTCCTCCGACGGCGCCCGACAGCTAGTCGGGGACCTGGTGGAGTTTGGTATCGATAGGGGTCTCTGTAGCCAATCAGTACTCCATTCCAGACTGAAGCTATGATCGTTACCCGATGCGCATTCACTTTGAAACACACTTTGACCTGCTGCGTCCACAATCAGTGTCAGCGTTGTCCTTGATTGGGAAAGGCAGAAGGTTTTTTCTGCTTTGCATTGTGTTGCTTTGGCTCCCGGTCGTGGTCATGGCTACCGACAATATGGCCATACATGTGCAACAAACGCACGCTGACCCACTCACACTCTTCAGGAGATCCTATATTTTGCTGTCTCCCCAGCCTTGATGTTTCCTACCTTCTGTTTCTGTTTCATCCTCTAACCTATCCTGCCACTACATTCGTTTGAGAGCTGGTATCACAGTCGTTATTTAACCACACACTTTTCGTTGCATTCTCCTTTCCAACCTCATCAACTACCTACCATAGACCCCGAAATACTACCATCCACCAGATACACGCCAATACACCAGTCAACATGCGTACCTCAATCGCTCTCCTCGTCGCCATCGCCGCCTCCTCGCATGCTCTCAATCCGCGCGGTCAGGACTCCAACTACTTCCTCGAAGATACCGTACCTCAAGGTTACGTTGTATCTCAAATCTCAGACGGCCAGCCTCAAGCCCCAACCTACGCTCCTCCCGTCGTCACTCAGATCTCTGACGGTCAACCTCAAGCGCCTACCCTCGCTCCGTCTGCCCCAGTTATTACCCAGATCTCTGATGGTCAACCTCAAGCACCTACTCCAGCTCCACCAGTTTCCCAGATCTCCGATGGTCAGCCCCAGGCACCGAGCAGCGCTCCAGTCATTAGCCAGATATCTGATGGCCAGCCTCAAGCTCCAACGACGCTGTTGATTGAGACCCAGCCACCGGTCGTCCCATCTGCCGTACCGAGCATCGTAGTACCCTCTGCCGTCTCCAGCGTTGTCCCAAGCCCAACGCCATCACCCACTGGAGCTGCTACCAGCGTGAAGGCCAGTGCATTTGGCCTCGTTGCAGTTGTGGCTGCTATGATGTTTGCTTAAACGCCAGACCATAGGTTGAGGGTCGAGATTATAGGAGCATCTCATTCAATGTGCATATTAACGATGCTGGGGCGTCTCATTAGGTCAAGCATCGTTGCGCAAAAGCACGACAGTAATCGGCGGGTCTGATCTCTTATGTGGCACATATGTAACCATGCGTTCCGCAGTAATTCCTATTCGCTAGGCATGGTACCCTGGATGTGCCTGTAGCAATACAATAGAGTTTGCATACTATCCTACTGCACTTCGATTTTCCTGCACGTGAATGAAAGTGATGATGATATCGGCGGGGTCGCAAACGAATGACACGTATGACGACATGACCATGACTGAAATTACGATCTCCCAGGCTGTCTCACGGGCATGATCGTCAGGGGAAATCGTCTCGGTTACAACACGTCTCAGCTTCAAGTATATGTGGTGTAGTCTCGTTGTAAATCGCAAGACGTACAATGATAACACCGTTTTTTGTGATCACGATTCCAAGTTCGCGTTATCATCGAATCCGCCGTGTAGTATATGTTGTCATAGGCATTGGGGACTGCTCAGAACAGCATTATCGGTTTGATAGTAGGTGACGAGTTCCTTCTTTTCGTCACTTATCATAGAATGATGGCTGTACCTGATGACACGGGCAATGGAGAACAAACTAGAAGGACAATTATTGCTTTGGTCGCAGGGCAGGGCATATAATTCATTTATCATCATCGTCACCTGCGGCCGTACGGCTCCACGCGGCTTAGCGGCCATCCAATCCGATCGCGTCATTGGAGCTTAACCCTTGTCGGACGCCGACCCTAACACTTTTGTCTTAGAAATCGACAAAAAATTATGTGTATCCCCGCCCTGTCTCTGCGCTGGTGATAAATCAAATCCTCTGTTACATATTGTGATATATATATGCGTCTCTAGGTACACACTCGCCAGCATAGCTTCTTTACCAGTTCTGTGCATTGTTTCTTCTTTCCTGAACTATTTTGCGACATAGATTGCATTTACCACCATGACGCAGACCGACGCACCCATCGAAACACCGCCACGCGCACCTACGCCAAAACACCAATTCGGGACTTTGGCTGTCCATGCTGGCTCTCCCCACGACCCAGTGACAGGTGCAGTTATTGAGGCAGTAAGTTTCACTAAGAATAATTCGCTCCAGGAAAATTGGCACTGACCCTCCACCAGATCTCACTTTCCACGACCTTTGCGCAGACCACCGTCGGACAGCCAGTAGGCGCGTACGAATACACACGAAGCTCTAACCCCAACCGGTATGTCCTTGCTCCATTCTGGAAACTTGATTGATAATTACGACTAACACAACTCTGTACAGTGACAATTTCGAAACCAGCATCGCTGCCCTCGAACACGCTCGCTATGCCCTCGCCTTTTCATCTGGCAGTGCGACCACTGCTAATATTCTCCAATCACTCGCAGCCGGCTCCCATGTCATCTCCGTCTCAGACGTCTACGGCGGCACGCACCGCTACTTCACAAAAGTCGCCGCGGCGCATGGCGTTACTGTAACCTTCACTCCCTCCCTCAATCTCCATACCTCTCTCACAGAGCTCATTCGACCCACCACAACCCTCGTCTGGATCGAGTCGCCCTCCAACCCAACTCTGTCCCTCGTCGATATCCGCGCTGTCTCCTCCGAAGCACACAAACATGGCATCAACGTCGTCGTCGACAACACCTTCTGCTCTCCCTATGTACAGACGCCCCTCGACCTTGGCGCCGACATTGTCGTGCACTCTGTCACAAAATACATAAACGGCCACTCCGATGTGCTTATGGGCGTAGCCGCCCTCAACTCCCCCGTCCTGTACGAGCAACTCAGCTTTCTGCAGAACGCAATCGGCGCCGTGCCCTCCGCCTTCGACTGCTGGCTCGCTCATCGCGGCGTGAAGACCCTCCATCTCCGTGCTCGTGCTGCGAGCGAGAATGCGCTGCGCATTGCCACACTGCTCAGTGAGAGCCCGCACGTATTGGCTGTCAACTACCCCGGCCTGGCGTCGCACCCCCAGCGTTCCATAGCAATTAAACAACACCGCGATGGTCTAGGCGGCGGCATGCTGAGCTTCCGGATTCGTGGCGGTAGCGAGGGCGCGGCGCGGTTCTGTGCGGCGACGCAAATCTTTACATTAGCAGAGAGTCTGGGAGGTGTGGAGAGTCTAGTGGAAGTGCCGGCCAGCATGACGCACGGAGGCATTCCCCGTGAGGCTCGGGAGGCAGCAGGTGTATGGGATGATCTTGTACGAGTAAGCTGTGGGATTGAAGATGCTGTGGATCTGGAGGCGGATGTGAGGCAGGCCTTGGAGGTTGCGGTGAACGGTCATAACGGCGTGAAAAATGGTGCATGAATGGGCAGATGGGCGGCACATTGTTTGACATTGCTGCATGTGGATTATAGACGGCGTCTTGGGTCGTGATGTGCTTGGTTATTTATGCGGCTACATATGTGCATACATGTCACACACTTTTCAATTATTACAATATTACTCTTCAAACACTTCGGACCTGCTCCATCCGGGATATATAGTTTAGAAGGACTGTACGTCGCTAGCCCTATACGGAGAACCAGACACCGACTTACCTACCAAACCTCATCTGCGCCTTCGCATAACGGAATAGCGCTCTGATAAAGACTTGGTAATTAACTCCCTCATTATCCGGAACGTGGCTACGCACTATCATTAGCAAATACCCTGGGCCTCAAGAAGAATGACTATACTTACAATATCTCCGTCAACCGCATCTGCCACGGCGGATAACCCTTCAAAATTACTCGTGGTCCAAACAATACCAGCAAGTCCGGCTCGCCCATTACACTCTCCGAAATTTCGGCATCGATCAGCTCTGCACTAACATCCGCCGGGCTCAACTTCTGCCGCTGAGCCATCTCAGCCAGTGTCTTTGTCAGATCAACAAGTGTACTGCGGCCGTCTTCCGCACTGAGTAGCAGAATCGTCAAATGCGGCGGACTGGATCCTTCGGCGCCGGATTCCGCGGTGCCAGGGGGAGTTGTCGGAGGCGAGAAAGAAGGCAAGTGCGGAGCACGTATGGAAAGTGTAGGTTTGCCTGGGTGCGAGGGTCCGTAATACGACGCCAATGTCTCGCTGATACTCCGATGCGTTTGCGGAATGTAGTTCTTCAGGACACCGCTCGGCTCGTAGACGCTAAGCAACGGAATGCCAGCGCACGCAGTCCAGGCTGCGAGCTCTGCGAGGTCCGACACTAAGCTAGACAGGCCAGCCCCTGAGTGTTCGTCATCATCCAGTTCAAGGACTACAGACAGGTGTGCCGGGAGGCGAGATAGTTGCTTTACGTCTTTATGGATGTATTCGGGGGTGCGATGGTGGTAGTATAAGATAGCGCATACGCGGTCGAGGACGGAGTGGTAGGCCTTGCGGAAGCGGATATAGAGTGAGAATATGAAGTGGACGAGGGTGAATGTGAGAAAGTGGAGCTGCGTCTTCAGGAATGAGCGCATTGGCTTGGACCGTTTTGGGCGCGTCGAGGAAATCGGAGCGTGAGAGATGGATTGTGGTGCGGCTGGAGGAAGGTATGGTTTGAGGAGATTCTCACGGTCATGTTTAGTGAGAGGTCGGCCGTCCGGATGGACGTTTCGGCGCAGGACTGCGGTTTCCTTTGCTGCCACCATGGTATGCTGTATACGAGGAGATGGTTATCCTGTAGGAAGGTATTACTTGTGGGTCGAGTGGCCAGCCCGCAAGATCAACAAATAAATGAGATAGAAGGATGAATATAGGTCAAAGAGGACATTGAAATAGAGCGTGTTCTGAGTGAGTCTACAGTATTTATAGAAACTGCATGAAGTAACTTAGCTTCGCCATGAAGCCTGATCATCGTATGGGTTGACGTACGTTTGCTTAGAAGTTGAAGCTTGGTGTGCGCACCGCCACTATTCAGCCACATATGCCACGCGCCGCCAGGGTCTATGTTTGGGTGGAGATGGATACTGCAGCTCCAATCTTGTATTTACTGTTCGCTAACCATACAGCACGAGCCCCAGTGTCTGGATATATCGAGTAGCTAGCCAGCAACAGACTATTGTCTGGTCTCAGGAGTCATTCGATCTACCTTCTGAGAGACTGCGACATTAATGCTCACAGCCCTACCTTCTCCGCCCGCTTCTCCGCATTGAATCAGTGGGTAATTGACCTCCCGGGAATGACAGGAAGGTAACAGGCCACAATGGCTCCTGGAGCGGCCGATACCGCCTCAATCATCACTGGAACGACTCTTACGGGCTCAATTCGTCAAAAAGGACCTATCTTCACCTTGGAGACATTCTCGGTACGTTTCTCTGGACGTCGTCAAGGGTGCAGAGACTAAGTCACACTACATAGGACAAAGACTTCATAGTAAAGGACTTCATTGAAGCGCTGTCTGATGCTGCTGTACCAGCCTCTAGACGCTCCGGCCCGGGCGTCGCACAACAGGCATTCGACCCTAAGCCTCTGATTCGAACATTCGAGCATGCACTATCGCGACTAGGAGGTCTCTCAGAGGACTTGGAAGAAAAAGAGAACGAGCTTTCGGGGTCTGTTCGAAGAGCAGAAGCTGAGCATGGTCGTATTGTACAGACGCTTGGATCGAAATTGGACATGGCTGTGGAGAACTTCAATACATTGGACAGCTCGCTTAATGGAAACGTGGACGATGCTGGGGGTAATGCTGCCCTGAGGATAGGAGAACAGCTTGAGGAGCTGAACAGACAGAGCCAAAGGGCGCAAGACGCTGCAGAACTGATACACTGTTGGGTTGATGTCTCTGAAAAGGGACATCTAAATAGGTTAGAGGACAAGAAGGGGAAGGGAGAAGGATCAGTACAAGCTGCAAACATGGCGAGACAGCTGTTACGCATAAGTCATCGCCTTGACGGGGATCCTGCGTCACAATTCAATGGCACAGGTGTGAATGGCTCTCTGCTACGCAGTGGAGCTCAAGCGAAGAATCGGACGAGAGAAATCATCGAGAAATTCTTAGAATCACTTGAGACAGATCTTCTGAAGCAATTTGATGGCTTCTATCGACGGCAAGATTTTGAGCGGATGAAGGAATGTGCCATTGCCTTGAGAGACTTTAGCGACGGGTCCAGTGTGAAGGCACTCTTCGTCAATCAGCATCAGTTCTTCATTGATAGAAGTCAATTGATTACTGAGGAGATTGCTGGGGATGATGAAGCGTGAGCTCAAGCTCTGATACTACATTTAGGACCCCACTAACTGTCTTTTCAGGTGGGCAAGCCTAGCGGATCCGGACACAGAGCCTCCTGGCGTGGATCCGAGCTTGCAAACACTGATTGACGAAGTGAGAATTGTGGTCCAAGAAGAGTCCTTTATCATCAAACGCGCTTTTCCATTCTACGATGAAGTTTTGATCAGGTTCTTACAGAGAGTGTTTCAACAATCGGTTAGTACCTCGCATTATACATACCACTCCTAGCTGACTTAACAAAGATCCAACAAAGACTTGAATTGGTTCTTGAAAAGGCCGACTCGGTATCATCGTTAGCATTCCTGCGGTCGCTACAGTCAGCCAGGTCATACGCTCAGGGCCTAGTAGACGACTTAAAGGCACATGGTTTGACGGAGCACCCCGAGCCAGCCACGTCTCAAATTGCTGCGACTCTTGACCAACAGCTCGAAGACCTCTTTGTTCCTCCATTTGTAGGTACGACTTACATAGAGCGGGAGAAGAAGAATCTGGACGAATTATATTCGTCTTTGCTCTTCAAGTTTACAGTATACCATTCCAAAAGACGAAAGGCACCGACGACAATGTTCTCGTCTTTTAGTCAGCGTGGCAAAGAACTATTGTCATCAGCCCGAGACGCATACATGGAACGACTGGACTCTGCTGAGATACCATCATCGCAAAAGGCCATGCTCTTACGTATAGCAGGTGTGAAAGAGGCAGAGACCGAGAAGAAGGAAATTGATGTCACAGAGGAAGATGGGGCATTAAGCATACCAAACGCCAAACGGATGTTGAAGTGGCTAGCGGAAGGTGTTGGTAGAGGGCTGGAGCTCACTCATGGCGGACCCGAGACACCGAAAGATGTGCAAGCACTACTGAATCTGCTATTGGTCCATATGGGCGATATTTATCTTGACACAGCACTCGATGCGTAAGTGCGCAGTTCAACGAGCATATCTCAGAATTAACAGTATGATACAGCGCCGCCGAACAAGCACTAGCCCAAGAAACCAGCAAGTCTCTCCCAGACTACTCCTATTTCAACACCCTTCGCTCGGCCATCGGCGTCCTTCACCTGCTATCCACTTCCGTTCAGACCGTTCTCCTCCCACTCGCCTCCTCGTCTACCATGATCCGCCGCGATATCGAGAAAAACACGCTCAACACCACCACGACACTCGAGTCGAAAATAAGCACGATTCTTCACCGGACCATTGATTCCGCGCTCAACTATATCACCAAACTCTTAGCCCAACAAAAAAAGAACGACTTCCGTCCCAAAGACGACGACGCCGTCGCGGTTGCCCTTAGCAGTGAAACCACTACCTGCCAAGCAATCACTACCTTCCTCAGCAAGACGAGCCTGCTTGCTACCTCCGCCCTCAGCGGTCGCAATCTGTCTGTCTTCCTCACTGAGCTTGTCATCGGCGTGCGCTCGCTGCTTCTGGAACATTTCCGAAGATTCACAATCAGTCTCACAGGAGGTCTGGTACTCAGTAGGGACGTGACGAAATATGTAGATACAGTACGAGATTGGCCGTTAGGTGACGAGCTACCCCCGGGAGCGGAAGCGATGCATGTGCTCGTGGATGTGGCGAATCTGTTTGTGATCAATCCAGATGCGTTGAGAGAGAGGCTGAGGAGCGTCAAAGGCGATGAGCGGGGTGAATTGAGGGGTTATATCAGTAAGAGAGAGGACGCCGGGAGTGTAGGTGTACAGGCGGTTTTGAGTGCGCTGTAAGAGCTGTATACAACGTAAGTATGATACCGAGCTTGAATTATGTGGAGGCATTAGGATTGCGTTCGATGAGCTTGTTCTTCGCCTAACCACCATAACCACGCGTCAACATTCACGCACACTGTTTGGTACTAACGTGCCTAGATCTCGCCTCCCTTAACATTTTGCTTGCTACCTTCTATCTTGAAGACGATTATTTCTTCTATCAGTCTCCCATACTGCAGAGCTGCGTCTCACAATTATTCCATAACATGGACTTGAATACTGTTTGGTCTGGTTTATTTGGCACTTCCCTTCCGTGCCGACCTGCGACTCTCGGGGATTTGCACTCAGAACTCGGGATCTGCTGGGTTATGGGCGCCTTCCCATAGATTACTTGGAATTTATATAGCAGGGAACTATAGGCATATATAGGGCCCCCCTCTAGATGTGACATGGACGTCTTTATGTAGATAGAATAGATGATGGTCTAACATGGTATGGAATGTTATGGCGGATACTGTTGTGATAAGGGAGCGTATTGACGAATACCACTGTACAGTCGTACCTCATCTAGTCGAGCTGCTGTGTTGCGGACAGGCTGGACAATGGTACTAGACATTGACGGACCGCGAATTCTCTGCTATCTTTCCTCTTTCCCGATGTCAACTACCTCAAGACGACCTCTTCGTGCGGATACGATAGCCCGTAATAGCAGCAGACAACAGCGACACATGCGACACATATGCCTCTCACTATTCCGGGTCCAAGTGCAGCACTGTCAACTCTCGTGTCACCAGGAAGCAAAACGTATGTCACGCGTCTATGTCCACGTACGTAACAGAGCTCGTACAAGACATGGCGAGGCTGCGTGTCTGGCCGGAAAGCCCCTAGTGGTGGACGTGATATTGTGCCTCGTGAGTATTAGCATGGTTGAGCCATAATCGGGTATGTCCGCTAGGTCTCTGCGTGATAAGTCAATGCTGTACTATACCTGGCATTCGGTGAAGCTACTCGTAATCGTAGAGCTGCTTGTCCGATAGCACGTGGTGAGCTCTTGGGAGATGGAGGGACTTCAATGGTGGGTGTTTAGCGAGCATGGGCCAACCTGTGCACGTAAAGCGACTGGCATGTACAATATGTATATATAATAGCTGGCAAGCATGAGTAGGTTGCGTGCGTTGGGAGTTCATGGCTCCACTATGCGGCATATGAGCTCATTGAGTCATTAAGAATTAGGTCGTTAACTTAGTCCAATTGAGACTTGGAGATTAATTGCCGCATGTTTCTGGGTATCAGTGAAGCCGGGTTTAATCGTGTTCCGTGGCAATGGATGTGGTCATAGCAAGCGGGTCTTGACAGCGGAGCGAATTTCTTCATTTAGTGGCAGTAATAATAACTACGCTGGTTACAATGTAAAGATGTGAATGGTGTAAATGTCTAGTACTCTGTGTTCATAGGATCAATGTACGAAGTACAACGGTAATAACATGGACGACGAGTGCTGATTCTGCTGAAGAAAGTGACACGGATATGTCAGTGGCCGATTAGGGTAGCCGACATGTTGCCCCAAGGCACCAGTTTCGGAGAACGATCGATGTGACATTAAGGCACGACTGGATACGGAAATCAGTAGTCTAGGTTAATGAGTTTTACCTCAGCGGAAGGCTGATGACATAAGTAACTAAAAGCGAGTCTAACGACCCAAGCTGAGGCTACCTAGGTAGCTAGTGTGCTACCGGATCTAAGATAGCCTGCTCTCATTGGCCTAATGCTGCCACCCGCGCAGGATAGCGGGCCGTTCGATCTTCATAGCCGTGCAATGAGACCCTAAGATGAGTGCACGGGGTCAGATTCAGCTGTATGATTGGCTAAAAACTCCAGACGTAGTAGCTGAGAATTTCATGATAATAATGGCCTATGCTACTACCCATCACCGAGTGTTTGCTATTATTATCATTACCATTGTTATTTTTGCCGAACACGTGCGGCGCCATCGGATTCTCCGCATCGCCAAACCCTCTCTGAATCGCATCAATCTTCGCTCAATCGCATCGTATCTCATGCTATCGGCCGCTTGTGGCGCTGACAAGACCCCTTGGTGTTGCTTGTCAGTGACCAGGTCTGGCCTGCAGTGACGACATTTGGAGACGAAGTCGATACGGAGGACCTCGGGAGCCATGGCCGTGGTATCAATCATCAAGGCCTTTCTCACTGGGCCCTAGGCCGCGATTGACAGAATTCATCCGTAAACATGGACCCCACACACGTCCGTGGGTAAACAAGCACCCACTTCATCCGGACTAACGTCAATGCGAGGTTAGAGACGATGAGATGGGTGGATCGCTACATTTTCCTCTTCGACGTGCCGTCCATTCCACTTTTACACCTCCACTCTCTCCGCTCTTAGACCCTGACAGCGGACTTGTGGGCAGCGCAGCGCAAAAAAACTCTTCTCGTTGTGCCTGTCTCCATGGTATTGGATATTCATAAACTCTGTCTGTGCCAGTCTCGCATGTTGTATGACCTTTCTTGTCAACCGTGTACGGCCTCCAACGCGCTTCTTCAGCCACTTGGAAATCCTTATTCGCCGAATTATCCGATCGCGCAGCCAGGCAACTCTGCTATTGCCGATATATCTGGCTTTGTTTCACCCAACAGTTTGGAGTCGACGGATTTGCCATGTACGTCATTCGCGGTGGCCTGTACTTCCCAGATACCACTCGAGGCTGATCTTCTGACAACGTGGAGCTTAAACTGACGCTGAAACAGAAACCATATAAGCAATCGTTACTTCCTTAGCCGGCGAAGGATCCATAGTTGGCGCTCTTCGGGGCACGAAGCACGCCGCAAGCTTCCCGTTGCGCTTGGTATATATTGGCACTCTGCAACCCTGCCGCGAGTCGAATTTGCACTGTTGCCATCCATATCTAACCCATTAGATATTCTGAAGTATTGTTACCAGCCAGAATGGCAGATCATATCTTCAATGATGATGCACCCGCCGCTCCACCAGGCCCAAATCCTGACGGCACTAAAAATTTCAGTCACATGTCCATGAACCAGGCTGAAGAGGAAGTCTTCAGGAAACTCATCCGTGCCGACGATAGCTACGATGAGAATGGCGTCTACTGGGCTGACATGAAAATTGGAAGGCGCGCCAAGTTCGTCGGCAAGGTTGACCGCGAGGAAGCTTCGAGGGAACTCAAGTCGATTGGCAGGATGATCAAGAAGGACCCTCTTAGCCCCGTCGGAGCCTATGTCCGAAATATGGTGATTCCTGGTGCAGGTCTTCTACTGGAAGGGTATGATATTTGAAACAATCTTTGTTTATTAGTCTAACTTTCCTAGTTACGTTCTCTTCTCCATTGGTACTATCCGACCTCTGCTCCAAGCCGCATTCCCTGCCTGTTGGAAGCACTTCGAAACTTGCGACGAAACATGGACCCAAGCTGTCGATTATTTAGAGATCGTTGGTATCATCGTCGGCCAAATCCTGGTCGGTGTCATTGGCGATTGGATCGGTCGACGATGGGGTCTTCTACAAGATGCCACCATCATGTTTATTGGTCTGCTCATGCTCACTGCGGCATGGGGAGTCACGGAAAACGGATGGGTCATCTGTTATGTCTGGTCACTGTTCTTCTATGGTATCGGTGTGGGTGGTGAATACCCCATGACTGCTACCTCTGGAATGGCGAGTTCCCAGTGCATTAGTTTTCGATTTCCGCTAATCTTGCTCAGGAAAACGCTGTCGGTTCCGGCAAGGTCAGTACCAGAGACGATCGTCTGCACCGTGGCCGCAAAGTTACCAGTGCCTTTCTGATGCAGGGTTGGGGTCAATTCCTCAACCAGGTCATCCTCATCCTTCTACTCTTGATCTTTCACCACGGCAGCGGTAACCCTCCATACTCCAAAGTGGCCGCTCAATGGACGTATCGTGTCAGCTTTGCCATCCCTGCCGTCGGAACTCTCTGGCTTGTCTACTACCGTGCTTACAAGATGCCATCGGCGAGTAAGCAGCTTATGATCGCCAAGAAGAAGTCGAAAGTCACCGGCTACGACACAAGGTCGCTCAAGATGTGTATGACCCACTTTGGCGGGCGTCTGTTCGCTACTGCCATGGCATGGTACTTTAACGACGTCTTTTTCTACGGGAACAAGCTTTTCCAGAACGAATTCATTAAAGTTTTGACTCCTGGAAACAACGCTGTTATGGTAGGCTGGCTGTATAATCTTATCAACATCGGCGTTTCCCTTGTTGGTTACTATCTCGCCTCCTTCCTTATTGACAACAAGCTCTATGGCCGCAAGTGGATGATGGTCGTTGGGTTTTTCTGCGACTTCGTCTTGTTTGTCGTCCCGGCATTTAATTACGACTTCTTCCTACAAAAGGAAAATATTCACGCCTTCCAGGCTATGTATTTTCTGTCATCCTTCTTCAATCAGTTCGGTCCAAACTCTGTCACCTTCCTCGTCGCCGCAGAGGTGTTCCCTACTCCAGTGCGTGCCACAGCTCACGGTTTCTCTGCCGCTGTAGGTAAGCTCGGCGCCCTGACCGCTGCCGTACTATACAATTATATCGACAACCCGACCAAATTTAAGGTCGTGCCCTGGTTCGGTCTCGCTGGTGCCCTCGTCACTCTCATTTGGATGCCGGATACCACCGGCCTGGATCTCAAGGAACAAGAACGCCGCTGGCGCTATCTCATCGCGGGTCGCGCTCAAGAATACCATGGTGTCGCGGTGCACCCAAAGCACTTATCTTGGTGGGAGCGCATGTGGGGCATCGGCAAACTGTGGGATGCGGAGAAGGACTTTGCAGCACAGGTCGAAGATATGCGTGGAGAGTGGGAAGAGAGTGAGAAGGACAAGGGAAGAGAGGATGGGGACGGACTGAACGAGGAGGGAGAGGAATATGGCGAGCATGTTGCGTCATATTTTAGGAGAACTGGCAGCAACACAGGCGGGGTCAAGGCCACACGTGAAATCCGGGAGAAGAGCGATCTGAACAGCGACACCCAGAGTGATGAGGTTAAAGAGAAGGAAAGTCATTGAGGTATATATTCAAACCCTACGTGTCTGTATGAGTTCGTCAGTATGGGATACTTCAGAATCATAACGTCATAGCAGTTGAACAATCAGACTCGATGATTTATTCTAATCATGCCCTGGACGCCGTCTGCTAATGGCTGACTGTTTATGATCAAGCCCCGTCATTACGAAACAGCGATAGGATACAGCATTTAAAGGCTTACAATCAGGGGTCAAGGGCAAGCAGGCATGATAGCATACAGGTAGTCCAGCGTTGAGGTATACCGGTAGCCCTGATTTCCATGTTATACTACTGTAAGGATCCTACGGTCTACGACCGAGTGGGAGAAGGCCTATATGAGAATGAGACATATCTTAGCCACTACATGATAAAATCGAGGGGTCCATTTGACAGTAATCCTTTTGTCCTAGCTTGTGGGAAGTCATGTACCTGATGCGCGATGGCTCAATTCCTATTCACAATACCGTACAGCTCCTTTGCACTAGAACATGGTAGTACCGCGCCTTCTTCGCGCCTTGTAGCTGGGCATCTTTCGATTCCTGTGCCTCGGTCGTCACGATCTGTCGTTGCTCGTTTGCTTTCTCGATCTCCATCTCCAGCTCAGCTATCTCCTTCATGTACTGTGCTTCCTTGAGTCTTCTTAGTTCTGACGTACTGACACGCAGTTTCTCAATTTCGGCATCTTTCTGGGCTTTTCTGCTTCCATGGTCTGCTTTCAGCACTTCGATATATGCAATCTGTTCTTGGTCCCTCTCGGCCTGAGCTCTGATCAAGTCCGCCTGTAAGTCCTTAAGCTTCCCCTCACATTCTTGAGGCTATTGAATGTGGAAACAGACCACTTCCATCCCAGCTGCTGTGTTATTTAGTGTGATTCTGCGATCTGCCATATCTCTCTGCAAGTCTGTGACAATCTTTCGGTCACTATCGAATCGGGACTTTACGATTTGCAAGGCTGACTCGGCGCCTGCGTCCTGTCTGTACATATGCACACCATTAGCCAGCATGTACTTCTATAGAGTCGCTTTGGCTCCTTAGGTCCCGTTCTCGAAATCCACCAGTCTTCCGGGGCACGTTGTTCCCCGTTGTTGTGGCGAGAGCGACACTTCCAAACCCGTTGTCGCCGACAAGCTTCTTTACACATTCGCAGGTTGTTACAACAGATAGGTTAGTAAGTCACAAAAGTAGGCAAATATGCAGAGTAGCAGGGGACCTTAATCGAAGGTCGGTTGTGGGAGGCAAAACCAGACAGCAACCTGGAAGGCTCTGAAAACTCATGAACAACAAGTCAACAAGAATGGGTCGTCTGTCAGAGTTGATTCCACATCTCATCCCTGTATACATGGCCGACTGCATATAAGGTATAAGCCTCTAGATCAGAAGGACATACTTTCCCCGAGCGACATAGTAGACTGCACAACTGGGTGCTGCCTGATGCACTTGCAGACGCACCTGCAATATCATCATGTTGACCGGATCAGTATACAGAGGATTTCTGTAGTACACAGTATAGCAGCCTGCCCAGAGACCTCTTTTTCGTTTGCGGATAGATGTGGGCTTCCAAAGGACGCAGTAGAGATCGCTACTACTTTATACCACAGTAGAGACTACGTAAGCTAAATTTTCTGATTGTATAGAGCTTTCAAGACTATGATTACTCCGCTAATAACTGCATCTAAGTTGAGATTTGTAGAGTTCTTATAATATAACTCATAACCTTAATTGTACTGAATCAGGTAAAAGCACTATATAACTACCTAGAGCTATAGTATTACTTGAAAAGCTATAACATCTACATTTCATTAGATTCTTAGATAGATAAGTAATAGCTAAAACGTCTTAGAACCTCTTTTGGATACATGAATACTTAGCGTCTTGGCAGAGAGTCTGATTATCCTTACTGAGGTAATCTTAGCCCTCCACTGTCCACACCATGTTCGTCCATGTCGTAACATGGACACACGAAACCGCTTGTATATCATAAGCTCCTTCGTTCTCGGAATTGTTTTAACTCTTGGCTTCAAAGACTTATACCCTGATCTGCAACATCATTTCCGTATCTGCCACCGTCGCCGTCGATTCCCAACTTACCTCAACTCATGGCTTCCTTCAAACGCGCGCTCCGGGGCCCTCGTGCCTCATCATGAACATGTTACACTCAAGGACAACACGGCAGATGTGACGTTACCGGCTCCGCGTGACATTGCAGCAGCAGAAGAAATCAAAGATGGTATCGAAGGTTGTATTGGAAACACGCCTCTTATCCGCATCAAAAGCCTGAGCGATGCCACCGGGTGCGAGATCCTCGCGAAAGCCGAATTCATGAACGGCGCTGGGAATTCTCCCAAGGACCGTGTTGCGCTCAATATTATTACAGCTGCAGAGCAAAATGGCCTGCTCACACCGAATGCTGGCGACGTCATTTACGAAGGCACCGTTGGCAGCACTGGCATTTCTCTTGCAGCCATCTGCCGCGCGCGGGGCTATACCGCGCACATATGTATGCCAGACGACCAGGCGACTGAGAAGAGTGACCTGCTTCTTCGCCTAGGAGCTGTAGTTGAGCGTGTGCGGCCTGCGAGTATAGTGGACAAGAATCAATTCGTAAATCGAGCGCGGACAAGGGCGCAAGAGCATACGAATAGCCAAGAGAAGCCTGGGCGCGGTGTTTTTGCAGACCAATTTGAAAATGAGGCCAATTGGGCGGCGCACTTTGAGGGTACCGGGCCTGAGATTTATGCGCAGTCGGGCGGGCGAGTGGACGCATTTGTGGCCGGTGCTGGTACTGGTGGTACCATATCAGGGGTGGCCAGGTTTCTTAAACCACTGCTTCCAGATATGAAGGTTGTAATAGCTGATCCTCAAGGCAGCGGACTCTACAACCGAGTAAAATATGGAGTCATGTTTGACCCAAAGGAACGCGAGGGGACAAGGCGACGGCACCAAGTTGATACAATTGTGGAGGGTGTTGGTATCAATCGTGTGACGAAGAACTTTGAAGCCGGAAGGGAATTGGTGGACGATGCGATCCGAGTGACAGATGAGCAAGCCATCGATATGGCGCGGTGGCTGGTCGAGAAAGACGGTATTTTCGTGGGGAGTAGCAGTGCTGTTAATTGTGTGGCTGCTACGCAGTTAGCAAAACAGCTGGGACCTGGACATAGAATCGTCACGATACTGTGTGACAGTGGGACACGGCATTTAAGTAAATTCTGGAAAGAGGCTGGAGTTATTGGTGGTGGTGCAGACTTGAAGCTCGACCACGTCTTCAATGCCAAGTGAAGGCCTGGTATTTCACTTCCAAGGTTGTATGAAGTCTCACATGCGACTCATAAAGGTGCTATGGCTCGTACCAAACAGTAGTAGCGGACCTCAGTTCCAACGTACAGCGCTTCGCTCTCTATCATCTGGGGCGAATATCATAGGAAAGGTCAAATCCACTTGCGTCCGCGCCTAAAAGTTGACTCCCTCTCCCTCTCATCCTCAATCTCCCTTCTAACTCTACCATCTAGCCACCTGACCTTAGCTCTCATCTCCCACATCGGTGTTTCGCAACCTCGCAACCCAATAAACTTGCCCACCATTCGTCTCTTGATCGCCAGCCTCTCCACCGCACTCAATTCGCCCCGGCGCCGTCTCGCCTCGGCATAATGGTCCTCCACAGCACCCAGTCCGAGACCGATCATCAATCCATCGTCATTGAACGCTATGTTCTCTCCCGTGCCGCTAGAGACACCACTGACACTATTGGATCTATCGATGTCTTGTCCACGTGAGAGGAACCCCTTGTCCCAGCCCATGCACGCGGGATACAAGCTCGTGTACTCAGTGTGCTCTACCTGATGGTAGTAGCGCGCAAAGGCATCTATTTCATCCTCGGTTAAAAGCCAGTAATGTAACACACTGCGAGGATAGGACTCATGCGGCGGGCCAGCGGGAATGTGTATTGGATATATGGGTGCTAAGGTAAGGCGCATTTGGTCAATTTTGTGCGTGAGGGACGGGTTACGGTCGCGAAGGATACGATTGGCGGCGTGCGATGGGATGTGACTGGGCTGTGTGGTGGTGCTGGAACCGATGGAGGTATGGCTAGGGCTATTCGCGCTCTGGCTGTTCACGCTGCCGCCGACGCGCGAGGCACGGCGCTCAGAAAGTGGAACAAGAGTTTTGCCCATGATTACGGGAGTGGCTACATACTTCAGTGTGAGCTTAGCTAGGGACGTAGGAGGAGGGAGCTAGACTTGTTGTAAATAAAACTACGAGCGTCGGCTCACGATAATGTGGATATCAGGGAGCCTGCTCCGCAATCAGAAATTTACGAATAGAAAGGATAGCAACACTGCAGAGGACATACGATATCAAGCAGAAATACTGCAGACGACCGGGTAGCAAAGTAGAGTGTAGAAGGATGCTGTTCACCAGTCAAGCGCAGCTGGCCTCATATATTGGCGTATACTATTCCTTGTGGCTCGACCACAATGTACAATGGCATTCTGGTTGTGGACCTGTGCCATTTTGAAAAGAGATTACAACGTCTAGTACATAGGATGAGATTACAACGTCTAGTACATAGGACGAGATCACAATGTCTAGTACATAGAACGGCATCACAACGTCTAGTATATATGACAAAGAGTCATCGTTTGACGTTGTCAGGGGCGTAAAAAGATTTCGAAGAGTTCGTCTCATTTACGCTGTGAGAATAGTAGAGGCGGTAAAGTCACCCTTTCGTTCGTTCGCCCGCGCGTGACTGTGTGTGTATGGGCGTGTGCCGAATTGACCGTCGCCAGGTAATAGTTTGTCTGCTGCCTCTCATATTGTGTGTAAGCAACTACATATAGTGAACTTCAAGAAGACTGAAAACAAGTGGCCGGGATCCATCAAATGCAAGTATATGTGAAAGATCGGCTAGGGATGTGGAGAAACCGTGGAGAACAACAAATTATGGATCAACACTGTGTTCAAAAGGAACGAAGATGATCGTAAGGCCGAAGTAAGTTGTTCAGTATGTGCGACTGACCTCGCGATGACAGTGGTAGACAATGCGGTCACACACGATCAAGTGCGATATTGGCAGGATCTGACAACATGAAATAAAGGCTTGTCTATGAGAAAATAGTAAATACCATCGGATGGTCATTATCTGGCTGGTCCCGACCCAGACCCTTCACTCCCGCTATCAACGCCATGTTGTAATCTGCTCTTCTCCGTGTACTCCTCCGCGTCTTCATCATAGCCCTTCTCATCGCGGTAATTGTCATCCTCATCATCATCGCTGAAAAGATCCTCATCACTACCACCGGCGAATGCATCATACAATTCCCCTGCACGTTGCTTTCTCCTACCAGACCTCAGACCAGTGGTCGCACCGTCTGCCTGGTCTTCGAGAATCTCGAATTCGTAATTTTCGCGGGCGCTGTTAAGCAATCTTTGGCGTCTAGCAATAAAGAAATACGCTGCGAGGCTACAGCAGAACATGAGGATCAAAGCAACAGCGCCATAGATCCAGATTTGGGTACGCTTAGATACGCCAAAGGTCGGGAATGGAGATGGCAGGAAGTTGTCCTGTGTCGGTTTAGGCGTCTCTTCGGGCTTTGCAGTAGGCTCAGTGGAGGAGGGTCCAGCGGTGGTACTTGGTCGCTGGTTCACGGGACGTTCGGGGTGGTCAGTAGGGTTGCCAGGTGCAGGATCACCAGTCGGTGTGGGCACAACAATAGTAGTCGTGTGCGGCGTCACAGTGTTAACCTCATCGTGATCATCGTCATCGTGCTCCCCAGGGATAGGACGCAGCTCTTGTATGTCTGCATTATCGCATTCACCCCAAAGCCGAAGTCGCCAATCCGTGAAGTTTCCCGAATGTTCATTTTGTACGGTATCTTTCACAATGACAATCCATTCTCCAATGCCGGATTCGCCCCAGTGAGCAACTGACATAAACGTCCAGTCAACGTAACCGCTTGACGCCTCATCGTTCTTGCGAGCTGTTGCAAGATGGCTGACGATACCGCTTGGACTTCGTAGCTCGACACTGAGATCGCCTCGTCGAGTGTGCTCAACATTCATGGTGAGGGTGATGTGCTCGACCTTATCGAGATTGGCTTTCTTTAGAGCTTCCTCTGTGACAACGAATGTACTTGCAAGGCCCTGATCGCCTTGTGGTATCTCGTGCTTCACGTGCATCCAAGGAGAATAATACCATGCTTGTGGCTTGACAGTCTTCCAATCCTTGGCTTTGTCAATTAGTGCCCCAGCGTCCAACTTACCGTATCCGAACTGATGACTAAACTCCCGTCCTAAAGCAGTCACTTGCCAATCGCTAGTTGCTTCAAACTTAACCGCGGTCATGACAGTGAGCCACTGTACATCTCTCCATGACAAATCTGGCCGGGCTTCGAGAAGAAGTGCGTATATGCCTGCCCCAAGGGGCCCCGCTGCCGATGTACCCCCATGTTGTGCTGTGCACTTGTTGGCGCCAACGTCCGTTGTATGAATCGCTTCGCCGCTGCCGCTACTATATGTAACGACAAGCTGCGCAGAGCATTGCTCCGAGTAGTATGGGTGGTTGTTCTTCTGGTCAATAGCACCAACTGTGACACTATATATGCTGTTCGTGTAGCCGTCGAAGTTACAATTATCATCGTTTGCCGCACCGTTTCCGGCCGCGAAAACATAGATCGAGCCTTTACCACCTCGGCCCTGTTGGACAGCTGTAACCATTGCTCTCTCGATTAGGATACCAGGCCCCTGCATAGTTTTCCCATCGTCTGGTGGTCCCCAGGAACACGAGTAGATGTCGTTCAATTGCATCTTATAGTTGACGGCCAGAGCTTCATCGGCGTCGGAGATCTCGCCGGAGAGAATTCGCACGCCCGATACCCTTGAATCATAAGCAACACCAACACCGCAAGCATTATTCTTGCCAGCTGCAACTTCGCCGGCACATCTTGTTCCGTGCCTATCATCTGAAAGCCGCGGCTTTGGCTCGGGACCATGGTCGTTGTAGTCGTATGAGCCTTCCGCAAAGTAATTGTCCCGGAGGTCATCGCTGTCCATATCCAGTCCATCATCGACAATGCATACAGTTGAGTTTTTACCAGTGATTCCTTGCATCCAGACTCCGGTCACGTTGAGATCATTCCCTGGGGTATGCGTATTGAATAGATGCCACTGTTCATTGAAAATTGGGTCCTGTATGTTCAGCGTCTCGGCAATCTTCCGCTGAGCAACGGCAGACGTGTCTTCAGCAGGCAACCCTTCTCTGGGTACCAATCGGGGCGCAGTTCGCTTCACCATCCGAGGCTTTAGCTTCTGCTTCTGGTTGAATCTGATACCATCAAGGATGTGCCTATCGAGACCGATCTCCCTCTTTCTCCTGCGCCTTTTTAATTCTTGTATGGCATCTTCAACAATGTCGCCGTCATTTTTCCCGCACTTAAAGAGATGGTGGTCTTTTATTGAGCCGAGTGCGCCTTCATACAGGAGACCGACGTGATTCGCGAACTCAGCTGGAGCGATGCTCGGGTCTAAGTGCACAGCATAATAGTCATGTGTATTGTAGTTCCGTGGAGGTAGGGAGTCTGCAAGTACGGCTGCAAGGCTGGCAAGGACAGTGCAAAGAATGACTGGGCGCATGGCGGTGGAGAAAGTCAAGATCTCGAACTGTTGGAATTAAAGGCCTCCGCATGCGTAGAACGTGGTCAGCCGAAGAAGATGAGAAGTTCGCTGGAAGTACGCGATGCCGAATAAGAATGCTGGATTCCTGAGGTAGATATGGTTTGATTATCGCAATGGACAAGTACTTCGCCCCCGTCAGACTGCCTGAGGTAGAAAATGGACAGCGGATCAAAGGGAGGTAGAGTCGAGTAGTGTGTACAACAACTTCGTTGACAATACGGAAGATGAGAAGGGTAGTGGTGTTTCCGGTTGTCTTCGAGGTCGCTGTGGCTTTCTAGCAAAGGGAGGAGGGAGGGCTGATGTTGACTGTAGCCATGTATAGGTGTAGTATTCAGTGATGAAACGGTATGCGATCTATCATCTGGCCCGGACTTCCCCCTGGCCGGTTCTCCGCGCCGCCCCATGGATGGCCCCAGTCAGTTTTTGTTGGCTACTGGAATGGATCGGATGGATGTATTGCAGCCTCAGGCCTCTTTCCTATGCCCTGACCTGCTTTGCTTTCTCCTTCCCAGCCCCAGCCTCCTCTCTAGCTTGAATTATTACCTGGTGAACACAGTTCAGAGCTAATAAACTTCCATATATATATATCCATGCTACAGACGGGCTGAATCGGAGTTTTCGCCTTATATTCTAACTAGCCTTTTTCGAATCTCCTCCAGTCTCTTCTGCGTCCCATCTCTCCAGCTTGTCACGCAATCTTCTGTACTCCTACATCCTGCGCGTGCCCATCGCTCCCGACCCTGCGACGATCGATCCGGCCTGCCATACATATCGTACGTTGACGCATTGCCTGTGGTGGAAGCATTGGTTTTGCTTGAATATAGTTGATCGTCAGTTGTCAAATAGCTGTCTGTAGACTTGCGGATTAAGTCTTCTAGTGTTCCTGGACAAGCTTGCTCCTCCGAGCTATGTAGGAATATCTCTGAGGCCTCATAACAGCTATACCTACTCCTGCCCCCGATTCGTATTACCTGACGTACAGACACATCAGTAGATCAGATATGTCGCACCGCCGAAGCAATAGTGTAAAAGTCTCTCGCGGAGCACTACCTCCTCCTGGTCCTGTTCCTGCTGAACTCTTCCGACTTAAGAAAGGAGATGCGTCTAGAGCGACGAGCCAGAGTCATCTTACAAAAACGTCACAGGAAGCAGGAGAATATGTACCATATGCGTCCCGTCAGTCCTATACCTTGGCTCCGTCCGATAGTGAGGCTGTAAGAGCTGGCCCACAGCGCAGGAGACAAAGTCCCCTAAATCTCCCCGAAGCTGGGGCACCTCTCAACCTACCGCCAAGTGTCCCAGACGCTCCAGCTCCTCGGCGACCTGGACCACCATTAGCCTATCGCGAGCCGTATAGCTTGCGTGAGGCTGCAATAGTTCCCAGTCCTGCAGATACCATAAATACGCCGGCATCCGTGCCACAAAGCTCAAGTGACAAACGACGCAGCTCTGTTCCCGACCGGTCTCCCCTACAGAAGCTGGAAGTCAAGCTTGATGACATTAGCAAAGAGGAGAAGAGAGCCAGGGTTCTGGATGCAGAACTTGCCGCACAGGAACGCAAAGCTGCAATTGCCCGTGCAACACAACGCTCGGTCAGGGATGCCACCGCGAACAAACGTCCACCTCAGCATCCTTCCATTCCCGACAACGCGGTCTCCCCAAACGAAAGACGACATGTCTCTGTCCCAATCCCAGCAACAGTATCACAATCTAGCTCACACCAGGGAGCACGGAGGAATACGCAATATAGCCATCAACAGCAACAACAACAGCAGCAACAACAACAGCCAGAACGCTCTTCATTTGGGCGTCCATCGGGGCCTGTATATTATGGACATCCTGACAAGACTATATATCACCTCCCACACCGTAACTCAGCGCAACCGAACATGCCACGAGGACCAAGCTACAGAGACCGCGAAGCAAAGGTAAAGTCCATGCTGGATCCTCACGTACAGCGCGAACCATTCAACGTTGATACTTTTGACCGTGGAACAACTGCACTGGGGTTGGGACTTTCAGACGTTGAGGACCAAAAATCGCGAACTCCGAAGCACCTCCGCGCTGCAGAACAGAAACCATTCAACCCTGCTGAGCCACAAGAATGCGACGCTGGTCGGTCACCTATGCCAATTGAACGGGTCAGAATTGCCAAGCAGACACATGAAAGTTCCAGGTCTAATGAGGCAGATATTATACCTGCAAGACAGAATAGTCCCGGAGAGCTTCCTCTTCGAGACGATTTTATGCCTAAGCAAGTTCCAAGCCGTGATCAATCTAGGCGTAGATATGTGTTACCACCTCAGTCCGCTACAGGACCACAGGCTCGCGGCCAAGTAGGCTCTCCTGTAGAGAACCCCGAAGAACGCGAGGACAGTACACATCGGACGCGACATAACATTGCTCACCCCTTTCACAGGCACCACGATCTGGAGCGACGCTACCAAGCGCCAAAGGTTCTGGATGAGTGGAAACGCGGAGGCATTGCAAGTCTGCGAGGCAAAGATCTTGACTTGGACGACGAAGAGTACCAGGCCTGGTTGGAACGTGGTGGCTCACAAAAAGGGCGACGGAAATCGTCCTCTCAGTCTGCCCCAGGAAATACCTTTCGAGATACGCAGTATCAGCAAGACCGCGCTCCTACAATGTTCAGCCCCCAGCTATACCTCAAGAGCGGTCCTCTACTGCGCTTTACGGGCATTAAGTCGGAGTCTGCTGGTAACAATTTGGGTAGAGATATCTGGCGTGGCAGCGTCATGATTGTAACAACCGACAGTCGATCGTCTTACCAGACTGTCCCAATTCTGCGAATGTTCAAGCAGCCAATGGAGCTTTCGTCACCTCCTCCGGAACACGTAGATATTGCAAGCGGCCAGCACCTGGAGCCCTGTTATGTGGATCCCTTGGCTGGGCAAGTCAAAGCATCGCGGTCAGGCAAGACCCTGTACGTGAGACCTGTACATACATTGGAAGAGCAGCGAGACTTGTCAAGGATTGAGGACGACGATGGCCTTTTCGAAGAACGCCAATCGGCGTCTTATCACAGTGTACAAAAGACTTCCCCGAGTACAAATAATAGAGACTCACAAAAGAAAGACGGTGAACGTATCGGAAAGTATTGTGAGGTCAGAGGGTTTCGGCTGCACAATGAACGAGGTTTCACTTTCTGGAGATTTAATCTCGAGGTTGAACTAGGCCCCCAGCAGACAAGAATAGCATATCGAATCAACAGTGGCCCCGCCATTGGATTCTGGGTGCCAGCGAGAGGTCAGAGTATGAATATCATGTTCCACAGCTGTAATGGGTTCAGCCTCTCAGTCAATCCGCATGAGTTCTGCGGCCCAGACCCGCTGTGGAGGGATGTTCTCAATAATCATCAGATACGCCCATTTCATGTTATGGTTGGTGGTGGTGACCAGATATACAACGACGCCGCGATGAAACAGACACATCTGTTCCAGGAGTGGACGGAGTTGAAAAATCCGGCACACAAACACAACGCTCAATTCACAGCTGAGATGCAAGATGAATTAGAAGAATTCTACCTTAACCGCTACGCAATGTGGTTCTCTCAAGGTCTCTTTGGCATGGCTGCTTCCCAAATTCCGATGGTGAACATTTGGGACGACCATGATATCATAGATGTATGTTGAATTTTTTGGGAGAACATATACCCTTCGCTAATGGCTCTCAGGGTTTCGGGTCGTATCCACATGGTTTTATGCGGACCCCAGTCTTTACTGGCCTAGGAGCCGTAGCCTACAAGTTCTATATGTTATTCCAGCACCAGAGCGTTGCTGACGAGACGGAACAAACGGAGCCGTCCTGGTTACTCGGTGCCGCCCCGGGGCCATACATCAACGAGCTAAGCAGAAGTGTATATATGTCTCTTGGGGGTCACATTGCTCTCCTCGGCCTTGATTGTCGAACAGAACGGACGGTAGGGATCAAATCCTGCAATCTTGTTCCTGCTAATCCTCAATCTAGAACAACACGGTATTAAGCGACGAATCTTACAATCTCGTGTTCAGTAGACTCAGAGGCGAGATTGTAAAGGGGAAGGTAAAGCATCTCCTAATCCTTCTAGGGGTGGTAAGTGGAATGAAATAATCTTAATCAGAATATGCATATTGATTTGGAACTTCAGCCAATCGCATATCCTCGGTACAATTTCCTAGAAAATATTCTCACCTCAAGAATCATGTACCCGATCAAAGCTGCAGGACGCATGGGCTTGCTTGGTAACATCGTCAACAAATTTGATGGGGGCGTTGAGATTCTTGACGACCTAGATGACCACTGGACAGCGAAGCATCACAAGGCAGAGCGTAATTACTTCATCCAGGACCTTCAGGAATTCGCAGCCGAGAAGTCTGTTCGCATCACCATTCTCGGAGGCGACGTACACCTTGCTGGTGTCGGGCAATTCTATAGCAACAAGAAACTCGGCGTCCCCAAGGATCGAGATCACAGATACATGCCGAACGTAATTTCATCTGCAATTGTCAATACACCCCCGCCGGATGTTATGGCGGACGTTCTGAACAAACGCAATAAAATTCATCACTTGGACAAATATACCGACGAAGACATGATCCCAATTTTTACACATGATGTCGACGGCAAACCTAGAAATAACACTCATTTGCTTCCGCGGAGAAATTGGTGCTCAATTAGGGAGTACCAGCCAGGCCGTACACCACCACCCACACCACCTTCCCTTTCTCCAACGCCTCCACGTACACCGCTCATTGACGATAGACATATATATCCTCCGGGAACGATAAAGCGGGTGCTTTCTAACCGTCTTCCTGCGCGTATAGAACGTCGGCTGTCCGTCCGCAGTACAAAACCGCCCACAGCTTTCATGACACAAGGATATGCACCAGGACGTCGGAATAGCTTGCTTGGTAGCATACAGCGTCGCTTGTCTACAGGTAGCAATGCGGCACGCCGCCAGTCAACAAGCGACATACCTGATGATGGAGCAAATTTCCATGGCGCTCAACACAGAACCTCCATGGATGTTCGACCGAACCCATTCCACCGTCGGCCCACTGGTCTCTCTGAAAAAGCGGCCTTACGAAGCGATGATCCCGAGCAGAGGCAGGGACGTATTGACTTGCAGCACGGCTTGGATATTATCATCAATGCGGAAGTCAATCAGAAAGACCCTGCTGGGATCACAGCCCCATACCGGCTACTTGTGCCTGCACTTGACTATCGTGGTCCACCGCCAAGACCATCACGGGACGATAGGAGCTCAACACGTTCATTTGCGCCCTCTCTCTCTCCAGACTCTATACAGCAGAAGGCGAGCATCGGCGGCAACTTGATGTCGAATATAGTACGGCGTCTCAGCACTGTAACTCGCCATAAGCCAGACATGGCCAGGTACGAAGAGAGGTCAGAAACTATAGATAGCGCTGAATCGGGGTTGCCAAACAGACCGATCAGCTTCTCTACCAGATCTATTCCGCAACCTGTACAGCTTCCTGCGCCTTCAACAAAGCAAGCTTCCACGTCCATTGGGCCATCAACAAACGATGGAGCTGCTCGACATCGTGACCCAAAAGCACAGCTATATAAGTATCTTCCCGACCCTGTTTATGCGGCTGATCGTAAACCACCACTCTCACGTACGGCTATTCCAAACTCGGATAACTCAGGTAATTCGGCTCCACGCGCAGTCCAGGGAACGTCATATCAAGGGGTAGGTCGTATCCGCGGACCCGATAGACAAGTTGGGGAAGAGCCCTTCGTCACTGTAGCTCGCAATGGAGCCATATCTAAGAAGCTGCAGAAAATGGGTATCCCGAATCCGAGATCACACATGGGAGATGGAGATGAGTCTATTGGGCAAACTAGCGCGACGTATAACCCCGTGGGTGATAGGAAATTTGAGCGCGAGATAGATTTTCAGTACGGTCAAGACAATGATAATGAGAGCATGCTGACAGAGGAGTATGAAATGGCACCGCGGCGTAAAGGGTGGAAATTTTGGTAACAAGAATAATTGAGTCTACAGTAGACCGAATATAGTAATAGCTTTAGTAATGGCTATAATGTTTATCAGTCCCTCAAAAGTCCAGTGTTTACATTGATGCAAACCCGGTCAACCTTCAGCCAGACATTTCTTTTATGGGCTATTCTTACGTCTTTGTCTTCAACGTTTGCGCGTCGAAGCTATTGCGCAATATCATGCGAATAGTAGCAGAGTTTTGATACACGGACATTAGCCTTGTTTCTATGCTGGTGACTAGCGTGTTGCGAAAAAATTGGAAGCATTCAGTCTTTTCCTCTATGTCTCGGGATAGTAGTGGGCACCTAGTACTGACGACATGTTAGAGCTAGACACTTGACAGGTGTTATCTCTCTCGATTCCTCAAGGTCCGGCTAGCACCATGGTAGCATGAGCAAAGAAGACTAACGTACTTCATGGACGAAGTCTCTTATAGGTCATGGGCGCAACTATAGCTTCGCCTTAGATCCAATCCTTACAACTCTCTCAATGGCTTCCTTCCCTCTGGTAGCTACATCTTCATCTTCTGCTGGCGTACCCGTACTGCATCCAATCGCACCAAGAACATTGCCATGTACATCCACAATGGGACAGCCTCCTGCGATTGTTGTAAACCTCCCCCCATTACTATTCCATATACCAAAAGCAGCACCCCCAGGCCACACTGCTTCCTTATAAACTGATGTCGGAACACGGTGGCCTGCTGCAGTAAAGGCTTTATTGATGGCGATATCGATGCTTGTAATTTTTGCACCCTCCATGCGTTCGAAGAGTAGTAGGTGAAGATTGGCGTCGACGATGGCGATGTTCATAGGGATCCCAATCTCTATGGCACGATGTGTGGCAGCGATAACGGCTTCGCGCGCCCCCTGAAGAGTAAGAATGGGAGGAAATTTAGTCGCCATGATATTTATTCTGTTCTCGGTGAGTACAACTATAGAAGAATGAACAACATACAGGCGATGGAATTCCCCCAAAGGCAGCTAATCAGCGACCCGGCTATATCATGTCAATGGCGCTAGATAGCGCATGGCCGAGGTCTATCTATTATATGTGCATAGAACATGGATTAGACCATAAAGCATCATATACTAGTAATCTTATGACTTTATATGTAATAAATATCCTTTTCTTTTATCTAACTACTAGAGCTTGGAAGCCTGAGGAAGATTGTCTTCAAGTTTTATTATGATTTTAGTTCCATATTGTCACGATCTCCCTGAAGGAATCTCAAAGAAGGTGAGCCTCGAGTCCATCCTATTCAAGCAATCAAGCCTGTAAAAACCCTTGCGTTCGAATTGAATGATCGATCCAAATGTAAGCTGTGACACGTTACAGTCCGCTAATGCCCGATGCCTGAATTCAGTCCGTTCGGTTAAGAAATCTTCGAGTTTGTCGCTTTTTTCAAGTTTGTCCTTAGTGATTAGGTAGTCAAATCTCACAAGCTCAATGGGGACCAGATTTTCGGGAGATGCCGCAAGCCAGGTGACCTTTTTTTTCGTCTTCTTGACGTCACCCTGAAGATACAGCTCAAGAACCAGATTTGTGACGATCCCGCCGCCTGGATTGCAGGTGATTTCACGTACGAGAGCGTTGCCCCAGTTCATCAAGGTGATCTCCTCATTAATCTCAAAGGAATGACCGTCAGTCTGCTCGATAATGATGTTTCCACCGTAGAGGACTGTTTTCTCACCAAGCTCAGGGACTTTGCCATGTTTGGGCTTCTTACTTTTGATTGGGCCATTGACACCACGAACCTCACAAGCGATCGACTGTGTTTCGTCTATGGCTGTATGCCGTGGCGCGACTTGATCGATTTCTTTCCTGTTCATGGCCCACAGTGCGCCCCATTCAAGGTTCAGGATATTGCGGCTTGGACCTTGCATCAAAACAAATGCACGTAGTGGAGCTACCATCATGCCACGGCGGAGTATCCCTCTGATTGTTGGCATGCGAGGGTCATCCCAACCCGAGACTTTGCCTTTTACGATAATGTGAGCAAGCTTACGCTTGGAGAGAAGTGTGCGCACGAAATTCATGCGGGAAAAGTCCCAGATGGGCACTCTTCGTAGGCCAAGGGCTTCTTGCATCCATTCGTACTGAGCGTTACGATCTCTATACTCGTTTGTGCGCAGGGCTAAGGTAACCCCCTCGATGGAGTCCAAGATTGGAGCGCAGAAGTCGTATGTCGGATAAATCTTCCACGCTGTGCCGGTCCGGTGGTGAGGTAACTGATTGCATCGGTAAATCACCGGGTCTCTCATGGCGCCATTGGGAGAATCGTAGGCGATTCTGGCACGCAAGCACCATCTTTGGCCCTCATGGGAACCGGACTGCATATCCTTAAACCGCGCTAGAGTCTCTTCGATACCAAGATCGCGACATTTGCTGGGACGACGATTCTTCCGGTCCTCGTCTCCTTTTCCAAGCTCAGAGTCATCGGCAAAAGCTCTGCCAGACATGATCATTTTGATAGCATAGTCATACATTTGCTGAAAGTAATCGCTAGAAAATGTTGTCTTGTCGGGATAGATTTCCATGACTTTGAGGTCTTCGGTAATCGAATCTTGAAATTCTATCGATTCTTTCGATGGATTCGTGTCATCGAAGCGGCAAATAAGAATTCCACCCTCATTCTTGTGTGCAAAGTAGTCATTCAAAAGGGCTGCTTTTGCATGCCCGATGTGCAGATATCCAGATGGCTCAGGAGGAAATCGTGTCACAATTGGGATATCGAGCTGAGGAAGGCCAAGGTCATAACTTGCTCCAGCCGCGCTATCTGTGTATTTTTTCTTCCCTGTCTGACTTGCGAGCTCATATGCTTTCTCAGCAACCCAAGGCATGGAAGTCTCCACATAGCGATACCAGCGCCAAACGTTGTTCGAGGCCTTCTTGACTGCATTTTGCGCGATATGGTTTCCACGGAGGGCGCCCCAAATCGCGAGATCTGCAGGTCCAACATCGTAGCCGGTCACGAAACTTCGCACCAGCAGATGTCCATTCAGTTGACTGAGAAGAGGTTTCAGCTCCTGGTAGTCGGGAGAATTTAAATCGTTGCAATACGTAAGCCATTGTTGGTTGTGATCTAGGGTTTCCTTGTCCAACTGGAAAAGATACTCCAGGACTGCTTGGTCCACAACCACTGATCTATCCGATGTTCGTAGTTGGACGACGGACCCATCCGGAAAAGTTTCGATATCACCTTGCTGGTTAGTGATCAGTTCCACCAAGCCTCTTCTTTGGTAAGAGGTGCAGACAAGCAGAGCTGGTAAGATCCGCGCCGGGTTGGCTCTCACAGCAACGTCGAGGGTGATTGCTGGGACAAGAGTCATTCTGGCCTGTAGAGAGATGATAGATGTAAGTAAGAAGCAAGAGATAACAGTTGCTAGAATTAGTAGACTAACTGTAGAGGTAAGCGCTCCAGGGACCATACCACTCCACCAAAATGGTCGAAACTCGAAGCTACTGCGCTTAGAGGGGGATAGAGGTTACTATAGAAGGCGTACCTACGTAGCTATACGTCTCTAGCGCTTAGCTTATAATATAACTAGTGATTTCATTTCATGGGTTGTTTTAGATATTACTAGTAAATACTACTACTATAATATATAGATAGCTAGTATAAAAATAAAGTTATTAGATAGTAGAGTACTAGTATAGCTAGATAGAATAATAGAGTATATTCTATTATAGAACTAAATTACTACTAAGCTCTATTATAGTAGTAGTAGTAATTAGAGAATATATATATATATAAAGATATACTAATATTTACTATATATAACTATTTATTATTATTTATACTATCTTAGCTCTAATATATAGAGCTCGAGTTTAGCTATTAGCTACTAGTAGTTATTTCTAATAATTACTATATCTTCTCTCTTTAAGAAACTATCTTTAGTAATCTAAATTATTATATACTTTTATAGTTTTAGACTACTTTTAAATAGACTTTATCTTATAGTATATATTAATACTAAGTAATTTATATATAGTATTTAGATAGTTAAGTTTCTTAGAGTATATCTAATATATTACTCTTTACTTATTAGAAATTAGCTAAAGACTAGTCTATATCTAGATATATCTTAGCTAACTTAGCTAGAGATAGTATAATAAGTAGTAAATAGTTATATACTAGATAGATTAGTATCTTAGCTTTATATATATTATAGACTTTAGCTTTATTTTATCTCTAGTATTATATAATAGAGCTAAGATAGATAGTATTAGAACCTAGTCTTAGATATAACTATATCTATATATACCTTAGCTAACTTAGTTAGAAGGTAGTATAATAGATAGTAAATAGTTATATACTAAATAGATTAGCGTCCCTTTATATATATACTCTTAGATTTCTATTAAAAGAGTTTAGTAGTAATTTATTCTATAAGAGAATATACTATATTATTCTATCTAACTATACTACTATCTAATAACTCTATTCTTATATTTAAATTACTATCTATATAGTACTATAGTTAAGATAGTCTAACTAGAACTAAGAAGGTTAATATAATCTACTATAGAGATAAGTAATACTATATTAAATAATAGAAATTCTCTATAATTAATATTAATTCTAGCTATTTCTAACTAAGAAGTAGAGATATTAGACTAAATTATAGAGCTTTTAGATAAAGAAATAGTAGATATACTAAGTAACTTCTAATAATATAAAGCTAGATAATAAGTTATAGTAGAGCTATATAAGATATTATAATAAACTATTACTAAACTATAGAAGTATATTATTAGTTAAATCTAAGAGATTTAAACTCTTAAAGAGTAGATAGAATATATAAAACTTCTTATAAAGAGATAAGAACTTAAGGAGTCTCTTAAAGAACTACGCTAAATAATAGTAGATAGATAACTTTCTATACTAATTTAGATAGAATTAGTTTACCTACTATTAGAGTTATAATAATCTACTATACTTCTAGCTACTTTATTACTAATTTACTCTACTTCTTCTCTAGATATACTAAAATCTAAGAATCTAACTATATTTATAGAGAAGAACTAAAAGAAGTAGAAAGACTAGAAAAGAGACTATAAAAAGTACTTCCTTAATAACCCTCTACTCTTTTTTACTAAAGTATAATATATTTTATTTAGAGAATAATATCTAGACTTATAATTCTATAATTAATAGAATAGATAGAAGGAAGTATAGCTACTATCTATAATAACCTAGGAATATCTAGCTATATTTATACTAAATATCCTTAGAATAGATAGAGAATATAAAAGAAAGATACTATCTAAGTTAAGAAGTATAGTATAATATTAGGGCTAACACTAGGGTAGACTTAACTAGACTACTATGGTCTAGTACGGTCCGTAATAGGTGGACCTAGGTTAAGTTAGCTAGATTAAGTGAGACTACTATATAAGTAGACTATATATACTTAATTTCTACTCTTTAGAAATTAACCTTATTATAAGAGTAGACTACTCTTTTAAATATATTTCTAAATCCTTCTATAATCTATTAGACTACTATTCTATATCTATAATCCTTATATTTTAATTTCTCTTTATATAGCACGACGGTAGTTTATAGAAATAGCTCTAACTGCTTATTATAATACTTATAGTACCGCCTCTTATAGTAGACCTTCTTCTAACCTAAATAAGGAGAATAGTCTATCTATAACTACCTCTACTAATAACTATACCTTATAGACTATTATACTAATAACTTATATAATATTCTATATAACTATAGAAGATATTATAGAATATAAGAATAGAGTCTATTATACTCTATCCCGGTCTAGTTTAAACTATACTAGATCTAACCTTAATATAAGGCTAGACCTTATTAACGTTAATAAGTTAATCTATTAGAATTATCTAATATTAACTATACCTTATAATAATATATATACTAGACTATATAAAGAGAGATAATAATAGATTTAACTTAAGTAATAACTATATAAACTTAATAAAGCTTAAGGATATACTATAAGACTTAAAGCTATATTATACGCTTTAGTTCTAGTAATAACTAATCTATATTTATATAGACCTATACTAACTAAAACGGTCTATTCTAGTCTACTACTATCCTAATTACCTCGACCTAAGAAACTATCTTACTTTAATAGTAAAAGTAGAAAGAGTTTCTATATATAGACTTATTAATATAGCTAATTCTTCTATCTATTTATAAACGATAGTAATAAAATTAGATTTATCTAGAACTACCTTAATCTAACGCCTTTAGAACATTAGATAGTATACTAAATTAAATATTCTAAGAATATCTATAACTAGGATATGTTTACTAAATTTCTTCTCTAATATTTTAGTAATAGAGCTAAATAATATGACTAGGCCTAGGGCTATATCTTTAAGACTCGATAATAAGATAATTAGTTACTATTATAACTTCTTAAATACCTTTAGCCTCTCTAGAGAGAAGCTTAAGAAGATTATATAATTTAATAGTATAATAACTTTAAATAGTCTCTTACCCTAAATATAAAGAACTATCTTAATCTTATAATAATAATTTCTATAGATCTCTAAGCTCTTATAAACCTTATAGAGTAATACTAGTATATAATAAATAATTAACGCCGTGCTAGTATATAACTATCCCTAATAATCTAATCTAATATAAAATTATCTAACTAAAACTAATTTAGTAATAGATCTCGCGGTATATTATAAGACTACTACTATATCTTAAATTTAAAACCACGAGGACTATATCGTAGGTCTCTCTACTAATTAATATCTTAAGATATAAGAACTAACTTACATAAATAACCTAAAGTTACTTACTATATCTATAGTAGAATAGAATATATAGTACCTAAGTACTACTTAGAAAAACTACTAAGTACTAATATAACTAACTAATTAGTTATATATTATAAGTACTAATAGCTAGAATATATCGCGTCTAACTACCTAGTATAGAATATAAAAAACTAATAGTCTATAAGAAACCCTTATAACTTATAGACGTGACTATAATAGAGAGATAACTAGTTAAATAGTATATTAAACTATAGACTAGACCTATTAAGGTCCCTTATAGATAATATTAGACTATAATACTTAATAGTAGTTTAGCTACTAATATTATATTAACTTAATAAGTATAAGAACTTAGTATTAATATCTAAGCTCTAATAGATACTATATTCTATAGTATCGATAGTTCTATTAAGTTATATAGTATCTATACTATTAAATATAGTATCTAGGATAGCGGAGGGAAATAGAAACCCTACTATTTAACCTTTATTATAGTAGATAGTCCCTTTAATATAATTCTAGGTATACTATAGCTTAAGAAATATAATCTAAAACTAGACTTCCTTAAGAAAATAGCTAGCTAGCGTATAAACCTACCTTAATAGAAACTAGTATAGCTTATTAATAATAAATAATTCTATAAAGATTATAAGAAGGTAATTTCTACTATCTATATACTCTTACTTATCTAAAATAGTAAGCTTAGTATTAAAGTAGATGAAAACCTACTATATTAGTATAAAATATACTAATATATTATATTAGTAATTAATTCCTCTAAACTACCTTAATACTAATCTACTAACCTTACTATTAATCTTAAAGATAGCTAGTAACCTCTATATAGACCTATCTACTCTCTTTTAGAACCTAAATTATAAGTCCTTTAAGAATATATTAAAAAGAACCTTACGCGAGAATAGATTAGATCTAGTATATCTCTAGCTAGAGCTCTAATTCTCTTTATAAAGAAGAAGAATAGAAGCCTCTATCTATATATTAACTACTATAGTCTAAATAATATTATATAAAAGAATTATTATCTACTACCTCTTATCTCTAAGTCTATTAATAGACTAGAACATATAAAGATCTTTACTAAGCTTAATCTATATAATATCTACTATTACTTTTATATTAAGGAGGGTAAGAAATAGAAAACGGCTTTTAGAATCTATTATAGATACTTTAAGTATACTATAGTCTCTTTTAGACTAACTAATATACTAGGTACCTTCTAAGTATATATTAATAACGCGCTAGTAGATCTACTCGACATGATATATATCGTATACCTAGATAATATTCTTATCTTCTTAGATAATAAGAAGGAGTATATCTAGTATATATATATAGTCTTAGATAGACTAGAAAAGTATAAGCTATATATTAAGCTATCCAAATATAAGTTCTATTAGAACTATATTAACTTTCTTAGCTTTATTATTACTAACTAAGATATAATTATAGAGAGAGATAGGGTTACTACTATTATAGAATAGCCTAAACTAAAATCTATCTAAGATATATATATCTTTATTAGCTTCGCTAACTACTATTAAAAATTTATTAAATACTTCTTCTATCTAGCTATACTACTTAATATATATACTACTACTACTAATTTATCTATTATAGTCTATAGTAGATAGAAATAGTATAATATTAAGTCGTAATCTATTAA